ATATATTTTTTAAATATAAATAAATAATATATATATTTTTTAATGTAAATATTTTTTATTTTAAAATATGTAAAATAAATTTCCTAATAACGTTTTACATGATTTTATAATTTAATTATTAAGTTAGATTTTATTCGTTTTATAAATTATAAAACCCTTAGGTTTAGCAGCTAGTACATTTATAGTGCCAGTGTCAGCTACTGGGACAACTGACAGTCAGCTACTGGTACAAGCACTTTTTTCACTGTCAGCCACTGGAACACGTACAAAGGTTGAATTAAGTTTAAAAATGTTATAAAATATATTTAAAAAACCCTTTTTGTATGACAAATTTGAAAACTACACTAAATTTAGAATCACATAAAATCTGGAATATCTCTTTAGTTCCTATTTATTCAAAACCACGGATTATTAAGTGCGTATAGTTTCTTATACTGTCAGCTACTGGTGCGTTTACCTTACTTGTAACATAAAAACGTCAATGACAGTTTGAAACCAGCTGTTAGTTAAAACAGCACTGAAATGACTTTAAATTATTAGCGTCGGCTGCTAGACTAAAAAAATTAAACTTAAAAAAATGAAATAATGGCATTGACATTCCCTTCCTTTGAAAATTATATTTATTTCAACACAAAAATCACGAAAATAGCGAAAGTGGTTGATTCAGAATCCTGAAATGAAAAAAAAAAACTCTGTCACGTTTAAAAATATAATATATTACAATTAATTGCACACTCTAGTGGATATCGATGAAACCCACCCATATGAATTCTTGCTTATCCGTTTACTTTTCCACTCTTTGCGTTTTTGTACATGCCAAGTCAAGTCTTAAAACATTACATTTAAAACAATTGTATTAAATCTTCCATAAATTACAAGAAACAGTGACTCATTCATTTTCCCCGATTTCGAATATTTGTGCGCAATCTTGGCGACTTATGTTCAGTCTCCAGCATTTTGGAGGTGTTCGCAATTCAGACACACCCGTTCCCATAGTCCGATTATGCTGGTTCACGAACTCGTTCTAATAAACTTAGGCGTACACGTTTGTAACAAATCTCATCAAACTCGCAGCGTTGTTGCCCGAGTACCGCGCTCACGGTCACATATACAGGGTGTATTTATAAAGTCCCGCATGGGCTTAATATTTTCAAAACGGCAATAGATAAATCAATAAGATTTGGTACATAAACACCATACCTAGAAACAACGTATTAAAGACTGTAAGTTTTCTGTCATATAATGGGGACATCCCGCAAGGATTCAGAAGGAAATCTTAAATAAGAGCATAGGTTGATATTTACGGATAACCGTAGGCATATTCTACAACTTAGTAGAACGTTATTTTTTCATTAAAGCCATTTTTCATTTAGGAAACACATTATTTTTCTTTTTACTTTGTTTATTTGTTGTGCTCTTGGTCTTTAATGTTTACCAGGTTTTTAATGATTTATTTGTTACCAAAAACAATTTAAGAAAATATATTTAATTATTTAGTTACATTATCTTTTACGTAGTTAAAATGACAAAGTACCGTATTTGATTTGATAATTTGAAATATTGTCAAAATATTTTTCAACCTTTTCCCATATAAGAAGGCGTCCAAACACTACCAAATAGGTAAAGGTACTACAGTAGCAAATTGTGGATTTATAAAAAGAAATTAAAATAAGAATACGAAACGAAACACACAAATTTAAAGGGCGTAATACAAAAAAAGCTTCCCTATTTTTTCTTTATGCTTTTTTCTTCTTTTTGTGCTCTTGATTTAGATTTTTATATATTTTATTGTTTTAAATTATATTGTAAATGAAGTTTGTACTGTATAAATTCCTTGACACTTTGTAGAATATTGAATTTTTATTCAGTTATATTTTTGTATTTTCTTTCCATAATTAAAATGTATAGGCCTAATAGACGATTTAGTACCCACTGTGCGTATTTATTTCTCAATTGAAGTACCTGTCTTCCAAACTTTGTTACAAAATCCTAAATTTGTTTTGGCGAATTTCCCCTATAGGGAATAAGCTATTACCGTAGTACTCATGGTAAGACCTGGACCCGGGACCGATTTACTTTTTCGTTTTGAGGTCCCTAGATGCCAAAAACACCATCCGTTCAAATTCATAAATTTGATTTAATTTGGTACAAGCGTGTAAACCTACGTTGATTCGAACGAGTTCGCGAACCAGCATGATCGAACCAAGGGAACGGGGGTTTATGGGGGGTTTTATGGGGTAAAAATTGGTTTTCCCCATTTTTGACACTAAAAATTTAAAATTTAGCAATTTCTCTATACACCATTTTGTAGAGCTTAAAAAAACAAATAATTTAGTATATTGAAGCGTTAATTATGTGCCTAGAAAATTCCAAAAATCTGTAAATTTAAAATTTCCATGTTATACTTAGAATAAGTAAACTGTTTGCTTGTTTATATACATATTTTAATCAAATTTGGAAAATGCATTCATTTCATCCTAAACTACTATCATTTTACAAAAAAAAAAAAAAAAAAAAAAACACCTTTTTACCCTCCTTGTTGCAGCAAACCTAAGTACTCGTTAAACCTTGATGGTTCAAAACTGGACCCAGCTGTTCCTGATAATTGGGCTTAAAATAAGTGATCCTGGCTAATGAATCAGCTGATACAGTCAGTAAAAAAGCTACACAGATCATATCACACCATTCTACACTCATATTTGGGTTAAAATACGCACCTAGGTGGCGTCCCCATATCAATTGATATTGATATGTATTGAACTAATGTTATTTAAATAGGGAATAAATGTGATATTTACAGAGACATTTTAGCATAAATCCAATCAGGCAAATGGTTATTCGCTTAGTTTGCAGGTTTGCTGTGGTGGCCGGAGGGGGTATTTTTAATTATAATTGGCACTTTGTGATACATTAATTGGAGTATATACGAATGTTACTATCGTTTAAGCAATGTAATACAAGTTTAAAGCTCAACACTTCAAATTTTGATTACATATTAAAAATTTGAACTCACGTATATATTCCCCTTAGTAATTATGAAACATAATTTTGCAAACTTCAGTAGTAAAAAGGTTTTCTAAACATATACATCTTATAACAAAACTAATTTATTGGTATTTCAACACTGATTGCAAGCAATCTTCTCGATTTAAAGTTATTCTGATATTTTTATTATACTTTGATTATATTTCTCTATTCCAGTGATATGAATCTAGCCTAGGCTGTTTCTGAATTAAGGTACTTTTTGGCATAACCTTTAGAATAGTATCATTTACATATTTGTAATTACTAACAATTAATTATTTCGTTAAATTTAAGGGATTAAACCCCTAAAAGATATTATTATGTTTATTCTTATTTAGTAATATGTTTCTAATTTTCAAATTATTAATTAAATCGGGGCCAAACCTAAAGCAATGCGATTCATTTTTAATACTGTACATTTAGCAATTATTCTATTTTTAACAAATGTGTTGCTTAACAATTACCATAGGGTGTAAGGTAAGTTTACTGATGTTGATAAGTATAACTACTTTTTAATGCAACAGAAAAAATGTATACTTTACGCATTACCGTATCGTTGGTAGTTTTTTTTTATGAATTAAGTCTAAAAGAATCATTTTTAAAGTCAATCTTTGCTCGTATAACAATACGAGCAAAGATTGACTTTAAAAATGTAAAAATGTATGAACTTCTAAGACAACTAAATATAGTTTTGTCTTAGAAGTTCAACTAAGTCCGACTTCTAAGACAACTAAATATAGTTGTCTTAGAAGTTCATACACATCTAAATCTACTGATTGATATTCCACTACAGGGTCTGCAATTTTCTTCTGTGGAAAAGCTGTTGTCCAAGCGACAATAATAATAAACGAGCGGACGACCCTCGGCCTCAGAACAATGGACTGGGGAGGACGGGCAGCAGGTAGGCTGCCGAGCAGCCCAGCCCTACTAGGGGTAGCGTTTCAGGGGGGGACGATTCCGGGGTGTACATAGGGGATGTCTTGCCGGAGGGGACCTTTCCGTTTCTACTTGTTTGAATTAAAATTAATAACAAAATAAGTTCGTATCAACTAGACTTTGATAAATTACTTGTCAAGCCCTTGGGGGGGTATGATTCCGGTCGCGGACATAGATTTTATACCAGCTGGTTGTCTGGTTTCGTGACGTCACGTTTAGCCTGGGGGGTGATGTTTCCGGGGGCGACCATTCCGGCGACCCCAGGGTGATAGGCCGCAATTGTGACTCATACGCCTGACGCCAGTCGCCAGTACGACGTTTACGGCGCAACAGAAGGCACAGATTGTAATTTGTAGTTCGCAGAGTTTCTATCTATTGCTAAATTAAACTAAATTTAAATCTATTTGATGATAAAGAAACTTGAAGCTGGTTTAATGAGTTTCGTGGCACCGAAGTGTTTTGAAAAGACATTCACCTGGCCGGCTAAAAACAAGCGATGACATAGTCAAAGAAATCCGACAATTCTGCATCAGAAGCCCAAAAGAATCTATTGCCCGACGAAGTCTATAGTTTAACAAACCTAAATTGGCCACTTTATGAAGTTATCTATAAAAGATAAAGTTTTTGTGCCAAAAAAGGTTCAGTTAAGACATCAGATAAAGACCCCGACCGCCCTAAGCATAAGGACTTTGCCAGTTTTACGCTCATATAAGATTGATGAAAATCTGAATTTTATCAAATCATTCCGAATCGTATGAAAGAATGTGAAAAAAAACTTTATTCTTTTCCCTTCAATTTGACGTTTAAATTGTTTAATTATCTTGAATAGTCCCTGAGCAACGACCGTTTGAAATCCCGGCATTCTTTTAAAAACACCCTGTATTTCTAATTGGAGGTAAACAGATAAAATTGAATATTTAACACAGATATTATGACACGCTGGTCCCAAGAGCTTTTTGCTAAATTAATGTGCACATTAGTCGCTATAGCCTGTATCAAATATCTAGAAACTCTCTGTTACTGTACAAAGTGTGACTGACCGTTCCATGGGTGGAGACTTCAATCCTGATGGTTCCGTTGACTTGTCCGAGGTCGGGGCTAGGTTCTAGCCGGAGGGTGTACAACCGTGGGGTGATGGTGGAGGGAAGGCGGTAGACGACGGGTTTAGGGTCCTGGGATAGGGACTCTTGAAGACCCACAACCATCAGTAGCAACAGCGTTAGCCTGGAGCAGAACAGGATTGTCTCAACAACCAAAACTCACCTATGTAGTAGTCATCCCATCTACGAGGGTAGATTTTTAAGTAAGGTTTGTTTTTGTGCATAGCTGAGTAGTTTGCGTGTATGCCAAAACGAGTCTCCTCACCACTTACTGGCATATTGGTGAATAGAACTATATTTGAAGCTCTGTAGCCGACGTGTACACTTCGCTGTGTGTTTTTAAAATTGTTGAATCTCTCATCACGTGTGACATAAGGTCTTACAAGAAACATATACAAGCTGACATTTAATCAATAGTTCAATAATCTTAAAAACTATAAAAACACACAGCGAAGCATATACAGTATGTCAGCTACAGAGCTGCAAATGGTGTCGTTCTGTTCAACAATGATTCCAGTAAGCGGCGAGGAGTCTTTTTGAGGCATACATGCTAACTACAGAGCTCTCCGCAAAATGGCCCTTACTTAAAAATTGATTCTTGTGTATGGACCAGCTGTCACCATTTTCTTGTTCCAAAAGAACATAATTGAATGATTTTACAAAACTTAATTTTTAATGATGGACCATCAGAGATCAACTTTAAATCCTATTTGACTAGGTAATCGTAAACATAAGTTATTGAATGAATAATTTAGGATGTTTAAGTATTTTGAAGTACAGTAGACTCCCTCTTATACGGACTCCTTGGGACTGAGGCTATCGGATAACAGGTTTTCCGGTTAAACAAACATCCCCGATTCATGTCACGGGAATTACTCAAAAATGAAATATTTAGCTTAAATTTGGGAAAGCATTGCATTCAGACACCTGATCACTGGTCTCCAATCTTTCTCATGAGAAAAGTCGTTTCAGTACCCCCCACTTCCTGCTGACCCAGTCCCATGTGCTGATAAAAATTGTCCAGTTAAAAAGATGTCACTTATGCCGAGTGTAATTTGGTTAAAATTATTACTGTTTAGAAGGAATCGAGATAAGAGGGAGTCTTCTGGGATGGCAATCATAATAAAGAACTCCAATCCGCAAAGAGACTTTGACACATACATGATCCGTCATGGACGCACCTTTCTACTCATCTCACCACCATCCAAAGAGCCAGAAAGGAAAAAATTACCCCAGCTGCAAGCTACAGAAATATCATTGAACTTTCATATAGGATCTCACAAGAAAACAACTCAAAGAGTAGACTTGCTAATGAGAAAACCTTACTACATCTTAAATAAGGCCCTTCCAGAGAATATAATCAATGCATGAATATAATTAAAGGGTGCGTTAAGATATTAAGAAAAATAAATAATTGTAGATTGAAGATAAATTTTAATACCTCTTAAAGATTCTTAAATCTACTTCCTGAAGAAGTCTTATATTAGGTTAATACTTCAGTATTATGTATTGTGATCTTTTATTTGTTAGTATATTTATTTTCTCAGAAAAACTATCCGAACTCTATTATACAAAATCATTTCTAAACAGCAAAAAATAAGTTATGTTATATTTTAGCTTTCCTTTAAAATATATCTTAATTGTTATTGAAGGTCGTGGTAAGTTTAAACTAAAAACTGATGCGAAATTCAAATCGCTAATGGTCACAGGATCATTTTTCTACAATATATTCTACAAAAAGTACAAGAGACCCAACAGGTCACAACCTGAAAATGTTAGTCATATGAAACTAGTCATAAGAGGTTGCACACCTTTTTAACATGTTTAATCAGTTTCCAACCTAATCACGGGTGATTCATATTTATTTAGACACGCTCTATAAAAAATGAAAAACTTCAAAAAAATGTTCATTGGAAACTTATAACTTGTAACGAAGCTTGTTGATATAACTTTGATTATAACCACTTCTATCTAACGCTATGAATCAACTTATTAAACATTTTTTATTTATTCGGATTATACTTCAATTCCAATTTATACTTACAGAAGTTTAAACAATTTTATTTACAAATTTTGTATTTATGCACAATTTTTCCATAAGGGAAGTGTTTGTTCAAAAAATTCCAATTTTACATTTTTTGGTGGTATGAGAGTATATTTTTTCAATTTAAGAAAATGGGAATTGAATATCAACAAGTAAATATATAAAAAGGGAATCCTTTAACATTTTTTTCTTCCTACATTTTGTTGACTTTTATGATACTGATAACATATGATCAACTTGAAGTGACAGTCATCGTTGTTGTACACCTTATTAATTCCATAAAAAAAAACAATTAAAGCTACCAAAAATGGTATAGCCTAATACTTTATTTTTCATGATTGTGACTACAATGAAAAAAATAAAACACATCAATGTAGTAAAATTTGTTTACAAAGTAAGAGGAAGTTATAACTAATTTATACTTCAATTTACAAATTAACATCTAGAATAATTTGGAATCAGGAGTTAAAAACAGTATTTCAACATTTTTTATATCCACTTGTTAGAGAACAATATTTTGGGTAAGCAATGTTCTTTTTCACACTTTCATACATTTCCGTTGATCGTCTGGAATTTTAAAAGTAGAATCGAAGAAAGATTCAATGAATATTCCGTTATAAGATCTTTTTGACGGTTTTATTAATGTGATTTGTGTTATATTTGGGAAGGACGTAAAGTTATAACTTAACACTGTCTTTATTTATAGATTTGTTGTTTCAGAATTTTTGTTGTTGTCTGTATTGTTATTAATTTCAAGCATACATGTTCATTCTTCAATTAATGCTTAATAGCATAATAACAATGCTTAGAAATAAAATCATTTAAATTATGAAAGAATTAATATTTAAGGATTGAAGAAACTATACAAATAATTGAACAAAATACGTTTAAATATATTTAATTTTTTTTTTTTTCTTAATGGAGAGTTGAAATAAATACTAAGAATGATGAACATTATAAGAATATATTTTGAAAATTAAATTTACAGAATAGTTTTTATCAGTAATAAATTTACATTGTATCAATTTAAATGTAGTGAACATTTTCCTTACACATTAGAAAAAAGAATATAGCTTAGCAAAATGTTTCATTTAAATAACGGGTTTCAAAATTAAATTGTCAAATAATAGAAAAATATAAACTTTTAAATTGTTTGTTAGAGTTCCATGATAAACAAGAAATTTACAGTTGGGTTACTAACCAAACCATCCCTCGCTTGATATTTGGGAAACTGAAGTAAAAACTAACAACATCCCATAGAGTACAATAACATATGAATCTTACTATACACAATCATACTGTATATCTTTGGTATACATTTTTCATCAGCTTACTAACAACACCAGTAAAATAAAGGGGAACAATAACTTAAGAACAAAAGATGTTTAAAGACTAGGCCCACATTTACAAAAGATAATAATACTTTGATTATAGCTAAACACTATTCACATTTTTAAAATATATGGCTAATTGTTATCAAAACATTTCACAAAACAAAAAATATTCCTACAGGTAGCTACAATGGTTTTAAAATTCAAAATAAGATATATATCAAAACTTGACTCTTAGAATTATTCAAGTTTTGTAGAGTAAAATTATCAAGTTAAATTTTAAAACTGACCTAAGATCTCCCATGATTTGACCTCAAGGGAGCCCAAAAGAGAAGAGACTAACTACCTGTGGAGGTGTTATCACCCAGCTCATCCTAATCTCTTATCTCCCTCTCCCCCCATGTACAGCATCAAGCACCACACTCAAGGTGCCAAACTCCCGATTAATCTGTATGAATAATCACCAGTTTTGGCTGACCTATTTGTAACTGGTATTCATTGAGGAAAAATTTTAAAATCTCAGCAAAAGTATTCAAGCATATTCTATAAATGTTGCACACACATTTTCAATTTTTTGTTATATTGTAATTAAATAAAAATTTGGTCCACGGTCAAATATAATTAAGGAAAAAATACTATAGAGTAGAATTTAATTTTACAAATTTTGTATTACTTGGTAAAATCCTAAATAAAATTATTTTTGACAAAAGTGAGGCGTAGGTCAACCATTTGCAACATTCTATAAAATATAGATATAAAAATATATTTTTTAGTTTCCATCAAAATAAAATAATATCGCTATCTGTATACTATAGATACATACTATAGGCCGTATGGGAAGGGTTAATATTTCCTTTTATTATCTTGTGGATTATCCCCAGTATGATGGGAAAAGTACATTTTAAAGTATAGAGTACTTATTAGCAAAGCTTGTTGCATTATCAGCAATGGTTTAAAATTAAATTGCCATCCCTAGATTTGTTGAGTAGCCAAAGATCCTATACTCCAGAAGAATATTAATTGATGTTGTATTGTTATAGATACTGTTCTTTTATTAAGTTTTAGTAATAGTTTTGACCCCATTTTACATGGATTTACCTGCATTACAATAAACAAATTTTTGGATTTCATTTAATTGATCAGACAATTTTACAATTTCCAGCCTATTTATATGAGATGACTCATCAAAGCAAGACCAATATAGGCTACTTTTTCATCAATATTTGGTTACTAATCAACTTGCTAAATGTTTTGAAATATAGGTTGAGGTTGTCACACCTTTAGTATTTAATCATATTTACTTCCTGTATCAAATCATGACCAAGCCTAACACTGAATCATGCTGCAAACTGTTGAAATTTTAAGTGAATTGATTAAATAACATGTAAGTTCTCAGCTTTTTACCATTTGTGATTGGAGATCGAAAACCAGACTATATAAAAAAAGTCATTACACCAGTGACTATCCTTGGACAAACCTACCTAAAACTAAAAATGGTTATCCTTCATAGTTATGTACTTATAAACATAGTGTAGAGCACTCGAACAATATTGGAGATTTAAGTTATGATTTTAATAAAATTTCTACTAAAACAAAACATAAGAAGATTATTGAATAGATTGTCTATTAAAATAGTCAGGTTCTTGAGATTTAAAAGTGCTGACCCAAATAAAATGTTTTCAATTTTTACAGGCAGTTTAAAATACACCTTCAGCTAATAAAAATAGAGAAAAAATGTCTGACAAACAGGAATTGTTACAATATTTCTATGTCAGAATGATCAATTTATCTAAACCAATAGATAAGTTATAACTTTCTAAGATGGAGAGCTCTGTTTTTCAAGATATAATAATCTCTGCACTTACGAAGACTTATACATTGAATCTTGTGATAAGATGTTGCAATAGCTCTCAAGGAAAGTCTGTACTTCAGGTATATTCTTGGTAAATTATGTAAATTGAGTCACTGCACTAAGTCACAACTTGAAACATATTTTGACTAAATATGGTTACCCATACACTAGAGTGGTTGGTTAATCTACATCGTCAAACAGTCATCAGGTCAAACATATGATTTAGACGATGTCTTCCATACCACCACTATGGATAACAACTATGTAGCCACAGTTAAAATCCTGGCTCCGTTGAGCAGCTTATTAGGAGTTCAAATTGATGGTACTGGCAGGCTCCGACGATGACAGAGCGGTTAAATTTTTTAAAAACTGTACACCTGATCAGCATTTGAGGATCCGACACTCCTCTCTTTGAAAATTTATAAAATTTTACTAGCAGTTGATCAATTGGTCACCTTAACTACTGCACACGGTCATTAATTAGATTTGAGTTGAGTTAATTTTTATTTAACGCTAGATCAAACATTTGAGAAAGAAGGTTAGAAAATCCTAAATTATAAAACAGAGTATAATTTAGGTAAAAGCAAGAGGCAAAATAAATTACAAAAATTTTATTTGTTGGCTTTCTTTTACAGTCCAAAGTGTTCATATACAGAAACATATGCTTTACAAGAACATTGCTATAGGCCATAAATTATCACTATTGCCACCAATGACATTTTGTATTGTCATGCATGATACAAGTACAGGTTTAATATAACATATTACACTGAGATTTGACTTTTTTAATAATTTGAAATTACATGTTGAGGTAAATTTTAATAGGATCCTATCATCTAATTACTATAAATTTATGTAAAACACTTCCATCTATGTTTTTTTTTTATTAGTTTGTAACAATTACATACAACTGTACACTTATAAAACTTGTTAGGGATGATACTATTTGCGCCTGACGCAAAACGTCCTTAACACATATGGCACACCTGGTTCTCCCAGAAATATCAGCTTTCCTACAATTTGCAGGCTAACTTATCAGTTCAATAATTCAAATCTGTGTTTTTAATGCAAATGATTTGAGAAGTTTCAAGTGTTGTCTCAGTAAAGAGTTACTTGAGGATAAATATGAACTGCTCAGTTTATGAAACCCTATCTGAAAGGGTACAAGAGATCTGGGGCGCACCCAACAACACATTTCAGATACATTCCTGGGGTTGAAAATATTGGAACATAAACAAATTGGAAAAAATACTTTTAGTAAGAAAATACTTTATACACATTTGTATAAGACTTATATTATCTAAATGTTATTTTATTGTGGTATATTTCACGTCCACACAAGGTGTAGCAAGTTTCTTTATGTTGGTTGAATAACTGGATGATACTTTGTTTTCAGTTTATTTTCTTTTTTTGTAGAATAGTTAGGTTATTTTTAGGTTTTTTACAACACGTCCATTTTTGTAAGTAGTGTATGAGAAAAAGTTGACAATTATCGATCAAAAGTGGTTTAGTAAGCCCTGAACTATCCGTTCTAAACTTAATATTGTTTTATAAAACAAAGATAAAATTGTATTAAGCTGATATTTATTCAGAGGTATGAATTTGCATCTACTTTGAATTTCATGAGAATAGTTTTTACATAAATCCACTAGGGAAGAAAGGTAGTTAAATTGAGACTAAAAATAGTAAGATCGAGATGGCTAAAGTAAATTATCGGCAAGCTAGTTTCATTTCTAATTAATTATTTAATTACCATACAAAAACTATAGAGTACTACTGACATATATAAAAATTCAGTAATTGGCAAGAAATGTTTATTGTATACTTTATGTGAAGCAGCCATGTTAAAAAGCTAAGACATACACAATTTCTGACTAGTTAATAAATATCATCACAGAGGCAATGTTAAGTACTATTTTATAATTTTATTCATTGAAATTTGGAAAATTCCAATACGGCAGATCTTTACCACCAAACTGTATAAATTTTAAAACTGAACAAAGAAAAAAATGTAAAATGTATAGGCTAACAATTTGTTATGTTTATGTTGATGATAGTTTATGTTGAAATGTTATTCCTGTAGTTACCTATTCAGAAAATAAATTATTTATGACTTGTTCAGAAGCATGTAACCCTGCTTCCATTGAAGCTTTTACATCCTATACAGTAGAACCCCAATAATCCAACCTCGGTTTGTCCGACTCCTAATTTAATCCGACAATACCATCTGCGATCCCAGAAAACTCCTAAATATCTCCTGCAGTAAAGGAAATATCATAATTGTTTCCTGCGATCAGGAAAATTATAATTTTTATCTGTAATCACGGCATACTCTTGAATATTTCCTGCGGTAAAAGGAAAATTATCGTCGTCTCCCGTGTTCAGGCAAACTTTTCCCCCAATCACGGAAACATCATCAGCTCCCACGATTGTATCAAAATATCGTACGCCTCCTGTGGTCATGGAACCATTATCATCGTCTTTTGCGATCACAAGCGATCATTAAATGTCAGTTTATCAATTAATGTGGTAATTTAATATGCTCTTCGGATAATTAGACTTTTTTCACTGTTCCAACAATGGTACCAGTCCCATATGGGAATTACCGGGGTTATACAGTACTAAATTAAGGCTAGATGTGGACCAATAGGATAAAGGTTCTTACTGTAAGAAAAGTTTTGAGAAAGAATTAAACTTCTTTTTCTTTTTGGGGTCATGTCACTCAAGTTTGTCCCTTAAGGTGGATAGGTTTGGATTCTTTGCTATAACTGTTACATATGAATTATTTGTAAATTAAACCAGTATTTTACTTGAAAATTAAATCATTTGTAGTAATGATAAGTGGAAATTATTTTAGTCAATAGCTAAAAAAATACAACAGGCTACTGAGTAATGGAGAAAAGAACATGAAACCTCTAAACTTTGTTCATGTATTTAGTATAAAACATGGAAGACAACGAGTGTATGAATGGAAACATTGTCTAAAATAGCTATCTATATAACATTTCAATTTATTATATTTATAGAGTAAATGTTAAGTAAAAAAAGATTGTTCCGGGTAGACCTTCAAGGTTCTTCTCAATTCTAAAAAATGTATACCACCACATATTTTAAACAGTAAAAAAAAAATCACCGGTTTCACATTTAATATTCAGTTTTACCAAATTTTTTTACAACGAAATCATGAAGTATCTAGTAAATAACATCATCACAACACTGGTTACTAAGTATAAATAGGCTAAGAACTGGACAATAGGCTGTACAACTTTGTGCAAATTAATTTAATCACACTCAAATTATATCACTAATCCTTAAATGAGTTTTTGACACTTAAATTTATTGCTATTAAATATTTAAAACGAACATAAAGCTATTTTTGATTTTAAATAATAAATAATCTAAAATTAAATAACACGTTAAGACTAGATTCGAATTTGAACGAGATCTCTTGGTCAAGTGGAAAGGTGATGTTTTTAGCATTGAATCAGTGTCCTTACTTGAAAATATTAATAAATTACACATTACTCATAAATGTTCAAAATGTATAATCTTAAAAATTTGTAATAAAACAAACAGAAGTTCCTTGATTACTCACCTATACTGTATACTTTTCTTTCACAAGCAATTGTATAATCTTACATTTAAGTTCAAGGTGATGAAACAATTAAACTAAATAAAAGTTTAAAACTGGTAAAATCTTAACTAAGATATAAAATACTATGTAATACTAGCACAGTGTTCTTCTTAAGTAGGTACTTGCCATTTATACTTGATAATTCTATATAGGAATTTTGGGTGGCTCATCAAATTTACCGTGGTAAAGTAACACTTCGTCCCTCAACATACTAATTAAATTATAACCTACTCTCGCATTTATGGATTCAAATTTTAGATAAGTTGCTGCTGCTTTCTTCCTAAACCAAGACTGCAAAACATCTTAGATAAATTGACATTGGTACTTAAACTAGAAAGAAATGCTAGGTAAAGTTCCAATTGTTTTACCTTTCACCCATTTGAGTCTTTCCTCAATGTTCATTTAGGGGTTTTTTCAATTATGGTTCCAACTAGTATTAATTACTGTGATTTTTTATAATTATTTAAATGCAGCTTTTTATCACTCGTAGGCAAACAAATTTTCACAAAATTAAGATGCAATAAGAAATTGAGGTAGATTTGGTTGCAATTCCAGATAGTTTGGGGTAAAATAAAATAAATAATTTTCAGAATGGAAAACGCTTATCAATCTGCAGTCTATCAGTTAATCTTTTGTGATTCGGATAAAATGTTTAAAGACGAAAAATGGCAAGAAAACTCCTACAAGCAAGTCCTTTCATAGACCAAACCTGTCAATAAAGCTGTAACAATACCAATGACATTCTCATACTGTAAATAATAAACTGTAAATAGTCAACATAATAGATTCATTCGAAATGCTGGCGTAGAAAAATAAATACTGGTCCAAACTATCATTAACTTGAGATTCAGCTTGGTCGACACACTGACATTGTAGTTAATTTTACGTTCACAATACCTTACAGATGAACGTTACAGTTAGAGTTAAGTTACGAGTGGTCGCAGATCCAGCGAATATCAGCTCACTAACTCTCGTCCCTGCTTCTCTCTCAGAGGTTAATCATCGTCTTCTTCCACGTGTTCTTTGGCCGACATGAACAACTTTTGCACAAAGTATGTCATGGACTCTGTAACATTTATATGTGTTGAAGACCAACATGTTTCACAAATGCAGATATGTATGGTAAATGGTGAAAATGGTGACTTGTAAACTAAAATAAAAAAGTGTGAAAATTATAAATTTTAAGCTGAACTTGTTTGGATGATTTTTTTTATGAAACTGTAATAGTTTTGTGTTTTAACATAGAATAAGACGAAGCCATTAAATATTTGATAATTTAATACGCCTGTCTTTATAGGGAACTAACAGTTTGATAAATTATATACAGTCAAACATTAATAAAACAAAACTCAATACAACAAATTACTTAGATAGAATACACTTTTTTAACGTTTTCAAACCACCTTCCCTTACAAGGAATAGGGGTCTAGTTGATGTACCTCACTGTAGGCAGAAAAGGTACAGAAAACTGCAAACAGTCATTTTGTTTTAGGTATTAAATTATTTAATAAGCTTCATCCTCAAGTCAAGTCCTTGCCGTTAAGTGTCTTTAAAAGAAAATTAACTATGTGGCTTTCATCTCACCCATTTTACAAAATTGAGGAATTTTTCAAATGTGATCTCATTTTTTGCTAATGTTAAATGTTTTTAAGTTAGGCTAGGATTTTACCATAGGATTTCGTAATACTGTAATTAATTTTCATATACTTCATGTTCACTTATTTTGATATGTTTTTTACCATATTCCATCTGTGATAATGTTAGAAATTTTGTCCCTCTATGTTCATTGTTACACCTGTGATAACCATTAGCCTTTTTTAAGAAAGACCCACTGTCATTCATAATTTAAGTTTGTTAAGTTTGCCTATTTTTAAATTATTTTAAACCTGTTAAATGTTAAACTAAGGGCAGCCTATATTTTGGATTTTTCATGTCTAATTTTAAAGTATTGCATCTTATATCTTTTTACAATAATAATGACGATGTCAATTACAATAATGTATTGTTTAAAGACTGAATAAATGATTATTATATTGACTATATTCTATTCTATTGACAATTCAATCTATGCCTCAATAAAACTAACCAGTCTTGTTTGGAATATCAATATAACAAAGTTTAAACATTTTCAACTTATACGTAGTGGAATGAAAACAAAAATCAAACATTAATAAGACATTAATTCAGCACATTACAAATAAGCAATAGACATCCTCACAAAGAAATCAACAGTTAGCGCAGTTGGGACTTAAGTGTTGTGTATGAAGCCACCACACTCAAATTTGACAATGTACTTCACCATTGTGGTTGTGTTACCATTGTGGTGGAGAACCTTAAATAGTGTTTAATTTGTGTTCAACTTAACCTCAAGTATAATTTTGTTGCCTAACTAATGTACAGCCAACTGGAATAAAATTAGTAACATGTTCATCTTTAAACCTAAATTAAATTAAATTAATTTTATTCCAATCAATCATGTAATGATCACGTAATTCTTTTTTTAATAAATCTTGTTCGATAAATTAGACAGCTCCTTCTTATTCTTAATTTATAACCTGTTATTATATTTTCTAAAGAGAATGGATGTCATTAAAAATGCGCTGGAAACCAAATTAACTTTACAAAGTTTTGCTAATACTACCCACATAAACCTCTTGTCCACAAAGGGTTAAAGCCTTGAAAAGGTTTGGCAACAGGCAATCTTGATTAATATAACAATTTTTAACATGTGATGAAGAGTTTGTAGTATTTTTAGTATTTTCCAACTTTGGTATGGCTGGTTTAGGTAGGATAAGAGTCTACTGTGTTGTAAAAACTTACGATGTGCCTGATGGAACCATTGAGGCTTGTTGGTCCATCTGACTCCGATGAAATAAGCCGGAACTCCGGTAAGAGTGATGGCAACAGCGACGGCTACTTCTAGAGGCTTGTAGTAGATAGGGAGGAACACTAGGAACAGGCAAATGATGATGAAGAAGATCGGGATCCACACAGACACCTGGAACAGAATATCACCTGTTTTATCCCAGATTAGTGATGCGGACCGGGTGGTGGGGGGTGCGGACCCAGCGGATAGGGTATTTATAAAAAGGTATTTCCCTGGGTATTTTTGAAAATTACAAACACTAGCAATGTTTTGCTTAGTTCATTGGATTTGTCATGTCAAAATTAGTAAACAATTAATTAGGCCTATGGTCATTTGATTGTTGGAGGGTATATACAGGGTGACAAAAAAGTCTGGAAACGGTTTAATATCTTTTTAACTAAATTCGTTAGAAAATTCAAACCTTTTACATCAACTTATATGTATGAAAACTACTTTTTGCAATCATTGCCATTATTTGACCTTCACCAGGGGACGGCCCATGAGGAGTAGGTACATAATCTTTAATGTAAGCATAGGTTGATATGCACATCATTTTAAAGGTCTGGTCAAGTGGAGCTCATTGCCGGAAACCGCGTCAAAAAAGGTTCATCTGTTACAAAATGGCGGCAGTTCAAAGTTGTTGCGGAATATACCTGCAGAGGCCTTAGTTTTGGTAAATACTCATAGTCAACATTAGCAGGGAAATCTAAAACCCGGTTAAATTTGTTTTGAAGATTGAATACTATTATTCTATGAGCTAGTTGACTTTAAAATACAGTTTAAGCTCTCAAACTTATGTTTAATACGAGTATTTGCCCATACTAAGGCCTGTGCAGGTATATTTCACAAGAACTTTGGACAGCTGCCATTTTGTAACGGATGAACCTTTTTGGACGCGGTTTCCGGCAATGAACTCCACTTGACCAGACCTTTAAAATGATGTGCATATCAACCTATGCTTACATTAAAGATTATGTACCTACTCCTCGTGGGCTGTCCCCTGGTGAAGGTCAAATAATGGCAATGATTGCAAAAAGTAGTTTTCATACATATAAGTTGATGTAAAAGGTTTGAATTTTCTAACGAATTTAGTTAAAAAGATATTAAACCGTTTCCAGACTTTTTTGTCACCCTGTATAGTTAGTTTGTTTGAGCAAAAAAAAACTACATATTTATTTAAACTCTCCTAAAATCAACTGCTAAATATTTGATTAACTTATTCACATGTGAAACATTTTTGTAGAAAGATAATTTTTCAAAATTATAAGACGAAAATGTATGGTAAAACTTCAATAAAAAAAACTTAACAGTTAGTATGCACCACATTCGAACAAATATCGCATAAATGTACAATAATGGGGCTAAAATTCAATATAACACTTAGTAAGCCGAATTCTGATTTTTTTTCATACAGTACGTATGTTTACAAAATTACTGATGAAAGATTTACTAAAACGTTTAAGACTCAAAATTGATACTTGGACCATGGCCTGTACAAACTGACAAAAGAAACACAAAACTTGACACTATACACAAAACATTAGAATATTTCACTGTTCTAACAGTATTGTCAACTAAGGAAGGTTTGAGTTGAAGGGAAAGTTGTCTTTAGGTCTAATGGTGGTCAGGAAGTTCATATGTTAACTGAGATAGTGTTTTTGTCTTTAAAATCACTAGCATGAAAAGGATTTTAAGTCAAATTTGACTCTTTACTTAAGACAAACCTTTTTTTTATCTTGATAAACGCCAGACGGTGATCTTTTAGTGATCATATTACCTTGATGGGGCGTGGAATGTTGGGTCTCTTGTACCTTAACCACAGGATTCCACTGACTGACAACATAATGAAGAAACTCTCCACAAAACTGGAGTAGGTGATGAGTGCGTAGATGTCACTAGTACATAGCATCATCAGAGACAAGATGTTCTGCAAACAGAAATATTAGTTTAACAAACATCGTCAGGATATATGATCTATAATAAAAGCTCACGTACGTATGAAGAAATAAGTAGCCTATTTAATATTGACTACATACCTTACACATGTATCAGTAAGATAAAGACCTTTTTCTGTTATGTTAACAGTTTGAAAACAAATTACAAATTCAAGCACATGGATTGTTTATGGTGACACAGGAACTAGTTTACCAGGTAAATAATTGGTAACTTTGAAGTGCAAGTGAAATGATAAAGGACACCTCCTAGTTGGCTATGATGATTTCCAAAAACTCACCAGGAAAACCAATGAAGGTGTTGGAGTAAGTTTGGAAACATTTATCTGAGCCAACATGACAGGGAAATGGCCGTACCTCGCTCCTACAAAACACATCCTGAAACCATCAACAGTCGTTTAACAGCAGGAAAATCTCCTCAAACAACATAAACATACAGATTTACCCAATCCCATCAACTTGTAATAGTCAATACGATACCTTTTTTTGTCGGTTGCCTTTTGTTCTTGATGTTTGTAAAAAGTCACACAACAAAACTCGCTGATTCAACAAAAGTGTCATTTTCAGTGGTTCCATTAAATATTTAAAAATGAATGTTACTTTTTACAAATATTTGTCAGACACAATTGTTTTTTTCACATTACCAATACTAATGTAATGTAATGTAGTGTCAAGTGTTTGGTCTTTGTGAACTTCCGAACAATCAAAGATTCTTGTGTTATATTGTTTAAGAACACAATATAATAAGAGGAATGTGATGAAAGATTCTAAGTGTTGTTTTGTAAAAACGTAAATAATAGTGAGGATGAAGACGAATAAAAAACGTTTGCTGATTGGACTAAGTCATCATATGTTGCAAGGAGTATTAGGTGAGATGGTTGGCATTTATCTCTAAAAAAGCTATCCATGCTGTAACTTATGAGGTTAAAAATGGACCAAAAGATTTAAATATTCAAATTAAAGTCAGTTAACGTTTACCCTAACAGTGATGAAAGTTATCATCGGAAAGTAATAGATTTTTTAGTTTATATGTTCCCTGCATATTAAGTTATGAAAACTGTCACTAACAATAATGTCGTTAAGATGATATAAAATTTATCCTAACAATTAATCGTGTAATATAAAGGAGTAAAAAAAAATAAGTTATGTGTTACTATGTGGTATTATTACCTTGAGGAGGTCATTATGTGAACACTGAGTCCTCCCAAAGCTGACATGGCCACCATTAGAGGCATCGTCCATGACATGAAGCCTAGCACTCTGTCTCCAAATGTCTGCAACCAAGGTTATCAATACATTACACATGGCCACCATCAGAGCCATTGTCCATGACATGAAGCCTAGCACTCTGTCTCCAAATGTCTGCAACCAAGGTTATCAATACATTACACATGGCCACCATCAGAGCCATTGTCCATGACATGAAGCCTAGCACTCTGTCTCCAAATGTCTGCAACCAAGGTTATCAATACATTACACATGGCCACCATCAGAGCCATTGTCCATGACATGAAGCCTAGCACTCTGTCTCCAAATGTCTGCAACCAAGGTTATCAATACATTACACATGGCCACCATTAGAGGCATCGTCCATGACATGAAGCCTAGCACTCTGTCTCCAAATGTCTGCAACCAAGGTTATCAATACATTACACATGGCCACCATTAGAGGCATCGTCCATGACATGAAGCCTAGCACTCTGTCTCCAAATGTCTGCAACCAAGGTTATCAATACATTACACATGGCCACCATTAGAGGCATCGTCCATGACATGAAGCCTAGCACTCTGTCTCCAAATGTCTGCAACCAAGGTTATCAATACATTACACATGGCCACCATTAGAGGCATCGTCCATGACATGAAGCCTAGCACTCTGTCTCCAAATGTCTGCAACCAAGGTTATAATACATTACACATGGCCACCATAAGAGCCATTGTCCATGACATGAAGCCTAGCACTCTGTCTCCAAATGTCTGCAACCAAGGTTATCAATACATTACACATGGCCACCATCAGAGCCATTGTCCATGACATGAAGCCTAGCACTCTGTCTCCAAATGTCTGCAACCAAGGTTATCAATACATTACACATGGCCACCATCAGAGCCATTGTCCATGACATGAAGCCTAGCACTCTGTCTCCAAATGTCTGCAACCAAGGTTATCAATACATTACACATGGCCACCATCAGAGGCATTGTCCATGACATGAAGCCTAGCACTCTGTCTCCAAATGTCTGCAACCAAGGTTATCAATACATTACACATGGCCACCATTAGAGGCATCGTCCATGACATGAAGCCTAGCACTCTGTCTCCAAATGTCTGCAACCAAGGTTATCAATACATTACACATGGCCACCATTAGAGGCATCGTCCATGACATGAAGCCTAGCACTCTGTCTCCAAATGTCTGCAACCAAGGTTATCAATACATTACACATGGCCACCATTAGAGGCATCGTCCATGACATGAAGCCTAGCACTCTGTCTCCAAATGTCTGCAACCAAGGTTATCAATACATTACACATGGCCACCATTAGAGGCATCGTCCATGACATGAAGCCTAGCACTCTGTCTCCAAATGTCTGCAACCAAGGTTATCAATACATTACACATGGCCACCATAAGAGCCATTGTCCATGACATGAAGCCTAGCACTCTGTCTCCAAATGTCTGCAACCAAGGTTATCAATACATTACACATGGCCACCATCAGAGCCATTGTCCATGACATGAAGCCTAGCACTCTGTCTCCAAATGTCTGCAACCAAGGTTATCAATACATTACACATGGCCACCATCAGAGCCATTGTCCATGACATGAAGCCTAGCACTCTGTCTCCAAATGTCTGCAACCAAGGTTATCAATACATTACACATGGCCACCATCAGAGGCATTGTCCATGACATGAAGCCTAGCACTCTGTCTCCAAATGTCTGCAACCAAGGTTATCAATACATTACACATGGCCACCATCAGAGGCATTGTCCATGGCATGAAGCCTAGCACTCTGTCTCCAAATGTCTGCAACCAAGGTTATCAATATATTACACATGGCCACCATCAGAGGCATTGTCCATGACATGAAGCCTAGCACTCCGTCTCCAAATGTCTGCAACCAAGGTTATCAATACATTACACATGGCCACCATCAGAGGCATCGTCCATGACATGAAGCCTAGCACTCCGTCTCCAAATGTCTGCAACCAAGGCTATCAATACATTATAATTTGATGATAACAGTAACACCTATCAACTCTACTTTGCCAGTAGATGAAAACTATATTTTTTCATATTGTCAAACGTTTGTGTGATATTATCATGTTACATTGAATATTTTTTCACAACAAATACAGTAAAATTCAATTAACCAAAAGAAAGTGGACAGGGCTGTTTTGGATAAGCCTCTGTTAAAGTATTACAGATACAATTTTGTACTTTTATGTGAACTAAGATGTGTCAAAACATCAATTTGACAGTAGGATTTGACCTTGACCTTAGTTTTGATTGTTCTCAACCAGAATAAATTTAGGTGTGTGTGATGCATAAAAAATGCATCGAAATTCTGATTTGATTCGATTCAGTGGTGATCAAAAATAGATTCAATTCTTGAGGGAGTCAGTATCCATATACAAAAAACGCCTGCAGAAAGCCAACGCAATACCCGCAATACAGGAGCGCGTTGCTGTTGCGTTTCTTTTGCGAAGGTGTACCTATTTAATTAATTCTTTTCTTGTAAATATTGCTTTAACTGTTTTATAATTTATGTTTTAATATTGCAAACGATGAGAAGTTTTGTTAAGTGTAAGAAGTGTGAGACATGTTTTACTACTGTGAAAGCCAAAACAAGTCACTCCAAAATCATTCTAAAATAACACAGGTCTGAAAAATTGTTACTTGATACTTAGTAATTGATTTAAACATTTTTGTTTTTTCTGCCCCTGAGCTATTAGACTTAATAAATGGTTTTAAGTTACCTTTGTCAGTAGCTCAAATGGTCGTTAAAACTCTACAACCAGGTTTCGATGCTGAGTTGCACCATGATCACGTAAGTCAGCAGGATAACTTCTTGCTCACATATCGGTCAAATTGACGTCGTTAAAAAGTTTATAAACACAATACAGGACGTAAAAAACACATACATTAAACACGAACAGGTACAAAACATATTACGAACGAGATCAAACTATCGAACGGGCCCGTCACGGTTATCGGCGGCAGGAGGACTGGAGACGGCGCCGTGTGCGGTGGTGTGACCTTGAGGTTACTGATAACCGAGATAGTGGACTCGTCCTTTGTGCTTCCTCCCCTGTAGATGAACTCGTCCGGTGGGTTTGGCATTCCAATATTTTGTTAAAAATAAGGTGCGAGCTATAGTTCAGTTTATCGTTTAAAACTAATTCTTTATCCTGTTGGAGGGCTCTGTAAATATGGTATTCCTCCAGTGTGTCCAAAATATGTCCTTTATTTTGAAATTCTAAAATTTTCATGTTGTCTTCAATTTTTGCAGCCGAATGTTCTTCATCGATTATGTGTTGTGCAAAGCTAGATTTTTGCTGCACCAATCAGGGGTTGGGCTTGTGTTCCTTAGCCCTTTTGATGAAAGAACGCCCAGTTTGGCCAATATAATATTTTTCACAACTACCACATTTTAACTGATATACCCCGGTCCTGTCCAAATTATCTTTACCTGTAGATGAAAGTTTTGGTTTTAAAAATTGTTCAGTTTTATTAGAAGTTCTAGGGGCTGGTATGATGTTAAAAGGTTTTAATTCTTTCTTCAATAGATTATGTAATCTATGGCCGTATTATATCGGGACATATTTGGGTTTCACGTCAGTGATCTGTTTACCGGTATCATTATTGATTTTACTATCCATCTGCTTCTTCAATATTTTATTAACCATATTGGAGTCGTATCCATTGGCCCTGGCAATATGTTTAATTATATTTAACTCTGTCTGGAAAACTCTCTCTGGCTCACCGTTATCAGGAATCATATCAGAAATTTATCTCAACTACATAGAAAATAAGCACATCCTATCTGATAAAAATCCATACAGCAAGAAGATCCTATTTTACTCTAGATATGTGGATGACACTATAGTAGTTTTTGATGGAAACAATAGACAAATAGAACTCCTTAACAAATATCTTAACAATATAACCCCAAAATTGAAGTTTACCCAAGAGGTTGAAAATAACAACAAACTCAATTTTTTGGACCTCACAATTGAGAAATATGATTCAAAATTCAAATACAATATTTATAGAAAACCAACCACAACTGATCAGACTATTCACGCCTCATCTTACCACCCTTTCAGTCATAAAATAGCAGCATATAATAGCATGATCAACAGATTGCTCCGAGTTCCATTAACGCCAGATGATTTCCAGACAGAGTTAAATATAATTAAACATATTGCCAGGGCCAATGGATACGACTCCAATATGGTTAATAAAATATTGAAGAAGCAGATGGATAGTAAAATCAATAATGATACCGGTAAACAGATCACTGACGTGAAACCCAAATATGTCCCGATATAATACGGCCATAGATTACATAATCTATTGAAGAAAGAATTAAAACCTTTTAACATCATACCAGCCCCTAGAACTTCTAATAAAACTGAACAATTTTTAAAACCAAAACTTTCATCTACAGGTAAAGATAATTTGGACAGGACCGGGGTATATCAGTTAAAATGTGGTAGTTGTGAAAAATATTATATTGGCCAAACTGGGCGTTCTTTCATCAAAAGGGCTAAGGAACACAAGCCCAACCCCTGATTGGTGCAGCAAAAATCTAGCTTTGCACAACACATAATCGATGAAGAACATTCGGCTGCAAAAATTGAAGACAACATGAAAATTTTAGAATTTCAAAATAAAGGACATATTTTGGACACACTGGAGGAATACCATATTTACAGAGCCCTCCAACAGGATAAAGAATTAGTTTTAAACGATAAACTGAACTATAGCTCGCACCTTATTTTTAACAAAATATTGGAATGCCAAACCCACCGGACGAGTTCATCTACAGGGGAGGAAGCACAAAGGACGAGTCCACTATCTCGGTTATCAGTAACCTCAAGGTCACACCACCGCACACGGCGCCGTCTCCAGTCCTCCTGCCGCCGATAACCGTGACGGGCCCGTTCGATAGTTTGATCTCGTTCGTAATATGTTTTGTACCTGTTCGTGTTTAATGTATGTGTTTTTTACGTCCTGTATTGTGTTTATAAACTTTTTAACGACGTCAATTTGACCGACATGTGAGCAAGAAGTTATCCTGCTGACTTACGTGATTATGGTGCAACTCAGCATCGAAACCTGGTTGTAGAGTTTTAACGACCATTTGAGCTACTGACAAAGGTAACTTAAAACCATTTACTTAGTAATTGACGTTTAAGACTGATAAATTTGGTATTTTGTCTTCTATGTATTCCTTGTAGTTTGTAGTTCTGATTCTATCCTCTAATTTTATCAATTAGAAGCAAAGTTTCAGTGTAAATCTTGCACATGTTTTTATTTGTTTAAGCCAAAACATATCTTTATTTGTAAAATCAATATTATAAAATAGGTAATATGCTTAACAATATGATTCTGCAAGTAAAAATTGTGAAATAGGCAAGTAAAGCAGCTCACTGACATTTCCAGCGATACAAGTTCTTCTAATATATGATTGAAAATAAATATTTTTTCACCTAAAATTCATATATGTCATATGTATAAATAGGCCTAGTACCACATCAACAAAAATTGTCATTACACATAAGTGGTAAATTTTAATTAGCCTATTGTTACTTCACTCCATTGACAAGTATGAATAGAAAAATGTCGTATTGCTTCGAATCGAATTGTATCGATTTGAATCAGAAACTTTTTGAATCGAATCAACCATTTTTTGCTGCTTCGCACACCTCTAAATAAATTATACCAATTCAATTTAGCTACGACCCAATACTGACCACAGCTATTGCGTTGGAAGCTACTATCTCAGCAGGAGAGAGCACAGCGAGGTACGCTACGTTGGCCAACACGTAGATCAACGTCACCAGAGGCAGCGAGATGTATATGGCTCTCGGCAAGTTGCTATAACAAAACACATATGTTCATAGGATTACAAGGAAAGATCACATAATGTTATATGCATACTTTGGCTATCAGATCTGCTCTAAGGGAGGGGGTCACCGCTAAGGAATTTTTTCTCCCTCCCACAGGCAAAAATAAAACAAGTTTTTAAGTTACAGCCAAACTGGTTAAATTCCGATGATGAAAGCTTTTAGTTGCACTATACGGGTTAATCGTTTTATATAAAATATGTCCGAAGTTTGAATAACTCGGTTTCATGATTTAGTAGTCTATGGATATAAGATAGTCATAATTAAAAATACAAAAGTCTATAATTGTCATAGATACTTACACATAAGGATTTTTAAGCTCCTCAGTCATGAAATTCAGATAGTTCCTGCAAAAAATGACATAAATAAATGTTTGAACAACATGTTTTTTAAACTATTGAATGGGCTGATTTTCTGATTACTGGCTACCCATCTGCTCATAAAAATAAATATAACTTATATACAGTTTATGATCCCACAAAAGTTTGTTCAAAGATTGTAATAGGAATCTACATACATTAACAGGGGAAGGATACATTTTTTTAGCTCAAAAAGTAGTTTAAACTTGTGACTTATTGAGAGAGATAAAATCAGTAATAAGGGTCGTGTAAAATGCATACAGCCACATTGTAAGAATGGCATAGGAAGCTATTTTATTTTGATCCAATTCCTTGATTTTAAATTGTGTTGTAATCAGAGGGTAAATGATCTTAATATGTCTATATTTTTAACACACAAAAACTGACTCCTTGTGTTTAAATTGGTTATGTATACGAAATGCAGACAATCAAACAAATAGCAAGTAGGGCCTATACAACTTTTTGAAAAATTACGGGCAAAATGTATCTAGAATATGTTATTTAAATTTCACATTATACAAACCAGCCAGAATAGGAGAATATCCCAGCATAAAAGGCAACTGCAACTTTTCCTCCTTCTGTGTTGGAACCCTCAAATGGCTCGGAAAACTTTTCAAATTTGTCTAAAACAAAAGATTCAAAAATTACTTTTAATGATATTTTAGTAACTGATAGAAAGAGTGAGATTTCTTAACGATGTTTAAACTGTTGTATTCATGATTTCAATGAGTGACAAAGGTCAATCGGTGTGATCAAAAAGATGACAAAATGTTTCAATTTTGTGTGGTTTTTCTCCAACAATTCCTATACATTGTTAACTTGGTTTTCCTTTAAAATCCACATTACAAATGATGTATTCAACAGTTAAACCACATCTCGTTTGATTTATATGGTTTAGCTGTAGAAATGTTTGTACGTTAATTGTGAACAACCACTAACCATGGACGAGAAACGGTTGTAATAGGCTTACCACGTTTGAGGAACAATAATTTTAAATATTCATGTTTCTGGTCCCTGGACTACTTTTTTTATGACAAACTGATCTAACAGAATAACCATTGGCTATTTGACAGAGGTAGAAAAAAACTTGTTTTCATCATAATTGTTCTGTTTTAGATTAATTGGTATTTTAACTGTGGCTGACATTCCATAAACAAACACTATTTCCGAAGGTCACGTTTCCACTAAATAAGTAGTGGAATTTTCATTAAAGCTCAAAAATGAATTATTTGGTCATCAAGTAACAACCTATGTCAATTACAAGGCCATACATAAACACATTTTAGATTAATATCTCCTCAACCTTGAGATAGTGTAATAGACAACACATGTTAGCAAATGAGTAATATTGATTACATCATGAGCTGATAACATGCTGTAATGCTGTAATACTGACTTTCACTGATAAGGCTAGTTTATATATTTTTAAAAAGGAAACTCTTGTTTACTTCTTGCACCTTACGTTGTTTGGATGGATTTTATAATGTGAAATTACTAGATGGAGAACACAGGTGTATTATGGTCTTGTTTAGGTTCAGAACTATAAATACCCATGCCGCAGCTAACCTGCAGATAAAGCCCATTCCCACTTTCCTGATTGTACTTTTTTTACCAAGATTTTTTCTTAAACATGTAGGGAAAAATTATTCAATTAGCAAGAGGTTAAATGGGCACTTAGGTTTGCTGACACAGGGGAGGTAATCATCTGTTTTTGTGATACATTATAGCAGAGTATAAATTATGTATTTGCCAATTTTTAACAGAATATGACCATGAACAAACAAACTACAACAGTTTACTTATCCTTCATAAGGAACAAAACATGAAACTTTTAACTTTTCAGTATTTTTTATTTTTTCTGTAACCATTACACATCCAATAATGTTTCAATATGTTTCATTTATTGCTTTTTAAACTCTGCAAAATCATTTAGAAACTGCAAATATTTAAGGTTTTGAGGGTAAAAATTGGGAAAACCACTTTTCCCCCCATAAAACACATTGGGTTATGTGTTTGTATAAAAATTCATTAAAATCATATCTTTTTACTTGAGTTTTCATGCTAACAGACACCCATAAATGGATTTTAAAGAATGCTGTTTTTGGCCTCTGGCGACATTAAAACGAAAAAGTAAATCAGGCTCGTTTTAGGTCTTACCTGAGACGCACGATAATAGTTTATTCCCTGCATAGGAAATTCACTAAAACCACCTGTCCTTTTCTACATATTGATCGTACGGTGGATTTAGACATTCCTTATTGAATGGACAAATTGGATTCACAAAACTCATGCCACAAATGAAGAAGTAGGCCTATTGATATTTAGAAGCCTATATCTTTTAGTCTAGTTGGAGGTTGGGACGTTATTATTCACCATTATAACATGAATATGGGATCAATTTATCAGCATCATTCAACATTTAGTGGTTGATTTTTATTTTTGTTCAATAAATATCGACACAAAACCATATTGTCATACAGGCATTGTCAAACAGACGTTGTTGTTGTAGTAGTAGATGTATACTTGTTGGATTTTAGGATATTATTCTATTGTATCATCAAATGTTGCTCAATCCTTGCCAATCTTCTCGTAAATGAAACTTTTCTAAATTTTTTTGTTATGAGGTTTGGTTTTGACACATGGCTAATGTATAAAATAAATTTGTTTACATGAGGATTGAATTCTAAAAGTGACAAGATTTGTATCAAAGACTTACCAACAAATATCATGTGGAAAACCCCAGTCAGGATTATAATACTCAAAGCGATGATCTTCCCAAACATAAATGTGTTTTGGATCTTTGTGGTTCCTTTGACATCATAGCAATTCAGAAAAGTGAAAAAACCTGGAAAAAAAAAGGGATGAAGCAGGTCAAAATGTATTCACGGATATTGGTTATTATCTAAACATACAATGGCTATCCGGGTATTCCCCTCACTAAATCAGCTGATTTCACTGTTGATGTTTCTAACACTAACATCCGGTAAGCAAATAACATAACCTAAATGATAATTTATATACAACTAAAAAGTTAATCTGTGTATTTTGATAAGTTAATTGGTAGGAAAAATCTTGTGTGTATAATGAGCACAGTCATTGCTGCTCTTGAAATGTAGCGGCAATGACGTACTTTGCGCTCTTAATAGCAATTGTCTACAACAGCAATGCAACAATGGACGGGTTATAATCCCCAACAACGAATCAGAATGTTTTTATATTTAGTACACAACCACCTGTTGAGATTAGCACCCTCATACTTATTTGGCATACATTAAAATGCCAATGTTTTAAACTCTAACCATATAAAAGCATTGGTGAATTTCCCAACTAGAATTTGCAAAACAAAGAAGAGTGCAATTGATAATGTTTTTACTAATATAGCCAAGAGCAAAATAAAAGTTTCAGGAATAATTACTGAATTGTCTGACCATGACGCTCAGCTGTGTGTAATTACTGATAACAGTATAGTAATTTCAAAAACCCCAAAAATAATTGTAACATACTGTAGGAAATTTACTGATGATAGCATTGCTCAGTTTTGTAAACTCTTAAAAAGTGAAAACTGGATCAATGTGTTTAATGCACCTGTTAATAATAAGTTTGACATTTTCTTTGATATAATTAAGTATGATTTTGATGTTTGTTTTCCTAAGCTTAAAAGTAGATTAACCAGAGGAAATAGTAATTGGATTACAGATGATATTATAAATAAAAGAATAGATGTTTTAGATTTGAGTAATACTGCTAGGAATGTTAAAGATAAATCATTTCAAAATATTCTGATCAAAAAAAGAAAGAACTAAAAAAAGAAGTCATTGAAACTAAATGTAATTATTATCATAACTTATTGGAAAAATCACAGAATGTCAGTAAAACTACATGGGATATTGTAAATAGGGAAGTTGGAGCAAATCATAAATCAAGCCATGTTGAAAGTTTAAGCTTACCATATATTAAAGCCAATAAATGCACTGACGTTAAAGATGTCTGTCATCTCTTCAATGATTACTATACAATGATGGTTGAAAATGACATATTGCCCAAACTAATATCTTCTACTGGTTCAAAAAATATTATTTCACCCTCCAAAAAATTGATATCAAAATTTAGTCTTTCACCAATTACTTATGAAGAGCTGGACAAAATTATAACTTCTTTTGATAGTAAATTTTCTACTGGCTGGGATGAAATACCAATGCCAATAATTAAACAGGCTCGTCTGTATATATTATTACCATTACTACATGTTATAAACTCCTCTTTCATCTCCGGAATTTTCCCTGAAAAACTAAAAAAATCTAAAATTAAAACTTGTTATAAGAATGGTAGCCCAGAAGAAATGTGTAATTACAGACCTATCTCATTGTTATGCTCATTTTCCAAAATTTTTGAGCGAGTTGTGCATATACAACTTTCAAAATACTTAGAGGAAAATAATTTATTAGATAAGGAACAATATGGTTTTAGAGAAGGAAGGTCTGTGATTGACGCAGGAGTTGATTTCTGCGAATCTATAATTAATTCAATTGATTCAAAGGAAAAAGTAGTTGGAATATTCTTGGACTTAACAAAAGCCTTTGATAGTGTCTCACATGATTTACTTCTTGAAAAACTTAAATATAATGGTGTAAAAGGGAGAGCTTGGCGTTGGTTTGAATCTTATCTTACAGGCAGGCAGCAGTATGTCACAATTGATCACATAAATAGCCATAACCAATTAATTACTTACACTTCTTCAACAAAAATTGTTAAGTATGGTGTCCCTCAAGGATCAATTTTGGGGCCCCTATTATTCTCAATTTACTTGACTGACTTACCCTCATTGATAGAATCTCCCAATCGTGTTTGTTTATTTGCTGATGACATCAATATAAAAATATCCGGAAATTCAAATTCTAATGTGGAAGTCTCTTCTTTTGTTGAGCTTACCAAATGTAACCAATATTTAAATGAAATCAATTTATTACCGAATCCAATAAAAACTAATTATATAAATTTTTCTTCAACAAGCAAAAATACACCTGATTTTAATATTTTTATGGATACAACTTTACTAAATGAAGTTAAAACAATAAAATTTCTGGGATTGCATATAGATGATAAATTCAACTGGGACAGTCATGTTGAAAATGTTTGTAATAAAGTCAACTCAGACATACATGCATTAAGACAGATGTCAAAATTTAGTAGTTTAAAAACCTTAAAAATAGTATATCATTCCCTGATTGAATCACACATTTCTTTTGGGTTGTGTCTTTATAGTGGCACATCAAATTTTAACCTAAACAGCATTCTGGAACTTCAGAAAAAAGCAATTCGCATCATGCTAAAACTAAAATCAAAAGAATCCGCAAAAGAGCACTTTAAAGAAATAGGAATTATGACTGTTTTTAGCTTATACATTTATCAAATAGTCCTTTATATTAAATCAAACCATGAAAGATTGCCAAAATTGAACTCTTTTCATATGTATTCAACCAGAAAAGGTAATGAATTGGCATTCAACAGACACAATTTATCGGTTTACGAAAAAATCCCATCTTATAGTGGTGTTAAATATTTCAATAGCTTGCCTGACAATTTAAAAAATATAACTATTTTAATTCAATTAAAAAATGTTTGAAATTATTTCTCACCAACAGACCCTTGTATAAATTAGAAGATTTTTTCCAACTTCCTGAAATTAGATTTTTTTGATAGTAACAATATTCTCTGTAAGTAGTCTTAAGTTTAATATTGTGTTTTTATAACTGACTCCATTCTGTACAAAATGTGCAATATGAATAAAGTTATTTTGATTGATTGATTGATTGAAAATGTTAAAATATGCACCCCAATTAAAAGTCCTGCCTAGTTGTCAAGTTTGGGAGGGGATATGGTTTTTGTTTGAAACATGTAATTGAAATTTATTTATAATGGTTTAAATACCTACATTCAGTAATCCAAAATGTTGCATCCATCTTCAGGCCGTACAAGGCGTTGTTATTCACCTCCGTATATGAAGGTCGTCATTTAAATAAGTACATAGAACACGAACACACACAAAAACGCACATTGAAAGACGAACATTTAACATTAAAAATACCGAGTACTCGGAGACACGAGACAGGTGACGCGACCGGGTGGAAGTTGTAGCTCGAACTGGTTTACTTCCACCCGGTCGCGTCACCTGTCTCGTGTCTCCGAGTACTCGGTATTTTTAATGTTAAATGTTCGTCTTTCAATGTGCGTTTTTGTGTGTGTTTGTGTTCTATGTACTTATTTATTAAATTACGACCTTCATATACGGAGGTGAATAACGACGCCTTGTACGGCCTGAAGATGATTCCCTGTGAATCGAAACTATAGTTGCCACAAGCAACATTTTAGATTACTGAATGCAGGTATTTAAACCATTACAAATATTTAAACCTAATCCGGAGGCTAACAACTCTTGAAAATGAAATTTATTGCCAGATTTGTGATGTGCAGCATGGAAATAATGCTGAGTGGGGCAGTAACATTTTTTAAACTGCCGTAGCAAAGTTTACGATGAAGATCGCAGAGGTAGGCCTAGTCTTGTGTTTGATTAATGGTAAAAATCTGCAAGCTTTATGTACTTTTGGGTCCAAAATAGAACTAGAAATATACAAATTCCTTTGCTCTGTTTGAATCAATCCAAGGCATTGCAAAGTATGTTAGACTAAATGTAAAATATTTCCCCCAACTACGAACTTTAAAATATAAATCACCTTCAAAATAAATTATAGACAACCACGAATATACAATTAAATGGACATTTGTAACTAGGCCTACCATTCTATAGGCCTCTTATTCATTTTATTTAAATAAGTCTAAACCAACCAAAATCCTTTTAATCAATCAGTTTAAACATTTACTTACAAATAACAACAGCTGCTATGCATCTGACAGATAGGTCTGGTAGATCACACTCCGGGAAGAACGGCTGGATCACATACTTTGCAAAGGTTAGACCCATAATGGCATTAGTGGTTGGACTGGAAACCGAATCATCAGTTATAAATCATTGAATGACACGATAGGCTTTTAACATATAAGTTAATGGTATTCTGCTTCAAAATTATTTTGAAAAAACTACATCAAGAGTCCTTAGAGGCTAGCGGCCACCATGGATAATTTCAAAATGCTGTTGAAGAGTTATTAATCATCCAAAAATATTTTTTAACAATATTTTTTCACCAAAGTGTTTATAATTTGAATGAGTAGTATACAGTGGGATTAGATATTTTCTTGGTTTTGAATTGTTCTCCAAGGGAGTCCATGGATCTAACAGCCATCTTGGATTTGCCCACCATAAGAACAATGTTAATTTCGTTAATTTCAAACAGCAGCTTAAGAGTTATTTAACATCTCAAAATATTTTTTCAATCACCAGAATGATTTTTATATAAATATATAGTAAAATGTGGGATTAGAAATTTTCTTTGTAGTTTTTTAATAGTTTTATGAGTTTTTTTCAAAGATTTTATTTTTCTCAACATTTCACTATTTATTATTTTTGACCAAACATCAGAGATTTGAAAAATAATTTTCAATCGGAATCCAAATTGTAACTTCAACTCACACAAAGATGAGCATGGCGTCCCACAGGTACAGAAAGGCAGGCAGAGGCCCGAAGGCTTCATAGATGTAAGCGTAGTCTCCGCCAGACTTGGGTATGGAAGTGCCGAGCTCAGCGTAACATAACGCTCCGACCATGGACAACAAGCCACACATCGCCCAGACAACCAGGGACAGTCCGACAGACTCAACTTCCTGAATAACTCCCTTGGGTGAAATGAAGATACCTGCACATTTACAATTTAAATATAATAGAATTGTTATGCTATTATTATTTGCAATACAAAATCTATTTATTTTCCTCATCGAAGACAACTTCTTCCTTAACTTCTGGATCTACAGCTGAAGATATTGTCTGACACAAGTCACAGGATTATCACATAGCAAATTTTTATTGGTTATCTTTAGGATTTGAACTGGACCAAGACAGGAGTTTCACACAGCTGAATATCAACCTCTTTCAATCTTGTAATGGAATTTAATAGGTTTGCATCCACTAGTTAAAATTACGAGTAACTCGGAATCCTCTACATATGAAAGCCTTTAAAGTATATTTTATCGGGAATGAAGGTGAAAAATCTATAAGTTTCAAATAAAATGTGTTTTATGTTATAGGCCTAATTAACATCACTTACATCTAGAATCGGCCAATAGTGAGTTTTTACATTATAATTCCAGCTATGGGTTATATACGAGTATGTTAACATACGGGTATGTTAAACCGGGAATAATAACACCAGGAAATTAGTCAAAAAACCATAAATACACTGTCACTGAAAGTCGGATCATTAACTCTAAGTCTATGGTTAGGCCTACCTACTTGTATGGAAGCGAATTCTGACAAAATTGTGTTCTGACTAATTCTAATGATTTAGTTCGGCATGAAGTTGTCCAAACAAACAAACACCTGTTATCCAATGAGTGTTTTGTTTATAGTGGCAGCAACTTCGACTTTAGAACTGACACAACGTCGTCCGAACCATTTATGCGTTCAAACAAGTTTGATTTTTGTATGCAGCCTGCGACTTAGTGCGTTGAATGTTGAGTTTTTAGCTTATCTCACCATGGTTAAAAGTAAATTAATCAGTCTTGTGTAAGAGAACAGGTGTTTGTAAGATATTAGAGACAAAAATTAACTACAGAGGTATTGATCGGAAAAAGGAGAAGGTTGCAGCTTAACTTAAATATTCAAAAAACCTTTACGGTTGGTTTAACAAAACTTTAAATAACATTTCAAACTCTTCTTTCTTGCCTTAACTAACAAATATCTGGTTAAAATGCTTTGTTTTCCACCTATTCAACAACAACAAGTTTGATAACGGACTCTCAAGAATGTAAACTTAAACTATCATCCATTTTGCTGGGCGGCTTTCCCACATAAGCTATTGACAATCAGGAGATCAGGAAATGAACACAGCATAACCACCTTGTTCTGAAGAGCGTTTAGGACATAATCGTCAGAACAAAATTTTGCCAGAATTTGCAACCATAGTAACCGTAGCCTAATACTAAAGCCTAATCTAAACCTAAACTGCACTGGGGATATTGACCATTGACTTCTGGATACTTAAGTACTTATCCCGAAGATTCGTTGGTTTAAAAATTTTTTTTTAAACACACAGCAAAGCATACATGATAGCTACGGAGCTGCAATTTAAGTCATTCTGTTCGCAAACTATGCCAGTAAGCGGTTTCGTTGAGGCCTACAAGCAAACTCCAGATTCATACGCAATACTGGCCCTTACTTAAAAACCCGCCCTCTTATATTAATAAGGACCAGATGTTACCAATTTTGTATAAAAATGAACGAAGTTGAATGAGCCAGTCACAGATCACTGTGATAGTGTCCAAAACTCTATTTTCTACCTTGTTATTTGTTACCTACTGAGATAAAAAAGTCCTATCAGTTTACTTTGTAAAAAAGTATGAATTTTCAACAGAAATCGGTGATTTAGATCAGTTCAATCTGTCGCTGGCTTGATTAAACTACACACATTCTGATAAAGAAACTGGAGACAACATGAACAAGGAGATAGAACATCCAGTTCTATTATAGGAAAAGGTGCAACTTGAAATACCTATTAGGCCTTCCTATCCTTAGAAGTAAAATATTAAAAGTAAGCCAAGTGACTGATTAGAATTTTTTTGGAGAAAGGGATAGATTTTTCACTCCCATTTTTTATTCCTAATAGGCATTCTTATCCTTTACTACTCTGAAAAAGATCCTCGCCAATTCGAACCTCGACTCAATTAGAAATGTTTGTCTGTTCCCCTAAGAAAAGCTCTAAAATTCGAAAAATAGTATACCAATAATTCAAAGTGATTTTTACGCTTAACACAGCCTCTACAATTTGAATTTGCACATACTCGAGCCTCTACAATTCAAATTTTGTTGCTGTAATTCAAACTGTTACCTCCAAAGTAAACCTCTACAATTTAAACTGTGTTACCGTAAGCAGGCCCACTTTTATAAACGGGCAGACTAGGCATATACCCAGGGGCGCCCTGAACCACAGCCCGCACTAGGAAAAATAGGGTTTTATCAGCCGCGATTTCAAAAATAAAATGGGTGATTTCAACTTGTAGTTAAGTGATTTTCCCTTATTGCAAAAGTAAATAAATACAACAAAATTGAAAATACTCGACCTTCAGATTATACCTCGTGTAGGCAGGCAGCAGAGTGAACCGGGCGCACTCACTATACTATCAGAGGCAGGGAGGCCTGCATGGTGGAAGGAAAATACATGCTGATGTCACTCAGTTTACAAACACCCTTTTACTATTGAGAAAAATTATAAAAACAATAACAATCAAATCAAAACAAATATATAGGTACTTATATGGCAATACATCAGCTGGTTTTTGTTTGCAATTTGGGTGACGTCAGCAAATTACGGGAATAGCATGTAGGCCAGCTGTAGTCTACAGGCCTACCGTTCACGTGCCCCTCCTCCCCATCCCAGTCTCACCCCCATCCCCACAAGTCACAACTACCAACTACCGCGCGGCGCCAGAACAGTACAGTAGGTACTGAGTACTCCTCCCTTAGTATTCAGTATGTTGTGTTCGTGTTGTGCCTGCTGCACAGTCGTCAAATCAGTCACAACACAACCTAAACTCCAACTGTGACAGTGACTAGTCAGTGTTGACACTCACACTGCAGTTAGTGAACCAGTAATAAATAAATAGAGAAGTGTTGATACAAGTAAGTAGGCCTATAAACAGTGAAAAATGCATTAAAAAACTAGTGGAGCCGAGAGCCGCAAGCGGTTGGCTCAAAGAAAACAAACTCAAGAAGCAGTTTTAAAGAACGTGAAATGTATTAACCAGTATTTCCAGTGATACGGAATTGAAAACTCCCTCCCGAAAAAAAAAAACTGGTAAAAAAAACACGCTAATGTATAAATATAAATATGAATAGGCCTATAGTAGAACCATGGAAAAACATACTCCTTAGTAGAATCTCGTTCAATACGTGTGTAATGCAATGATCTGCACACTGTACTGTACTGAACAGTAATCAAATCACTGCGTAGTGCATTAAGCTATTGGCGCAGGGCAAGAGTCATACGCATAGCAACTACTGTCAAGTTCATTGCACTCACCCCAACCCACAACCCACCTGCAGTGAATTTCGGCGAACTGATGAGTCAACCCCCCTTCTCTCTACCCCTCCCTACACTGCTGTGGTCAAAACCTTTATAGTTATATATACATATATATATAAGGGGGGGGCGCTGCTTTTGGGTTTGCCCAGGGCGCCACTGGCCCTTAACGCGGCCCTGACCGTAAGCCTCTGTAATTCAAATTCAGGACAAAAAATATGCCTGTTGAAACATGATCTGACGCTCTTATTGATGTCCCCATGATGCGTTCATTAGTCTCTGGGTAATTATTCTGTATAGGTGCCTCCAAACGAATTTTTAATTTTGATATCTTACTTTATAGTTTTTTACCTCCTGAATCCAAATATACCATTATTTTTCACAGCTGATGAATATTTCTCAAGATATCGCCGTAATAATATACAACATTACAATAAAAAAGGTAGGATGGATGACATTTACAAGTGGAATGAACTATGGGTTAAGTAAAAAAACAGCTGATTGTTTTCAATCATTGTCAAGCAAATGGAAGTGACAACTTTAATTAGCTAACTCTGATTCTGCAATATGAAAATCACCTGATTAAGTTACACTTTTCACTTTCTAAGACCAATAAGTTAATAATGTACCTATTATTGTTACCAGTATTTTATCCTTATTAATGATTTATTGATTTATATTTCGCCGTTTCGAAATTACATAATAATAATGGTGCTATTCTAACATAACCAAACCTCTAGAATGTGTAAGCAAACTCCTTTTGATGTCAGAAAAGGCATGTCAGGGTGATAGGTCGTGCTTTATGTGAATTGGTGACTGCATTAAGTCCTTTGAAGGTATTTCATATTTTGAGTTGTTTTTGTCTCTGGATCACAGAACAAACTATAAAAGGTATAAAATTACCTGAGTACTGCCAGAATGATCCTGTTGGTCCTTACGGATTACGCGTTTCGAGGAGCTTAAGTCCTCATCATCAGATCTTGTACAAGAAACACATCTATCACTTCGAAAAGGTCGTCAAAAGTTTAAATATACAACACGGACACATAATAAATAAACACATTTTACAATTACGGGTAGGCCTACCGACAAAAACTTGCAATGTCCGACCGCACAGTTGTAGGTTAAAGTCATGACTGCGATACGGAAGGTGGGCGAGCGGTGGACTTTGTACTTCTCGGCTCTTTGTTCATCAGCTGTTCTTGGTTTGATATTAAAGTATCATACAGAGCGTTGGACTGGAAACTGATTTTGTCGTTTAATAATGTGTTAGGTTGGGTTTTGGTAGTTTTATAAATTTCGAACTCTTCTAAAGCGTCCATAACATTGCCTTTATTGCAAAAATGTAGAGGGGTTAAATTCGTGTTGAAATCACTGTAGTTATGGTTTTCATTTACAAGATGAGCTGCAAAATTGGATTTGAGATGATTGCTTGCTTTAGGCAAATGTTCTTTAAATCTAGTTTGAAATGTCCTGCCTGTTTGCCCAATGTAAATTTTGTTACAATCGTCGCATGATAACTTGTAGATACCAGTTCTGTCGGCTGTATTATTTACTCCATTTTTATCAGCACTGCTGAGTAGTTTTTGTAGTTTTTGTAGCAAGTTTTTGTCGGTAGGCCTACCCGTAATTGTAAAATGTGTTTATTTATTATGTGTCCGTGTTGTATATTTAAACTTTTGACGACCTTTTCGAAGTGATAGATGTGTTTCTTGTACAAGATCTGATGATGAGGACTTAAGCTCCTCGAAACGCGTAATCCGTAAGGACCAACAGGATCATTCTGGCAGTACTCAGGTAATTTTATATATCCTTTGAAGGTAGGTTAGATTAGGTAAGTTAAAGTTTAGGTTATAATGTATCGAGTTGTTAGTTTATGTCGCCTGCAGACTGTTTTTGTAAAATTAAAATCCTGAGAAAAACACTTCAAATTACTTTTTCAAAAATGCTTGCATTTTTGAAATAGTAATTTGAAGTGTTTTTTCTGGATTTTAATTTTACAAAAACAGTCTGCAGGCAACATAAACTAACAATTTGATACATTATAACCTAAACTTTACCTTCTTAATCTAACCTAACATCAAAACACTTAATGCAGTCACCAATTCACATACAGCACGACCTACCACCCTGACATGCCTAAATAAGAACTACATGAAATTAGTCCACCAGTCCATCTATATCTCCATAATGTGACGAAATTCCTATTATAGAGAACATTACAACAAGTTATTTGACTACAGAATCACTTGAAATGTTATCCATCCTATCTTGTTTATTCTAAAGTTTTTACGGCGATATCTTGAGAAATATTCATCAGCGGTGAAAAATAATGGTATATTTGGATTGAGGAGGTAAAAAACTATAAAGTAAGATATCAAGATTAAAAATTCGTTTGGAGGCACCTATACGGAATAAATACCAGTCTCTGTTCTCTCAAACTTTCTACACTTAAAACTGGGACCTCCATGATTAAAATTGTATCCATTCTATCTAACCTCTATAAATCAAACTCTCTATGTTTCAAACTTCCCATGGTTCAAAATATATTTTGTGACCTCTGAAACTCAAATTAGCGAGGTTCTACCGTATTAGGACAAAATACTAGTATTATGTTTTGTGACTTGTTAAAGTATATTTCCCCTAGACTCTAACTTTTTTTAGATAAGCTAACTGAACTCCCTTTCTCCAAAGTACCCCAGTTAACTAAGAAGTTTTAAGAGTTTTAACTTATATATTTTTATTTGAATGTTATGTTTGAGAATTATTGAATGAACTTACCTGAACCAAAAATGATGCCCAAAATGATGGCCACCCCCTCCAACAGACCAAGCTGTTTTTTCATCTGTACAACTTCGGGCTTCTTGTCATCGGACTGCAAGAATGGCCCAGAAGACTCTGTAGGAGATGTTACTTCCATTTCCTATCAGATAAAAAATATGAAATTAAAAAAATGGAACAATGTTATAAATTTAAGTTTTTGAAAGTTGGGGTAGGCTGTAATGTGTATTAGCTAGATATTTAAATTAATAATAAGGTATATGCATAGTAACCTAGCCACGGGACAGTATGGAAACTTATGGTACACAGATCATACAAAATCAAGAATATAGCCTACAGTGTGTAAATACTGAATGTTTTTCACAAGCCTGTAGTTGTTAGCCATGTAACAAACTTTCAAATCTTTTAAAAACAGATCATAAGTTTCAGTATGATGTTTTTACACAACAAGAATAAGATGTGGAAGTTATATGTCTCGAGTTTTTAATACAGTGTGTTACTCTTTTAGGATGCAGATAAACTTAACATATTTGTGATAGTGAGGTATTGTTACAGCAATAATGGTGCATTTAGATAAGGTAAAACACTTTAAAGAACTTTATGTTTCTACTAAGAATCCTTACATTTGTTGCAGCTGTTCCTTACTTGAGCAGATAATAATATTTAAGCGTGATAAAAGACTAGCCTCACTCTTCAAGGTAATATCACTTATGCCCATTGTAGCTAAATTAAGATGAGGCTCGAGTAATTAACCCAATGAAAGATAGTTAAGAAAGCATTTCCACCTATTGACATGAGTTGAGCTATCTTACTCGATCCACATGTTAGACATGGAGTCTGCTTAATAGAAAGGTGTTAGAACACACATAATCTTTCGGTTTTATTAAAATGTTTCATAGTTTTATTTTATAATAGATATATTTAAAAATATTGATTATTAATCAATATTTTCAATTCAATAGTTTCAATCAATATTCGTGTAGGGGTACAGTTTCTTAACTGGGCTATGCTAATATCGATTGAAACTAGGCCTATCGATTCAATTAGTAAACCTTCATGAAATTTTTTCACCATCAGCAAGTCTGGTTGGTTAGGTTAGGTTATGATAGTATAATTTTATAATAGGCAGATTTTAAAATATTGATTATTATCCAGTATTTTTAATTTGATAGTTTCAATGGGTACCTACAGTTTCTTAACTGGGCTATGTTAATATCGATTGAAATTATCGAATTGAAAATATTGATTAATAATCGATATTGGTAATTATTTGGACGTAGTGACTACTCGCAAAAGTGAAATTTTTGTTTTTCATAAAGACCTAAATTTCACGCTGAATCCGAAAATGACGTTTTTATTTTTCGGAAAATACCGGAAATTCCCGAAAAAAGGGAAAAACGGGAAAAAATATTGTTTACTCAAAATACGTCATGTGGGTACTCAAAATACGCGGGATATTGTGTAGATTAAGAATATGCAAGAATTTTTTTGATCCGATGAAAAACACCGGAGATAGGGCGAAAAAACGGTGAATAATCGGTTAGGTTAGGCTTGGTTAGGTTAGGTTAGGTTAGGTTAGGTTAGGTTAGGTTAGGTTAGGTTAGGTTCGGTTAGATAAGGTTAGGTTCGGTTCGGTAAGATTAGGTTAGGTTTGGTTAGGTCAGGTTAGGTTCGGTTAGGTTAGGTTAGTTTAGGTTAGTTTATCAATAACATGAGTATTGTAAGTAAACTAACCTAACCTAACCTACCCTAACCTTACCTAACCAAACCTAACCTGACCTAACCAAACCTAACCTAACCTAACCCGAAAATGTGCGATGTTATTTTAGATTTATTGTTTAACGTTTGTTTGTGTTAAAATACCAGCTGATCAGCTGGTCTTTATTTTATTATTATTGTTTATGTTAGATTGAGTTAGGTTACGTTAGGTTGAGTTAGATTAGGTTAGGTTAGGTTTGGTTAGGTTAGGTTAGGTTAGGTTAGTTTACTTACAATACTCATGTTATTGATAAACTAACCTAAACTAACCTAACCTAACCGAAACTAACCAAACTTAACCGAACCTAACCAAACCTAACCAAACCTAACCAAACCTAACCGAACCGAACCTAACCTAACCGAACCTAACCTAACCTAACCTAACCTAACCTAACCAAGCCTAACCTAACCGATTATTCACCGTTTTTTCGCCCTATCTCCGGTGTTTTTCATCGGATTAAAAAAATTCTTGCATATTCTTAATCTACACAATATCCCGCGTATTTTGAGTACCCACATGACGTATTTTGAGTAAAAAATATTTTTTCCCGTTTTTCCCTTTTTTCGGGAATTTCCGGTATTTTCCGAAAAATAAAAACGTCATATTCGGATTCAGCGTGAAATTTAGGTCATTATGAAAAACAAAAATTTCACTTTTGCGAGTAGTCACTACGTCCAAATAATTACCTCGATATTTTTAAATATATCTATTATAAAATTAAACTATCATAACCTTACCTAACCAACCAAACTTGCTGATTGTGAAAAAATCGCATGAAGGTGTACTAATCGAATCATAGTTTAATCGATATTAGCATAGCCCAGTTAAGAAACTGTACCCTTAGCGTAGCCCAGTTAAGAATTCCTATTTACCTTAGGCTATATACCATTATTCATGTTACACATTATTTGTCGGCATGGTCTAACCTCTAACCATGATATAACCTAAATTAATGGGACATTAAATAAAATATTGTTTTGTTCTACAACTACTTTACTCACTTGTATGTCAATGCTACGTGATGTGTCTAGGATTAATCGATTAATCAAAGGTTCAATGAGTAAAACTATTAAATGTTAACTATTAAATCTTTCGATTACATATTACACCATGCATCTGAGTTTGCGTTTGCGTGTTCTTCAAGTCCCAACCCAAGTCGAAGTCCCATCAGTGAGATTTGATACAAACAAACAAATGAAATAATAACAAATAATTTTTGAGGTTAGAAAATGTGACTGACTGGTAGGAGGAATGTACATTCTTCTTCTTCAATTCTAGTTTACTAAAAAAGCTAGCTTGGTTCAATTACCATGTAGCTGCACTATTTCACGTTGTATCACGACTTATTGAGTTATGGTTATTGATGCGAGTTATTTTATTGTTAGTTATATTGTTGGGAGTTATTCAGTTATTGACTTTTGTATAAATTTTTTCCCGGGCTTTCTCGAAATGCAAGTTAGGTAATGATTTTTCTTGTTGTGTGAATTGAGCACAATGTAGCTGTTTAGAAGTAATTTTGGTGTAAAATTATACAAGTTATCATAGCATAAATGAAAATTTATCTTAAACAACTTAACAGTTTAGTAAAAGAAATATAACATATCATGGTAGAAATAGTATATTTGACTCCAGTGGTTAAATCAATTTCTATAATCAATTACCTCTATAAAAAATGGGTCATGCATTAACATCACTGTTTTATGACCACTTCTTAGTGATAATTTGCAAACTTTAACAAGGTACCGGTACTAAGATTTTAAGGTTACACAAAAGAAAAAGATTTTATTATTTATAATCCTGTACTGGATCGACTTTCAATGTAACTACCATGTAAACTCCTGTTGTAAATTATTGAAGTTTATCAAATCAAAAATCAAAATCAAAATATACTTTATTTCCAAAAATATTCAACAGAATAAAATATAAACATAAAATTCCAGTGAAACAGACACCTTACTTGCTATTGCATGGATAAAATAAATAATTATAAAAATACATGTAAACTTAATAATAATAATAATAACAAAGGACGGAAGGTTTCAGAGAAAGCTATGTTAAAAAAAGTAATTTAGGAAATAAGCCTACATGGGCTGGAAGCCTGTGCGTAGGCTAAATACAAATTATGAATAAATTATAAATATAATTATAATTATAAATATAAATTATGGTGAATATTATTGATGTATTTTTTTAAACAGCCTGAGTTATCTTATATGCCATCAAAAAGTATTCCCGAAGGAAAACACAATCTTATCTTTGTAGAGGTTGTTATCCACTTAAATATACTTTTTTTATGTTGAGATGTATATTTTTCGGCCAAATAGCAGTTACATTCCGTTTTGGGTCCGATTCTCTTCCTCATCCTCATAAATGATGTTCCATCCAGCTTCTAGCAAACCCACGCCTGTTAGCCGACACTTTCAACGCCATTTCAAATCCCAGTATGCAGGCCTTTAGAACAGACCTTATTTCTTGAATCCAACAGCCTCTGCTTCAGTAGTGTGATGATAATCAATTAATCTTGAATTCCAACAAAACCACACTCCATCAATTTAGCATTTCTCAGCATTGCATTGTATGTCAGTGCAGTGGGTACTGCACTGACATACACAGGTTCTTCTTGATGATACCACTATTTGCCCCTCCCCAGATGTAAAGTTCCTTGGTTTAATTCTTGACGAGAACCTCGAATTTCACAAGCATATCGATCACGTTTCAAACAACACATCTGTAGGGATTTTCATACTCCGCACTCTTAAATATACTGTTTCGTCTGGGGTTCTCTTGACATCCTACTATATGGACATGTTTATCCTTATCTGACATATGAGGGTACCTGTCTGGGGGTGTGAAAGCCAAAGGACTCAGTTCATTTTCAAGCTTCAAATAAAGGCTCTCCGAACTGGCCCCTTCACCGTCGCCAATCCTGCAAGTCTTCAGATCACATAAAGTTCTAACTTTCCCTTCCATTTACATTTTAGAAACATTATCATTTATTAAGAAAAAACAATTATCATATAGCTCGCCAAGTATCCATAGCTATCCTCTCAGCAAGAATTTCAATCTTTCATAGTACCGCGTCACTCAATCACTTTCTTTCAGAAAAACTTCCACTTCATGCAGAAAACTTTTGAATTACCTCCCTCTCCCTTTGAAAGCTGAACAGGACATCGGAAAATTCAGCAAATGTGTTAAGTCCATGTTGATAAATAAGGTCTGCTACAGCGCCCAGGAATTTGTTGGGAGTCTTTATTAAACATCGCAAGGGGTTGTGTGTCACAACCAAACAATTTGTATATGGTGCTTAATAAATATCATAATAAATGTAATTTTATTAGTTAAGACTAGGCCAATGCAAAATATTTGTTAATCTGGCTTTGTACTTTGACTTTGACTTTACATCTTCGTTCTCAACAGTTCGTCTAATCACCGCTAGATGATATTAAAGTTAAACTCCCAATCCACTGTATACTGTAGTTTGTGTTGTTAATATATAATTTAAACTGTTATTACATGCACAGGGCGAGGCAGCAAAACGTCACGATTTTGTAGAATCACAAATTATTTGTTTGAAAAAGAAAAAAAATAGTTTTAACATACATCTTAATTACATGAGTGGAAATAAATTATTTGCGCAAAAAAATTTTCTGAAATTGAAGAATAAATTTATTACAATAAGTGGTCAAATTAAAATTTGTGTCTAAAATGAGTAGTAGATGTGTAACTATTTCATACAACAGATAGAACAGCTCTTTTGTGTCCTCTCCCCAGCAGCTTGTACCTCATAATTTAAAAGTTATACATTGTCAAATGTACAGTATATTATAACTTCTTGATCAGCATTGTATTTGTTATTTACGGAAAGTAAATAAAAATATGATAAGTAGTCTGATTTTGATTGTTATTAAACGTGCAAGGTGAAAGTGTTACTATAAGCACTTACTTATACTGTAGTACTTTCTGTAAATGTACATTATCAAATGATTGTATTTCATTTTACAATAAAAATATATTACATTGGACTAAGATTATGAAAATCAAATTAAAAAATAATTGGTTTCTGTGTACATCTAATTTCTGTACTGTGTATATATTCAATACGCTCCATGCACACTTTGTTCATATAAGGCCTTTTCTAATACTTATCCCTTGATTTCATGGTATAAAACACATGTCTTGGTGTTTATAGGCAAAACTTGAAGGCCTAAATTCCAACAAATAATGCAGCAAAATCAGGCCAATCAGGAGAACCAAGAATTGTACATTAATGGATGGAAAAAAGTCAAATAAAATGTTATCGGTATTTTTACGTAGGTACTTTTTGTCAGTACATACATACAATGCTGAAGTTATACATAGCAAAATCAAGCATTGATGTATGTTTTTACATTATCATTATTAAGGCCCATCAAAATTGGAGGACTGGTAAAGTAAAAAAATATAAACTAGTAAATGGAAAGTAATAAAAACCAATCAACGATTAAATTAAACTTTTAATACCTGCAGTACCAACATAGCTTAAACTTTACTGTGGTAACACTAGTAAACATCAGTATACATACAATTCAATTAACTTATTTTAAGGATATAATATTCTACTATGCATTTACAAATACATCAACATTAGTTTCAAAAGTAGTATTCTTGATGTCCTACTCCAATACTTTGTCTTACATTTTGTTGGTCCTCTTAAAATCACTCAAAATTTTACATTTTAAGATACAAATCACATTTTAAAAAGTTGTTCTGTGGTTTCATTAAGTTTAAAGATAATAAGAATCTAGGAATATAACTTTCACAGACTAGAACCAATGAGATTGAAGAAATAAACATGAAATACAATTTCAAAGCTAACCTAGTCACTAAATTTTAATTTAGACAGATCTTACTTTCCAAGATTTACAAGTTCGCTTAGTTTTAGTACCAAATCATATATTCATACATTTCATACCAAAACAAACACTCAATTGAAGTTACAATTTCGCTAGAAATATAAATAAAAGTATCAAATTAGTAAAACTATTAAAGCTAAAACATAAAATCCCTGGTAACAAACAATATTCAAGGATATATTGCAGATGTGGAGGCATTCAACTAATAAAGTGACATCAAATTAACTGTACTCTTTGAATGGTAATACTATACACATATCACAAAACTAAGCCTAAAACTGGTACCAAAATAAATACAATCAAAGTCCCTTAGTAGTGGAATGCATGGTAATGGTTAAAATACAAGAAACAGTTTCTCCTAACCATGGTTGTAAAAGTTAAATTAATTATTATTTTTTATGGATTTTTTGGGAGAACCCACATCTACTTTGGTGGCTCCACGGGTTCTGTCAAGGATACATAGAGAAGAGGAGTGAGGAGAAATTTTGAGATTGTACGATCGTCTGCCCTTCCTGCGATGGATAGACCACCATACCTGCTGAGGGTGCAAGTGATCTGGCCTGTGATTACATCTCCACCAACATAAAAGACATGTTAGCCATCACCAGCACCTCCGTGGAGCCAACAGTTGGCCATCACAAGGTGACACTTTGTGATGGCCAACTGATTGACTGGTGTATCAGGCTTCGGCACAGCTTCCTTGGCATGCTTGAGTAATTCAAAGGACACAACTTCTGGTTAGCGCATGTACTGGTGATTCATTGGTACCTGGCCTGTGACTATATATCCACCAACATACAAGACATGTTAGCCATCACCAGCACCTCCGTGGAGCCAACAGTTGGCCACCGAAAAGTGCTCCAAGATTGTGTACAGCTCGTTCACAATCTTGGAGCACTTTGCGAAGGCCAAATGATGGCTCCACGGAGGTGCTGGTGATGGCTAACATGTCTTGTATGTTGGTGGATATATAGTCACAGACCAGGTACCAATGAATCACCAGTACATGCGCTAACCAGAGGTTGTGTCCTTTGAAATACTCAAGCATGCCAAAGAAGCTGTACCGAAGCCCAATACACCAGTCTATTGTAGGAATCACCTCAACCATGATAACCGAAACCACACAGTCTTGCAGACCTCGAGAAACAATTTAACAATTTGTTCAAAGATGAAATTACGTTCTTGCGTTTCAGGTCTTAAAATCTACATAAACCTAAGTCAACTTAATTTAATACTTATCATTCGACATGTCTTAAAACCATTGTTCAAGGGACAAAGTGTTCCTTAGTTTGAAAACATGTTTAAATGCCATCCTGATATATTTATACCCCAATAAATAGTTCAACAAATAAAGAATCACGGTGGGATAATGTACTAAAACACTAAACGTATAGTACTGAAAAGCATATATCCTCCACTTAATAATGTATTATTATTTAAAAAGATAAACTAGCCTATACAGTAAACCTCACTAACTCGAAAGTCAACATTTGACAGAGTGCAAGTCTAAATGCTTTACTATTGTGTTAGATTTTCAAGCAATTTTTTCAGAACATTTAGTTCTAATTGCTGAATATTACAAATATCTTTAAAGATTGTTTACTCAATTTAAAAATACTCTTGAGTAATAAATGTATATGTAGATATTAGTCTGTTATGTATTGACTAATTAACCCATTAAATATTTCAATATTCTGAATAACTCGACAACCTCTGGGTCCACTAATTGTTGAGTTTGTGAGGTTTTACTGTATTTAAGCTGAGAATAACCGTAACAAAACAGTAACTTTTCATTGTCATAACGTATCACAACATTTTACAAAATACTAAAACAAAAAGACTCGAGTGAAACTAAAAAATCAGTCTACTTACTGGAAAAAAGCTATAGTTACGTCCCTGGGGCGATGTAACTCAAACTGAAGTTACTATAACTGTTCAAAATTGTCTCGGCAGCAGCACTAGTCTGCAAGCACCCCGATGATGTCGTGCAAGACATCTGAATTGTTGTACGCAATAAACCCCCCTTTGTTGGCACACTGGTCCACTCCGACCCCTTCACAGTACAACAACGGACAGATTTTCTTCTCCGTGACGGCCAGATGGTAGTTGACCAAACCTCCTGTGTGAGCACGCAGAATAGTGTCTACGCTACACGTGTCCCAGTAGAACGTGCAGGGTTTGCTGAGCACATAGGCACACACTGCGCCTGTTGCAACTAACATCAACTTGTATCCTGCTCCAGCAGCCTCCAACAGAGTGTAACCAGCCTTCTTCAGACGAGACTTGACCTCTTCCTTCTCAAATCTGCTGAGGACCACCAACTGTAAAAGATAACACCCATGAACAACCAACACTCGAGAAAAAAATCATCAGGCGTTGGTTGATTTACATACAGAACATACACAGACGAACATTATAGGACGAAATGATTGAAGGACAGTAACAACGATACGGAGAACGATGTGACATCAACAGATGGATGTAGATTCAAGATCCAATCAAGCTGGATTAATGTTTGTCTTTGTTTGTTTATGTTAACCAACGACCTTCTGATGAAGTGATTTTTATGTCCGTCAACTCCTGAGGACACTTCATAACAAGTCAAAACTTAAAACTAGTTGTGGTAATAAGCAGCAATTGGATTACGCAGAATTGGGTAATAAAACCAATTTTGTTATCCAACATAATCCAGAGACTACAACCAAAAACCCCAGCTGCAGCAAACCTGAATACTAAGAGAATTTTCATCTGTCTGATTGATTTTTGACAAAAATATTTTCTTAAGCTTGACAGATTTATTCCCTGTTTGGATAACATTAGACTTAATAATTACCTAGGTTTGCTGCTACAGAGAAGGTAATAAAGTGTGTTTTGTAGTAAAGTGTTAGTGTTGATAGCTTAGAATAAAATAAATTCCTATTTCACTATTTTCACTGTAGATTCTTCCCATTTTAAAATTAACATACAGTAAATTTTATTAGCTTATAAAAACAACTTACATGTGAGAACAGTGTTTGCAATCACAAAACATTATTTACTCATTTAATACGTTGTGTATGAGTTTGATCAAAACCTTAAACTTTCAATTCAAGGTACAGTAGAACATCGATAATTCGACCGTCAATAATTTGGATTTCTCTCTAGCAAGAAACGTTTTGTGCAGTCTTTTAAAATTAATCAAGGAATTAGCTGCAAAACAAAACCAATACCGCAGTTAAAAAACCTCAAAAACTTACAATTTTTTTTTAGCTCAAATATGTAGAGTGGTGTTACTATACACTAAACACATGACCGTTGCTACAAGTACGATACAGTGCTTGAACATAAAAAATGTTTCAATTCATCTCCTTTTTAGACGCTTTATTGTACACTAGAAAATATACAATTCAAAAAGTTGTTTAATCAAATAGTGCGCATTAGGGCCATTTTTATTGTTATTTTGATAATCCGGATGGGGTCTGGTCCTAGTTCTACTGTATATTGTGATGTACTTCATTGAGTGTGTTACCTTTTCTCCGCCTGATAGAGGTGTAACAGAAGATAGAATTGTTTCTCTATAAGCAATACCCCACATCACCCTGCCCTTCCATCTGAAAGCAAAGTCAAATCTTATTACGATCTAATGAAACTTAATTACAAGTTTTTTGTTGAGTACAATGAACATCAGCTAAGTAAAAAACATGATATCAAGTTGAAATGTACAGTTTACGACTGTATTAAAAATCACAACTGAAAGTGTTGACAATATTTGTAGAGAATAGTTTAAGGTATGTGGAAATATACATGTGAGCTGTTAAACTAAAGTCAGTTATTTTGCACAACTTTCCTAATTGTAACTCATATCAGTTAATCATGACGTATTACTAAACATTAAATTAATAGTATTAGACCTTTTCCGTTAATTATCTACCACGTTTTTCAGGTTGCAATGTTATCTTCATCTACAATAGTTTCTGCTTAGGGATAGGTAACATTACAATACGTCAACCAAAACGAAAACTTAAAAAAGATTTTTAAATTACAGAAAAAATGTATTAGAATAATGTTAGGAATTGAGAGAAGAGTTTCAGCCAAACAAGCTTTTATACTTACTGCTTACTGCCATGGCCACCTGTACCCTAGCTGGTACTTGGCCTCGCCAACACGCTGTCGCCAATAGTCTCGGTCCCATGCATCTTCCTCTACAAGCCTCATCCTTTCCAAATCTTTTCGTACTTGACCCCACCACCTGGCTTTCGGTCTACCTATTGGTCTTCTTCCCCTCGGATTTCCTCTGAGTGCTATCTTCAGTAGACTCTCCTCCTTTCTCCTTAGGATATGGCCAACCCACCTTAATCTTCTACTTTCTCCAATGATATCAGGGTCTTGAAATAATTCTCTTAGCTCCCGGTTGTGGCGGATTCTCCATACTCCATCTTCACATACTGGCCCATATATAGTTCTCAAAACTTTGTTCTCAAAAGTTATTATTTTCTTTTCTGAGTTCTTGCTCAGGATCCAATTTTCCCCTCCATATAAAAGTACGGGTTTTACTATAGTTTTGTAGATTCTAATTTTTGTCTTTCTCGTTAAAAGTTTTGATTTCATTAGTTTACTGCATGCGTACCAACTCTTATTTGCTAAATTTATCCTATTCTGAATTTCCATGTCTTCCGTATTTTTGTCAGATAGTAGAACGCCTAGATAGGTGAAATTATTTACTCTTTGGAATTCATGGTTGTTGACTTGAAAAAAACTCTTCATTATTTCCAGCTTCTCCTCTTGTTACTATCATGAATTTGGTTTTTGCATCATTTATTTTTAGCCCTACATACTCTACAATTTTACTACATACTACATACCTAATTTTACCCTACAAACAAGCTTTTATAGAGCTGGGAATTTTAAAAGTTTTTGGACATACATTTTTGATACCATTATGACCGTCAAGGAAAACAAGACCGAAAAACAGCTCAGGACACTGATACCCAACAAGAAATAGAAATTTAAATATACAACAGCCAAAATTAGAATTTAAAAAATCCATTATTGTCTTGTAACACAAACATTTAGGAAACTTCCTAAAAAATAAAGAAAGAGGTAAATAGAGAAAGATTTAAAAGAAAACTAAAAAAACTATATAATTGGAAAAGCTCTTTACTCTTTTAAAGAATTTATATTATTGCACTTCATTACATAGTTTTACTGTTGTTGTTTATTAATATCATAGTTTATTATTTGATTTATTATTGTATTTATTTAAGAAATAATTGACTTTGTTCAGAGTAATGTAGGTTTCATGTGCATATAATGAATAAAGTATATTTTGACTTGACTTGGTTTAGGTTAGAACTGACCCAAAAAATAAAACTTCATTTGTGTATTGTTACAGAAATTATATACAGTTAAAAAGGTTCCAAGCTATCAGCGACGCGACATTTGAGATGTACCTACCTTCCATCAGCATATTTGTGGAACGGTTGATTAAGAACGCCTAGCACAGGGTTTCCAGAGGATTTTCCGCGGAGGAACGCTCCAATTAACACTGTGACGCAAGGTAGTCCAGACAAACAAATTCCATTCACTGAGCTGATTTCTTCATTCGCATTAATGTACTCGGCCGTGGAGTCTGGAAAATAACGATGGTAGATCAGAAATCATCTTAACTAATTAATTTTAATCAACAGCAAAAACGTCAATTTTTAAAAGTAGTAGTTACAGATTTCAAAGCAGTAAGAGCAGGGCAAAACGGATTAAGCAGTTTCTTATGTAGTATGCCTGCTAGTACTATGTAGGTGGTAGGCTGATACATTTTGTTGTGTTGTCATCAGTCCCTCATACCATTTAATTAGCCCTCATTGTTTAGGACTGGTCATTGTGCAGAATAAAAAGCAGCCAGCAAAAACTTTCTCATATCGCAACCAATGACTTGTTGTTTGGAAATACACAAACAGTCTCAAAGTTGTCTGGTCTATGCCATTTTGGCTACTGAAATGGTATAAGTAACCGATGAAAGAACGGAAGTATCTGCCTACTACCAACATAGCCGGAGTACTATGTGAATGAAACTGCTTAATCCATTATGCCACACTCTGTAAAAAGTAGTCAGTATTTACTTCTTATAGCCTACTAGGCATGAGTATAATTTACTTTTGCATTGTTCATGCTTGTTTATTTACTTGAAAAAGTTTTCCAATAAATGAATAGGTACATCAAAACTATAAATTTTTCTAACATAATTTATAGTTTGCCACATTTTTTTAGATTTAGCGTGGAGTTAGGGGTATTTAAGATTAGAAGCATTTTATTTTTAACCCAACGTTCCTTACTTAAGTAGCTTAAGAAATAGGTACAACTAAAAAAGGATTAAAAAGTGATGAAATTACCAATGGGATCAATCCAAATCCCTATTTCTTCCAAGGGAAGACAAGTGACATCGGTTGGGATTTCTAAGTCATCTGGGAACTCAGGTTTGGAATGGACTAGACATGCGAGTAAATTGGCTACTTTTTCATCTCCAACAATCCTTAGCAACTGTTGGGCAGTTTTTTCTTCACTGATGCAAACTTTTAGTTCTATAGTTTCTCCATCCAAACATGAAAACTCATTGCTTTCTTCGCCATAGATATGTCCCACCAGTTCAGGAAACTAAAAAAATATATTTTACATAGATAATGTGACAATCTCTTAAAATGAATTCCGTTATAAGACCTTGTTAAGACAGAAAGGCTTCAAGGGCCTTTGCACACTAGGCCACCATGGAGGCGCCACTTTGGAAGCGTGTTTGGTGGCGAGTAACCTTGAGTGGTGAGCTACCTTACCAGCCACCACACTTGCTCAGTTAGTTGTTTTCTATTGATCGTAATCGATATGTAAGAAGCTTGTGGGTTCGCTTTTACCTTTCTTTATTTGCGGAATAAGAGCAAAAAAACTGTATTTTTTACCCGATCAAAGATCAAGGGTTGTTTTTTACTCAAATATGTCATCCTCAGAAACAATCCAGACAAGTTTAACATATATCCAAGAATGGCTGTTTGTACCTTCTCTTAATAATTGATATCTCTATCCGAGTTTGAGTACGCTTTCATACCTCTTTCTGATTACACTTCACCAATAATCTTCCAAAACATTCTACGTCAAGCCTCGCCATGATCAAAAAGTTACACTGGAGATAAACAAAACTCCTGGTGTCGCCATAGAGTTGCGCTAACCCAGTGGCCCAGTGTGCTGTTGTACATGTAACTCAATGACTTCGTGGTAGCCTAGTGTGCAAAGGCCCTAACTGATCAAACTGCAGAAGCAAATGAAGTTGACTCTAAATAGCCTGATACTTACGGGGATGTAAGGGTGTATATAAACAAAACATCAGACTATTGAACATAGTACTAAAAGTAAGCTGTAAGCTTAAGATTCAGATTCTTTATTTGTCACAATACATTTTCCTCCCCCAGCACAGCTGGTAAAACAAGTGACATGTCAACATCTTAAAAACTAAAAGCAAAATATACATGTAGTCCAGTCAATGAATGATCCAAAAGTAGGTGTAGAGTGCATGAGCAGGTAACTAAGCGATTCCTTCAGAAACTTGTTCAGGGGGCTTAGGGTGTTAACATACCAAAAGTCCTGACTCCTAGGTGGTGAGCCAGGGGGTGGAGGGGGGAAAAAGGGGGGGGAAAAGGTACGCATTTTGGGTTTTTTTATTATATCTCGAAAACTATCAACTTTTTGTATACTATAGTAAATTATAAAATTGAAGAAGATTAAATTTTCTACAAGAAAAATATATAATGTGTTTATTTTGGTTCAACAGATTACGAGTTATAACTTATTTAATTGATATCTTATTAAAATACTCCTTCCATAAGAAATGCATGTAAATTAGTATGCGAAATGGGGCGAATCCTATCCGCCCAAAGGAAATATAATTGATATTCTGGAAATCTTGACAAAATTTCCAGTAATTTGACACAGGGTGTATACTACTTTATTAAAGTGAAATTCCAGGTTTTTTCCAGGTTTTTCCTGGTTTTTCGAAGTTTTTCCAGGTTCCCGCGTATTTGTTTGGTTCCACTTAAACTATAATCAATTTAAGACTTGCAGCCTAAGTATACAATATAAACTTGCATTAAATTTGTTTCAAAGTCCAGTGAGCTAATGTTAAAAAAGTAATAATCCTTATTATAGTAATAATTTTCATTATCATCATTACTTAAGTCCACGGAAACATCGTCTCTCTCGATAGCAGCAAAATCATGAATATTATCTTCATTTTTTATGAACACATTATCAACGGCGGCTAAATCCTGAATATTTCTTGGTCGCTTCCCACGGTGACGTAAACATCATCACAGTCTTACACTACCATAGAACAATCCTGGACATCTCCCGCGGTATGTATACATTATCGCCATCTCTCGCGATCACGAAAACGTAATCATCGTCATCCACGATCGCGGCAAAATCACGAAAATCTTCCGCGGCCGTGTGGACATCATCATTGACTCCCACGGTCACGTAAACGTCATCGTCATCGACCGCGATCACGGCAAAATAACGAAAATGTTCCGATGCCGTGTAGACACCATCATTGACTCCCGCGGTCACGGGAACGTCATCGTTGTCGTGCGCGATCTCGGCAAAATCATGAATGTTTCCCGCGGCAGTGTAAACATCATCGTTGATCCTGCGGTCACGTAAACGTCATCGTCGTTGTCCGCGATCGTGGCTAAATCATGAACATCTGCGGCCGTGTAGACAAAATCATCGTCGTCTTTCGCGGTCACGGCAAATCACGAATATCTTCCGCGGCCGTGTAGACATCATCATAGCCTCCCGCAGTCACGGAAACGTCATCGTCCGCGATCTCGGTAAAATCATGAATATTTCCTGCGGCCGTGTCTACATCATCGTCGTCTCCCGCGGTCACGGAAACGTCATCATCGTCTCCCGCGGTCACGGAAACGTCATCGTCGTCGGCCGCAATCACGGCAAAATCATTAGCATATCACGCGGCCGTGTAGAAATCATCATCGTCGTCTTTCGCGGTCACGGCAAATCACGAAAATCTTCCGCGGCCGTGTAGACATCATCATTGCCTCTCGCAGATATGAAAACATCATCGCCGTCGTCCGCGATCTCGGCAAAATCATAAACATCTGTGGCCGCGTCGCGTAGATATAATCATCGTCGTCTCCCGCGGTCACGGAAACGTCATCGTCGTCGGCCGCAATCACGGCAAAATCATTAGCATATCACGCGGCCGTGTAGAAATCATCATCGTCGTCTTTCGCGGTCACGGCAAATCACGAAAATCTTCCGCGGCCGTGTAGACATCATCATTGCCTCTCGCAGATATGAAAACATCATCGCCGTCGTCCGCGATCTCGGCAAAATCATAAACATCTGTGGCCACGTCGCGTAGATATAATCATCGTCGTCTCCCGCGGTCACGGAAACGTCATCATCGTCGTCCGCGGTCACGGAAACGTCATCGTCGTCGTCCGCGGTCACGGAAACGTCATCGTCATTGTCCGTGGTCACGGAAACGTCATCGTCGTCGTCCGCGATCTCGGCAAAATCATGAATATTTCCCGCGGCAGTGTATACATCATCGTTGACCCCGCGGTCACGGAAACGTCATCGTCGTCTCCCACGGTCACGGTAACGTCATCGTCGTCTCCCGCGGTCACGGAAACGTCATCGTAGTCTCCCGCGGTCACGGAAACGTCATCGTAGTCTCCCGCGGTCACGGAAACGTCATCGTAGTCTCCCGCGGTCATGGAAACGTCATCGTAGTCTCCCGCGGTTACGGAAACGTCATCGTCGTAGGTCGCAATCGCGGCAAAATCATGAGTATTTCACGTGGCCGTGTAGACATCATCATTGACTCCAGCGGTTAGGGAAACGTAATCGTCGAAGTACGCGATCGCGGTAAAATCATGAATATTTACCGCAGCCATGTAAACATCATTGTCGTCTCCCGCGGTCACGGAAACGTCATCGTCGTCTCCCGCGGTCACGAAAACGTCATCGTCGTCGCCCGCAATCGCGGCAAGACGCATTTTACGACTACAATCTTCTGCCGGGGCTAAAATAAAAATCCCGGATTCGGTCCAAAAATCCCGGCTTTTTCCCGGTTTTTTCCAGGTTCTTTCAAATTCAAGGTTATTTCCCGGTTCTCCCGGTTTTCCCGGTTGGTATACACCCTGTAGACACTTTAATAATGAAATTTTGTCAAAAATTAAAGCGAGGGTGAGCGTTTAAAAATGGGATGATTTAAGGTTTTTTTTTATATTTCCAATAAAAAAACACCAAAACTTGACATTTTGTTACCTTGCCCTCGCCTTAATTTTGGATCAATTTTAATGATTAAAGTGTCAAATTACTGGAAATTTTGTCAAGATTTCCAGAATATCATTTATATTTCCTTTGGGCGGATAGGATTCGCCCCATTTCGCATACTAATTTACATGCATTTCTTATGGAAGGAGTATTTTAATAAGATATCAATTAAATAAGTTATAACTCGTAATCTGTTGAACCAAAATAAACACATTATATACTTTTCTTGTAGAAGATTTAATCTTCTTCAATTTTATAATTTACTATAGTATACAAAAAGTTGATAGTTTTCGAGATATAATCAAAAAACCCAAAATGCGTACCTTTTTCCCCCCCTTTTTCCCCCCTCCACCCCCTGGCTCACCACCTAGGAGTCAGGACTTTTGGTATGTTAACACCCTAAGCCCCCTGAACAAGTTTCTGAAGGAATCGCTTAGTTACCTGCTCACGCACTCTACACCTCATTCCTTGACTGGACTAATGATAACATTTTTTTTGTTGGCAAAAACTTAAACAAATGCCTTAATTTTATATACATATTTAATCTACATATTTTAGTTTATTTACATCATATTACAAAGTGTCACATAAGAAATCATTTATACCATAATACACTTTGTTTAGCAGCAGGGACTGAACTTCTTTCTTAAACTTATGATCATTATCAATAGGACTTCCAAAATCTTTTTACAGGATGTTTTAGGTTTAGAATTTGTCATGATTTTAAGATACTTTTTTTGTAATTTAAAAACAGACTCCATACCTGAACTACCTCCCCAAAGTTCAACACCATACTGCATTGAAGAAGCGAACAATGCATGATATACAATCAATCTCGTCTGTAAGTCAGTAATTTATCAATATATGTTTTCCAGTTTAGTTTTTCATCAACCTCGAGACTCAAGAACTTTGTTGACTTTACAATAGGAAGATGATCATCATTTAATATTATTTGATTAAGATTTTTTTCCTGTTTTCGCGTAGTGCTAAAATTGATTACATTAGTTTTGCTACTATTTAATTTAAGACCATTGGCCTTGAACCACTCTTGCATATCTGTGAGGGAATTCTGAATAACTTGCTGTAAATCTAAAATGTTGTTTGATTTAAGAATAGCATCATCTGCATACAGAACAATTTTGAAATCACAGGGTGTCCACAAAAAATTTGTCATTAATTTCCATGACTTTCCATGACTATCCATGACCATTAACCATTGATTTCCATGACTCACGAACTTTACACACAAATTATAATATAACATACACACACAAATAATACTGCCTGGACATGTTATTTTGCAGAAAATACTGAAATATGTAATAACAGATAACAATGGAGTACAATAGGTACAACAATAAACTAAAACAAACCGAAAACTCATAAAATAATACAACTGTAATAAATTGAATTGTCGAACATTTGTGAAAAATCCTGAAAAATGCTACAACAGTCCGGGTTACAGCTGACTAGAGCATTGAATGGTCCCCTGAAATCCATCCATAATTGGGAATTTCCATGACTTTCCATGACTTCTTGCCTATTTCCCTGACTTTCCATGACCAAAATTTTTTTCCATGACTTTCCATGACTATCCCTGACTTTCCAGAATGTGGACACCCTGAATCAAAATTTTTTGCTAAATCGTTTATATAGATTAAAAACATAATAGGACCAAGAATTGAAACCTGGGGCACGCCCCACGTTCCTTTCCTCCATTCAGATTTAAAAACCATACCATTTTTTTTAATAACAGTTCTGTGGTGTCTACCAGATAGGTAACACTTAACCCAAGAAAATACGGAAGAAGCGGAGTTGTAAACTTTTAACTTATCAAGAAGAATATCATGTACTATACAGTCAAAAGCCTTGGATAGATCACAGAACACACCAGCTGAGGTCTGCGATCCATCCAAGCCCTCCAATACACACCTGATTAAATCTGCTATGGCTAAAACTGTCTAAATCCATATTGTTCCTTGATAAATAAGCTAAGATAAGCAAACTTGAAATGCCTAATGATTGTCAATTATTTAGGTTACCTTGTTAAGTAGCCTTTGTTCTTGCAAAACTAATCAAGATAACTTAAATACCTAATTCAATTTTTTAGTTGCTGTTACTGGAAAAATAAATAAAATTAAAATTCTTACCATGTGCCTTTCAATCTCTGTGATTTCAACTTTGTTAGCTTAGGCATTATTTTAAAAGAAAAGCAATGTTTGTTGAATATTAGACCCAATATAATTAACTAAACTCTCACGTACACCTGAATGATGTAGGCCATAATAATGTAAGGTACATTCCAATATTAATAAATTTACCAAAAAAGTTGGAAAATGAATAAAGTTAACTTAAGAGGTACACATTTTAACTACTTATGATCAACTACAAAATAATTAATTCAGCGAAGGACTATAATGTACTTATTCCATCTACCACACAGACACAACAGCGGAGTTGAACTTTGGAGAGTCTTGTGTAGAGACTCACAGTGTATAAACATCGGCTGATGACTCAGTTAGCAAAGCTTCAACTATAAAGTGAGAGTTTACGGAGTACCAAATCATTTTGCTTTATGGGTCCTTATTTTGTATGGATATTTAGCTAGATATGCTTACAACATTAAGGATGTAAATTTTCATAAATAGCCATGAATAGTTATTGTTATTCGGTTATGAAATTATTTGATTTATTATGGTTGTTGTTGTTGTCATATTGTTATTATTTTGTTGAAATTTATATTACTATCTAGTTTGTTAAAGTTTATATTGTTGTTTACTTTTGTGGTAGTCTATATTATTGTTATTAAATAACTGTTATAAACGTTGTTAAACTTGAGATGTAGCCCTTTCCTTGGATTGCATGTCACTTAAAATGATATTAGGATTGCAATTGTTTTGTTAGATAGTTATTTTATCGTTGTTAAGTTATTTACCTACGACCGTTTTTTAAAGTTGCCGATTCAGTTCTTAGAATTAATAAGTTTCACATAGCACCATTTTATTTTATTTTCTTTTACCTTCCAACGATCAAGAACCAATTTACAATATGGTATACAAGATGACTTGATCTAACTTAAACATATACATACAAAAGTAATTTTTGAAAATGACATGCGGTAAAGTAAATACAATTTGAGCAGTATCAAAATAGACGTACAAAAAGCAAAACTTTAAATAACAACCAATTATGAACAAGAACAACAAACAAGAATAGTAAGTAAAAATATAAATGAACGACAAACAATAAATATATGAGTTTTAACAATAACAATAAATATATGAGTTTTAACAATAACAATAAATATATGAAATTCAACAATAACAGCATTGTTTACTTTCATAGTTTTACTCATAACAACACGAGTAACGGACCGAAGTAAAATTGTAACGATTCCAAATTCAACTAATCAGCTGTTTAGGAAAATTTAATTGTAGAGTGGTGCAATTGGTGTTTGGTATAATGTTTTGTTGCATCACTGTCAGTGGCAATGAGAGGTTGTAAACGAAAACATAACCTGTCTTAGAAGTTACGAGTAGTGATTTCTAGTAATTAAAACCCTGTCGTAGGTAAAGAAGTGTACGCAACTCGTGTAAATAGCTACTATATAATGCTAATTTGTAAGACAATTTACACTATGAAATTGGATATTTTTTCTGCTGCCATCAGATTATTGTAATATTTTGTAGGCCTATTGGTGTAGGGGCCTATCAATGTTTGTAAGTGATAAATAAATAAATTAATATTCATTCAGAAGAGTGAAATTGATGATGACTGAGTGATTAAGAAGAAAACACCAATCTGGGTTACATACTTATTATAGGTTTGCAGTATCTGTTAGCAATACCAAAAAAACTGTTTTGGAACCGCTGCCAGGGTACTGTAGACCCGATATATCAGTCCCGAATTATTACAATGCATTTTATATAGGTCTACTTTCATTGAAGTTAATATCAAATATAGCTTTGTTAAATCATAGCGTGATTCAATAAGAGTACTTTTAGCCCAAAACAAGGATTAATTGCTTACTTCAGTCCCCAAATCATGTTTTACCACTTCTTGCACAAGAACGTCGGCTAAATTAAATTTTTAATACCCGTAGTACCAACAAAGCTTAAACTTTACATTGGTAACACTAGTAAACATCAGTATACAACTATACTAACTTATTTTAACTTTATAATATTCTACTATGCATTTACAAATACATCAACATTAGTTTCAAAAGTAGTATTAGGGTGTTCAAAATATCTTTAAACTACTTGATGTTCTACTCCAATACATTGTCTTACATTTTGTTGGTCCTCTTAAAAATATTTTAAAATACCAATCACATTTTAAAATGTTGTTTTGTTGTTTCTTTAAGATTAAAGATAATAGGAATCTAGGAATATAACTTTCACAGACTAGAACCAATGAGATTTAAGAATTAAATAAAATAAAATGTTAAAGCTAAACTAGTCACTAAATTTTAACTTTGACAGACTTACTTTCCAAGATCTACAAGTTTGCTTAGTTTTAGTACCAAATCATATTCATACATTTCATACCAAAACAAACACTCAATTGAAGTTACAATTTTGTTAGAAATATTTAAATAAAACTATCAAATTAATAAAACAATTAAAGCTAAACATAAAATCCCTGGTAACCAACAATATATCAACAATAAATTTTTAGTTATAACAGTATTTCTGTAAACTTTAGGATTAAATTTTTTTTTAAGCTCTAGTTTTACATTCCTTACTTAAGAGAGCGGCAACTTGTATTTTTCAAATTAAGATACTGGACTCATTAAGTTGTAAATATAATTGTTTAATTTTTTTGTTTTACGTTTGCCACGATTACTGGATAATGTGGCACGTAGTTCCAAGTAAATGTATTATTTTGTATTTATTTGTTTTGAAGGAATAAATTCATTATTTCATATTCAAGGATATATTGCAGATGTGGAGGCATTCAACTAATAAAGTGACATCAAATTAACTAATCTTTAAATGGTAATTTTATACATATCACAAAACTAAGCCTAAAACTGGTACCAAAATAAATACAATAAAATTCACTTAATAGTGGAATGCATGGTAATGGTTAAAATACAAGAATCAGTTTCTCCTAACCATGGTTACAAAAAGTTAAATTAATTATTAATTTTTTATGGACTTTTTTGGGCGAATCCTCGTCTACTTTGGTGGCTCCACGGGTTCTGTCCAGGATATATAGAGAAGAGGAGTGAGGAGAATTCGAGATTGTACGATCATCTGCCCTTCATACGATGGATGTCTGTCTATCCATTGTAGGAAGGGCAGACGATCGTACAATTCATTCCTTCTGAGGGTGCAAGTGACCTAGCCTGTGACTATATATCCACCAACATACAAGACATGTTAGCCTATAGTATGTTGGTGGAGATACAATCACAGGCCAGGTTCCAATCAATCACCAGTACATGCGCTGACCAGAGGTAGTGTCCTTGCAAGCCAAGAAAGCTGTGTCGAAGCCCGATACACCAGTCTATTGTAGGTATCACCTCAACCATGATAACCGAAACCACCCAGTCTTGCAGACCCCGAGAAACAATTTAACAATTTGTTCAAAGATTTAATCAAGTTCTTGCGTTTCAGATCTTAAAGTCTACATAAACCTAAGTCAACTTAATTAAATACTCGTCATTCCACATTTCTTAAAACCAAATTGATAGTAGACCCGATATATCAGTCCCGAATTATTACAATGCATTTTATATAGGTCTACTTACATTGAAGTAAATATCAAATATAGCTTTGTTAAATCATAGCGTGATTCAATAAGAGTACTTTTAGGGCAAAACAAGGGTCAATTGCTTACCTCAGTCCCCAATTCATGTTTTACCACTTCTTGCACAAGAACGTCGGCAAGGGTTTTAAAATCTTGAAAAAACCGCTGATTTTTCTCATCATCCTTTTTCTCACGTGTGAGTAGTGAGAGTAGATGATCCTCTTTTCGTATTGTACGAGCAATATTTGCAGCTTTTTCTGATAGTAAGATAATCGACCTTAAAATATTTCTGAAAACAAAGAAAATGAGGTTGGTTTTTGTAAGTATGGTTGGGTAGAAATCTGTTGTAATCCAAAAATAAAGAGTATTCAAACAAGAAATTCCATTCAAAATATTACATTTAATGAATACATGGTTAAAAAGGTGATACTTTAATTTTAGTTTTGTCGTGGCTAATTGTGTATGCCCAATACTTTACCCAGTGGCTCTAGACCAGTGTTTCCCAACCAGTGTGCCAGTAGGCCTCTGTAGGTGTGCCGCGAAATTTTAAGTAGTTAAACAATTTTTGATCAAGAAAGAAACTTTTAATAAACATACGTCAAGCACAAGTTTCCCACTAGAACTGAAACTATTTGGCCACCAGGGCACTATTTGGGTTTATTTAATATTTCTCACTCATTATTGGTAAATTCATACAATTTTAATCAAGCTCAATGTTTTATCATTATTTAAAACTTTCCACTTAATAAACACTAAATAATGTACATATGTTGGATAACAAATGTGAGTTTTATATTTTTTACCTTGGTAAACCCACCTTTATATTATATACACATATATATTTACTTGTAAAAAATAGGTTATACAGAGTAAGATGTAATCGAAAAAAAAAGATTTTTTTATGCACTTACTAAATGTAATTTTAACCAATGATATTTTGTAGACAAATAAATAAATAAATATATATTTATTGTCACATAAACGTTTTACAGATTACATAGCATAAGCTACAAAAACAGGTGACATTGTCAATATAATCATATATCATAATAAGTACCTAAAATACTAAAAAATAACCAAGATTCTTAGAAATAATTATTTGGGTTATTTTATGAAACATAATATTTGCTAATTTAAAAAATTACCATCATTCAAAAATTCGTCAATACTATAATATAATAGACAAGTGTGCCGTGACTCCAAAGTTGTTCTAGTTAGTGTGCCCTGAACGGAATAAGGTTGGGAAACACTGCTCTAGACAGTTAATGAATATTTACACATTTATCTGAAGTTTATTTATTTATCAACGGTAAACACCATTTCATCTCATTGCATAACATATAACAAACATAGCAAAGCTTAATAACTAGGAGAATACATAACCAACAATAATAATAACAAGCAAAACAATAATCAACAAGAATAAATGTATAAAAACATAACAAGAGTTGAATAAAAAAGAAGTACCGTAATCCAAATATCCAAAAGATGACCTCCTGAATCCAAATATAACATATTTTTCACTGTTGATGAATATTATCACCGTAAAATATACAACATTAGAAAAATCAAGGTAGAATGGATTACATTTACGAGTGGAATGGACAGTGAGTGAAGAAAGCCTACAGCTGATTGTTTTCAACCACACGACAAACAACTGAAAGATCTAAGGTTTAACTAACTCGGGGAAGAAGGGAGCGGGAGACCATCACAAGTCACGGGTGATCTGAAGCAAAAAGTTGCATCATGTCTCAACATGAATGCGGCAAGAACTCTTAAGTCTAATGTGGGAAATCTTTAGTCAGCCTACCTACAGCCCTGACCTAGCACCAAATGATTTTCATCTGTTAACAAAGTTGAAGGTTTTTGGGTGGAAACCAGTTTGGAAAAGCTTGAAGAAGCAGTGAGCACTGGAAGAGCGAGCTGAACAAGAATAGGCCTACTATTCAAGAATTTTCAGGATCCGACGGATATTAAAGGAGATACTGGTACGTCCGGAATAGCTTCGGAAAACGAAAAAATAAATCTGTGTAAATCATTTGTGTGGGTATTAAATTAAGTTAACGTGAAAAAAATTTGAACAAGAATATGCAAGAATATTCAAAATCAAATAGATATTAAAGGAGATACAGCCGGAAAAGCGGCGGAAAATCTAGTTAGCGCCAAATTGACCAAAACTAGGTTAGGTTTAGGTTATCCTAGATTTGGTTAGGTTAGGATAGGTTAGGTTAGATTAGGTTAGGTTACTAACAATACCCAGGTTATTGATTACCTAACCCAACCTAGGTAGGCCTAAGTTTAATCTAACCCAACGAAATCTAATTTAACCTAACCTAACGCTTTTCCAGGTGTAGGCCTATCTTCGTTAATTTCCATAAATTTTGAAAACTCTTGCATATTCTTGTTCAACTTGCTCCAAGTTACCGGTTATAATTTGAGTAAATTATCCACAATGTCGTTTTCCGTAAAAAAAAAAAATCATTTTTGGAATCAACGTAAAATTTTAGAGATTTAAAAAAAAATATTTAGCCTTACTTAGGCTTATGTAGCCTAGGCTAATTTTGGGTGAGGTCTGGAGGTTGAGTTATCTTAATTACCACCGTAAGTTAAGTTTAAGGTGATGTGTGGGTACCTTAGTGAATTTTGACCACAATGGGTCTTATGACCGGTCGGTAAGTTATTTTATGTTAAGACAAGGCAAAACATTATCCAGTAACAATAGTCTTAATCGGACCAGACATTTAGCTAGGCCTTGGCCCCTATCATAAAGTTAAACATGTGTAACTTGCCTAACTAAGGCCAGGCCTAGGCTATGTCAACTGAAACCCTCTAAGAGAATGGATTATATGTAGGCTATTCATAAGAAAATGCAAAACATTATAACAAAAAGCAAACCGTAGTCAAATCAATGAATACCCTAATTACCTTTGTAATACCTAGGTTTCAAAGGTTTGACGACCTTAACTTACCGTACTGTAGGCCTAGGTAGGCTAATTGAGATAAATCTCGAAACAATACTGACAACAATTATGAGAAGATTGAAGTAGGCCAAATAGCCTAGGCTAGCAATGTAAATACTTAATACTACACATCAAAAACATTAAAATGTAGGCTATGAGCCTTATTCAAACTTATTCAAGCAGGAGACATATCATATAAAGTAACTTAGGTTAACATTCCCTTACACTAACCTTTCCATTCTGTAGGTGTACACGATATACTGGAACTCAAATTATGTATTTAAGTTTGACAGGTTAGACAAAAGAAAAACCTTGAAGGAAGACAGTACTACTAACTAGGGCTAAGATAGTTAATAAGATACAAACAAATTACTAATTTAATTAGATTAGATTTAAATCCTAAAAACAAACAGTCACACTCACTCACATAGAGTACACACTTAAACACACACTACACAGTGTATCGTTTGTTTTTTTCGTATGTTTTTTTTTTCATTTTGTAACGAGCCTTTTTCCTAGGGGGGTAAATATTTGCTATTTGGCCGCGCACCGATTGATGAGGTAAGCAAGCGGCGGCGGGGAAGCTAGCGAGCGCCCTTTGACCCGGCTTATCAGTGCCGATAAGCCTGGGATATCCTAGATGTTCAGGACAGTATAGGACGGACATTCGAGTCGTGGATCCCGGTCAGTGAGGATAGCGTGTGTCTAGTGAGACGTCCAGTGGTGTACGTAGAGAGGAGTGCTTTGGTGACATCGGTGTGATATTGGTGCTCAAGGCGTGTTGGTGTCAAGTTGGGTAGTGAGTCAGTGACCCACTTGTGGTGAATGGACGACTTGATATTATTAGTTTGATATATTAATATCTGATTTTATTGCGAGAGTTAGAGTTGTAATCGTGCTGGTCAAAGCCTGACGGTAGTTAGGATTTATATTAGTCAGGAATAATATTAAAGTATATTCCTGACGGTTCTGGGCAGGTGCTAGAGCGCAAATAATATAATTTATTGACTGTAGTAGTTATTATTTTGCGTTGTACCAAGAGTTAGTTATATTACTAATAACTCTTGAGGCCCGACAAACCTATGCTGCACGATTTAGCGTGCGTAGTTGGAAGCACGTGGCCAGTAGGCTAGTAGCTAATATTATTAGCCTATTAACAGAAGCCCAGCTAAGTAATATAACGTTGATATAGTAGCAGTAGTGGTAGTAGCAGTAGGGTTGGTGTTGATTAATCATTTAATTATTTCAATTTAACTTAAACAGCTTGTTTGGTAGTCCAACACGTTATCTTGGTAGCTTGGATAGCGGAGTACCGGCTATCAGATAATATATTTATCTAGTGTTTGGAACGTATTTAATATTTATTTATCTGCTACTAAGTAGCTCAATATTTTAATAGTGCAATTGCCATTTAGTTTTGCTTGTTTGGCTTGGTATTTATTGAGACCAGCTACTAGTGGTGTAGTCACTCTACCTATAGTGTACTTGTATATTATTATGTGGTACGATTATTGAGTGAACTGTTTGATTCTTAGCTTGGGCATTAGAGTTGTGTATTGCAGTTTAGTGGCCTAGTAGACCCCGCCTGGTGATAACACGCGTTGTGGTTTTTATTGGCAAGTCGTCGTGTAACTCACCGTGTTTTAGGCACTCTGGGCTTAACTATTGGATAGTTAGAACGAAGCCCGAGTTGCGTAGTCAGCAACGACCCCCTAGGAGTGTGGAGAATCGGCGTAGGCCTGGTAGTGATTATTGCACGTTTGTTTTGGTGACTTGTTTTTGACTTGTTCACAGTGCCCGTGTATGAGCCAGTCCTATACCGGTTAGACCCGGCTTTTGGCCTAGTGGTTTCCCTGACCTTGTCGCAGACCCTGGAATATTACCCAGCCATCGTAGGCTGAGCTATCCCCGGCAAACGGTTGCGACCGACTGCACTTTTAATATTTAATATTTTTTTTCCAGTGCAGAAAATCTCGTCGCAAGATGGCGCCTGCGAACAGGGACTGAGGTTGGCAGTGGTGCTGAGTTGCTGACGTATTAACGGCGCCCGAACAAAATAATTTTATTTGTGCAGATTTGCTGCGGACCTGTGCAGATTGGCTGCGGACCTGAGCTGTTGAGCAGAGTTTTAGGCAGACCTGCTGTGATTTTATAGTCGGTTGGGTAGGCCTAACCTGTTTTCTGTTACAGCGTGGTGTGTTGTGAACCCTAATTTATTTAGTGGTTGTATACATAGATATTAGTTAGTAATTTTAATTTTGCTAATTAATTGAGCCTTATCATTGAATATTATTTGAGTGAGAACCCTTATTGTGTAATTGTGGTTTGACTTTCACACCCATAATTGGTTTGATTTATTATTTTGCTAATTAATTGAGCTTTATCATCGAATATTATTTGAGTGAGAACCCTTATTGTGTATTTGTGGTTTGACTTTCACACCCATAATTGGTTTGATTTAATAGTACGGTGTTAAATAGATTTTAATTGTTTACGCCCTTATTTTTGCGGATTTGTCGTGGTGTTTTGAATTTTAAATATGGTTGTGACTACGAGTACGACGTCTGTGCTGGGCGGTACGCCTATTACGTCTGCTATTGCTACGACTAGTTCTGGGGTTGGCTCCGAACTGTCGGTGATGACGACATCGTCATTGTGGCCGGCGTCTTCGCCCGTTTGGCCGACAATTTCTTCGGTAGTGGCTACGACGGTGACAACTTCGTTGACCTATTCCGCGCCAGCGACTATGTCCTTGGGGTCGCAGCCCCGGGACGGTCGCGTGGGTTGGATCTATGACCTCTCGAAGGGGGAGCTCATGAGAACGATGGACCAGTATGGTTTGGTGACCACTGGTACTTCTGCGGAATTACGGCAGCGATTTTCGTCGTTTTGGAAGCAGCGGAATGCCCGTCGGTATAGCGATGATAGACTGTGTACGGCTGGGGCTGCTGCACCTACATATGTACCGCCGGCTACTACAACTGTGGAGCTTCCTGACCCCCCGAGAACCGTACCTCAGGTACTGGGTAATACGGAATCTGACCAAGCCGCGGTAGTGGGAATTAGCAGGGAGTTAGAGGCGGTTAAAGAGATCCTTGGGTTGTCTTCGGAGACCAATGCCCGGACTCTTCGAGAACAACTTGCATTGGTGGTGCGACAGGCGAGGGGCTCGCCGAGTAATGGGGTCGGCTATGGGTTCGAAAGACCCGCCAACCCTACGTCCCCTGTTGTGGCTGCTCCAATGCCTACCTTTGGGTTACCTAGTAGACCCGAGGGATGGCAGCGGCCCAATGATAGTTCTGAGAGACCAGCCTGGCCTTCTAGCTTGGAGCTGCCTCGAGGCTCGGATATGCTCTCAAATGAGGCCAGCAGGGTGGAGCCAAAGGATTGCTCCAAAATATGTAACACGGTACGGAAGTGGGGTTTGAGGTTTGATGGCCGACGAGACCCTGTGTCGTTCCTGGAGCGCCTTGAAGAGCTGATGGTCTCGTACTCTATAAAATCAGAGGACCTGCTCAGAGCGCTGCCGGAGCTGTTGCAAGGCTCAGCGCTTCTATGGTACAGGAATTGCAAGGAGCTCCTGTATTCATTCGAAGCTTTTCGGCATCAATTTGAGATCCAGTTCCTTCCACCTGGTTATCAGAGGAATTTGGATGAGGAGATCCGGAAAAGGACACAGGGTGAAGGCGAGCACTTCCGGGACTACGTTGTTGCCATAAGTACCTTGCTTAGGCGTAGCGGTACGTTGTCCGAGCATGGTAGATTGGACTTGATCTACAACAACATGCGACCAGAGTACAAACTCATGGTGCGACGGCGGGACTTCCGCAATCTGGCCGAGATGGTTGAGTTGGCCGAAGACTACGAGGCCTATCTGCGAGAGAAGGCGGCCTTTAGACCTCCTCCTCCTCCGAACGTAGCGCTGGTTTTGGAAACCGCCTACACACCCAAAAAGAAGGTGGAGAAGCGCGCCGAAACTGCCGCCGTCGAGAAGCGGAGTTTCGAGAGACCATCTCCGGAAGCCGAGTCGCGTGGGCGGGTAGCTTTGAAGTCGGATCGGGTCCACGGTCGACGGCCCGTGACAGCAGCTAGAGCGCCTGAGGGTCCAAAGGGGACGGTGAAATGTTTTAGGTGCCAGGAGATTGGTCACTTTGCCCGAGAATGTGGTAAACCAAGGACCGTCTCCTGTTATGGGTGTGGCAAACCTGGTTTGACGGTGAGTCAGTGTGGATGTCGGGCGGGAAACGGCAGGCCAGCTCAGACATCAGGAGGTCAACTGGGCAAGGCCACCCAAAACGAACGACCTCAGAAGAGTGGTCCGAGTGGCTCGGAAAACTAAACAGCCTGGTTGGTGGAGTAGACGAGAACCGGCTGGTTTCGGAGACAAGGCCCTTTGTTGAAGTTGTGCTGATGGGCAGCGTTTATAAGGCGTTATTGGACACTGGGTCCGTAGTTAACCTGGTTGGGCGAGAAGTTGCCGATCATCTTCAACGCCAGGAGGTAGAGCCTTTTAAGAAACCCGCTCCTCTAAGGATGGCAGATGGGTCACCGTCTAGGGCCGAGTATTCATTCCGATTGGCAGGAGAAGCTGCGGGAAGACGGTGGGTTGGAGACGCCTTGTACGTTCCCACTCTTACCACGGATATGATTTTGGGAATGGATGTCATACGAGATCTCAGACTTGTGACGGTCGTGATAAGAATGGGCGTGGGTGAGGACTGTTCTGGTCAAGTGGGCCGCATAGAGAGTGTCAAAATTGGTGACGAAGACCCCGAAGGCCCTTGCGATGGAAACCCTCGTCTGGTTCCTGATGCCAAATCATTCAGCTCCATGTTGGCTGGTAGTGGCTAGTAGAAGAGTTTTTCTTTGTTTTAAGTTTGAGACCTGTGGTGTAGGGTTCACCATTGGGTTAGGGGTTGGAGTATTTTGTTTTGGCCGGAGTTCAATGATTTTTTTTTCTTTTTGGCCGTTTTCTTTTTTTTCATCCCGATGTAAGTGGGGGATGTAACGAGCCTTTTTCCTAGGGGGGTAAATATTTGCTATTTGGCCGCGCACCGATTGATGAGGTAAGCAAGCGGCGGCGGGGAAGCTAGCGAGCGCCCTTTGACCCGGCTTATCAGTGCCGATAAGCCTGGGATATCCTAGATGTTCAGGACAGTATAGGACGGACATTCGAGTCGTGGATCCCGGTCAGTGAGGATAGCGTGTGTCTAGTGAGACGTCCAGTGGTGTGCGTAGAGAGGAGTGCTTTGGTGACATCGGTGTGATATTGGTGCTCAAGGCGTGTTGGTGTCAAGTTGGGTAGTGAGTCAGTGACCCACTTGTGGTGAGTGGACGACTTGATATTATTAGTTTGATATATTAATATCTGATTTTATTGCGAGAGTTAGAGTTGTAATCGTGCTGGTCAAAGCCTGACGGTAGTTAGGATTTATATTAGTCAGGAATAATATTAAAGTATATTCCTGACGGTTCTGGGCAGGTGCTAGAGCGCAAATAATATAATTTATTGACTGTAGTAGTTATTATTTTGCGTTGTACCAAGAGTTAGTTATATTACTAATAACTCTTGAGGCCCGACAAACCTATGCTGCACGATTTAGCGTGCGTAGTTGGAAGCACGTGGCCAGTAGGCTAGTAGCTAATATTATTAGCCTATTAACAGAAGCCCAGCTAAGTAATATAACGTTGATATAGTAGCAGTAGTGGTAGTAGCAGTAGGGTTGGTGTTGATTAATCATTTAATTATTTCAATTTAACTTAAACAGCTTGTTTGGTAGTCCAACACGTTATCTTGGTAGCTTGGATAGCGGAGTACCGGCTATCAGATAATATATTTATCTAGTGTTTGGAACGTATTTAATATTTATTTATCTGCTACTAAGTAGCTCAATATTTTAATAGTGCAATTGCCATTTAGTTTTGCTTGTTTGGCTTGGTATTTATTGAGACCAGCTACTAGTGGTGTAGTCACTCTACCTATAGTGTACTTGTATATTATTATGTGGTACGATTATTGAGTGAACTGTTTGATTCTTAGCTTGGGCATTAGAGTTGTGTATTGCAGTTTAGTGGCCTAGTAGACCCCGCCTGGTGATAACACGCGTTGTGGTTTTTATTGGCAAGTCGTCGTGTAACTCACCGTGTTTTAGGCACTCTGGGCTTAACTATTGGATAGTTAGAACGAAGCCCGAGTTGCGTAGTCAGCAACGACCCCCTAGGAGTGTGGAGAATCGGCGTAGGCCTGGTAGTGATTATTGCACGTTTGTTTTGGTGACTTGTTTTTGACTTGTTCACAGTGCCCGTGTATGAGCCAGTCCTATACCGGTTAGACCCGGCTTTTGGCCTAGTGGTTTCCCTGACCTTGTCGCAGACCCTGGAATATTACCCAGCCATCGTAGGCTGAGCTATCCCCGGCAAACGGTTGCGACTGCTGCACTTTTAATACTATATTTTCCCAGTGCAGAAAATCTCGTCGCAATTTTACCAAAATTGGTCGGCTTTGCTTGGTACTTGATATAAGCAACGCAGCCGCGTGGTTCTACACATACATACATTGATACATTTTGAGTGTATTTTTTGCATTTTTGTTCCTTCTGGTTAGTATTGTCATCAATGAACACTTTGTTAGTTATTCCATTTTTAAGACCAAACAAAAAAGCTTTTCATTTCATTTTCATTATTGTAAATTTTTATACTATTGAAGTAAGGGCTCTTGCTTGCAAGGGTGGAATTTACTTGAGGTACATGTGGATTTGTTGCTCTTCTTGTATTGTAATAGAATGCCACCATCTATTTGAAATACAAGTAAGTCGTAAAATATGTTTTTGAGAAAGTTTTATTTTTATTAATATTATTTGACACTGTCTATCCGGCCCTGGCTGGTCAAAGATGAAAAGGACGTAGGTAATAAGGTAATGTTTCAAATTCACCAGTCACCACACCACGACTTCATTAATAAGGATGAAATAAAAAAATCCATTATTCCAACAACTTTTCATAACAACCTGCCACAGTCCACTTGCATCCAGCATGATTGGACCATGGGGACGGGGTTTTTCGGGGGATTTTATTAGGTAAAAAAATGGGTTTTCTCATTTTTCTCATTTTCAAATTCTCATTTTTGACCAACAAAACACAAAATTTCCTAATTTCCCTCTAGACCTTTTTAAAGAGCTTAACAGATCAAATAATTTAGTAGGTATATCAAAGTGTTTTTGTACGGTTATTGGTGACGGAGAAAATTCACAAAATTGTAAATTCACATGCTATTCTTAAGGAGGATATTGCGAAATGTTGTAGTTTGCTTGTTTATGGATATATTCTGATCAAACTTGGCAAATGTATTTATTTTATTCTAAGCTATTAATATTTTACTAAAAAAATCCACATTAATAGATTCCTTGTAGCAGCAAACCTAGGTACTCATTAAACCTAATATTATTTTAAATAGGTTTAGGTGAAAATCAGTTCACACAAAAAAAAATTCGCCAAGTTGGCAGGTTTGCTGTGGCGGGGAAATTTCGTAAGTAAGTTAGATTAAGAAAAAAATGCTTGTCCTGCAATTACAGCTGCATAGCTCAGAGAACCTGCCCTGCCGTTGTTGTGGTTGTGCCTTTATCTTATCTGTCGTCGTCAGTCGTTTGTTGTTTTGTTTTCCATACCCACACCCACCGACCGTACATAACCATAACCTTCTGTTTATCTGTTCTGATTAAGAATCTTGTCAATAAAGTTATTTTGATTGAAGAAGTACCAGTAATGTGACTTGTTACGTAATCTAGATGTAGAACATTTATTTTAAAATTTTGGTTTCTGTGATTTTTTTACAATTTAAACATCGTATTCCATTCAAATACTCAAAATATTCATTAAGTTCTAACCTGAAAGTAACTGAATCTTAGTTACTTTTAATTTAATTTTCTTGGTAAAAATATCACTAAGATGGCATCAAGTGTTCCAAAAATTAGTTGCCTTTTAAAGAAATGTGGGGAGAAACAGTTGCACATCAAATGTATCCTTTTCATAAATTATATGCTAGTCTAATAACTTAGTACTACCCTACAATTCTGTAAGTTATTGTTAATTTTTCTACATTTAGGTCTATCTAATTAATGGCTGTGAATGTTACAGTAATATTTTAAAGCTGAAACAAGGCCTACTTGTTGACTCTCTCCTTTCAGTAGGGTAAATTTTAAATAACCTCTTAAGTATCATAGTCCTAATTGTCACGTTAAAGGGACGTAAAGTTTGCTGTTTCAGGTCCCAGAGTTAAGCCTGGTTTACACAGGTCGAGTATATCAGACGAGTTGTTCGGCCCAGTTACTAGGCCCAGTTGTTGATTTGTTCAACTCGCCCGGTACTTGAATAGACTGTCTACACGCATTCCTATTTCGAACAGCGACAGTGTAGGCACAGAGAAGTAATTTTTATAATTTCTCTGTGTTCTGTGGTGTAGGGTATTCCGTAAACCGTAGCTTTCGTGTTAAATGTTGTTTGAGTTTAACCCTCCGAGTGTCCATAGTTTAGGCCTTAATGTCCGCCGATTTTTGGTGCATTTGCAAGGTTTTATTAAAACCGATCTGAGAAGCTTAAAACAATGTTAATTCTACTGTTCTATATACCATTTTGTTTGGAAAATCATGGGCTGTACATAAAACATAAGGAACATTTGTTTCAAAAAAGTTTTTTAGGTAAAAAAAAATATTTTGGAAAATTAAAAAAAAAAAAAAATAAGTTCGCGCTCAATGAAATTGTATAAATTATAGGCCTATAAATATTTGAAAATAGCCACTTTGTTCTAAATTTTATGAGGATTACAAATATACAGGGTGAATTTTAAATGAGTTCCCCCCCTACTTTTTTCTACATTTCTTAAGATATCATCTCCGGACCACGTCAGATCATTGTTGAGTAGTAAGTACTTCATTTTGACTGGGTATACATTTTTGGCCGCCATATTGGATCCGCCATATTGGATACAAAGTTTTTTTTTCAAATGTAAAGGTAGGGTTGTGACCCATTATTTCAAACTAGAGTTTTACGCTGATTACAATGCCGCAATTAGTTTTTAAAAATCTTGATCCGTTCTAAAGTTATGAGGACTTTTTATAACTTTATTTTTAGCGCATTTTAACCCTTTGAGTGCCAACGTCCGGGGAACCGGACGTTTTTAAAACGAGCCAAAAGTGCCGACGTCCGGCAAACCGGACGTTTTTAGAACGAGCCAAAAGTGCCAACGTCCGGCTGACCGGACGTTTCGTAATGATCGAACAGTTGTCATAACAACCGAATGGATACTCGGATTCTTTTAACCCATATATTAACATTGAGTCGAAAGTTACTAGATGCGATACATCGATTTTCGTTGGTCAAAATATCGAAAATTCGATTTTTACGAAATTTTATCCTAAAAATCGCCAGATCGCGCTCGGCATTTTTAGCGCGACCTTCGGGAAAAATCATCGGCATTTTTTGAGCGTTACTTTTATTTTTCGCCTGGCACTCTAAGGGTTAACATTGTGCATTTACAAACTAAGACCATAATCTCAAAATAGTGCTAGATAAAGATAAGTATACACCACCATTCATTGCCGACATATTTTCACTTGGTTATGACGGATGTAGTTTTTTCAGCCGCCATCTTGGGTCCGCCATTTTTAAATGTGATCAATTAATTTAAATATGAAGGTGGTGTTGTGACCCATCATTTTGAGCTACCTTTTAATGCTGAACTCAATGCCGCTATCCGTTTTTCATTTGCATCTTTGGTTTTTGAAATATTGAAATTTTTAATAAGACTATTTTAATATTTCATCAAGACAGCTTGATAACCAAAAAAGGATTGCAGCATTGAGTCCAGTATAAAAAAGTAGTTCAAAATGATGGGTCACAACACCACCTTCATATTTAAATTAATTGATCACATTTCAAAATGGCGGATCCAAGATGGCGGCTGAAAAAACTACATCCGTCATAACCAAGTGAAAATATGTCGGCAATGAATGGTGGTGTATACTTATCTTTATCTAGCACTATTTTGAGATTATGGTCTTAGTTTGTAAATGCACAATGTTAAAATGTGCTAAAAATAAAGTTATAAAAAGTCCTCATAACTTTAGAACGGATCAAGATTTTTAAAAACTAATTGCGGCATTGTAATCAGCGTAAAATTCTAGTTTGAAATAATGGGTCACAACCCTACCTTTACATTTGAAAAAACAACTTTGTATCCAATATGGCAGATCCAAGATGGCGGCCAAAAATGTATACCCAGTCAAAATGAAGTACTTACTACTCAACAATGATCTGACGTGGTCCAGAGATGATATCTTAAGAAATGCAGAAAAAAGTAGGGGGGGAACTCATTTAAAATTCACCCTGTATAATAATATAAGGAAGTAGATTTGCAAATAAATAAGTTATGGGCAAAAAACAGATTTCAGTACATAGCGTTTAGCTAAGAATGCATAGCCTAACCATAGCTAAGAATCTGGCTGATAATTTACATCAATATCACTACCTACTTCTTCAGGATCATCAACCAGCCCTTCAAAATCACTTAAATCTTCTTATAATGCACCACGTATATCACTACTTTTGATTTTTAACACTAAAACAATGATAAACATAATAAAACACATCAGTCATCGGTCCGAGGGTAACCTAGCTATTTACAAATACGCACGTCAGCTGTCTGCTACAATTACGATCGGCTCGGAGAACATACAGCGCTGAGACAGACCTCTGGAGAAAGCTTAGAATATAATGAAAAGAACGATACCTAACTCGATCCAGTTCAATCCGATTCAGTCAGTCATAGAGCCTTCGCCGTAAACGATGTTCGCGCGTCGATTTTTCGACGATGGACGCTCGGAGGGTTAAAATGGAACTTCAAGAGTTCAATGCTGAATTTATAAATTAATTAAATCACTGAATTAGATTATTAGAATTAAAACTGAATCACCCCTTAAATTCAGGGGTTGCTTACGTTTTTTTATGCAAATAACTTACCATATAGACCAAAGTGGAAGGTGATATTCTAAAAGAATAAGATTTGTTACAAATTACTATAAATACCGGTACTGCATTTCTTTAAAATAAAATATATAGGTAGATATTAAGTTGTACACAAATTTTGAAAACTGAATTTTGTAAGAGTGAGTAGTTTTACGAACAGCAAGACAATGCAACACAGGGTCAACTGTTCTACTGAACCATTGAGTATTGAGGGTGATTGGGCATACACTACTGAACTAACCTTAATACTGATCGTTGTGATCGACTCACTTAGCGACCCCAAAATAAAAAAAAATATTTTTATTCTGTGGTCGCTAAACTCACTTGATAGCAGTAATAACAGATGTTTTGCGGGCAAATCGTTGTGGTGGGGGTAGCTACTGGGCCGAGCAACTCGGTTTTCAACTAAATCACTTGACTCGCTCTCAACTGACCTCTTTTTATCAACTCGCCAGTTGCTCGACTCGCCTGCATGTCTACACCAAGCGAGTTAAAGAGCGAGTGGCAACTCTTACACTGACTCGCCCACCGTACTCGACCCGTGTAAACCAGGCTTTAATGATTGTTTGTTCAAATTGTTATTGGTTTATGCACAGTTTGATGGAAGCTAGATGTATTAGTTAAATTTAGTTGGTCTTCAACATTAAGTAGAAATCTGCATAACAATAAGAATGCTTTTTTAAGACATGCTCATAAGTTAGTGTAAGAGGGTAGCCTAGTGAAAATTCATCTTCGTGAAGGGGCTATAAAATAAAAGAAAATAGGTTTGTCTCATCTATTCTGGGGTCTTTTTGGCTGCGTTTACAAATGCAGACCTCGGAAAAACCAGGAATCCAGGAGAGCTAGTGAAGGCAATAGATGAGTTAATCAAGTCAGGTTGCTGTATTTTTTTACCATGACCAGATTTGGAAATGAGTTTTTCCAGTTTTCTTTTTTCAAAACTTTTCAAAACTTCAAAACTTCGAAATCTACAGTTTCCAATAGCCTAGAGGACACTGGAGTGTACAAATTAACCTGCAGCGACTGTCCAAAAATGTATATCGGACAAACAGGTCGTTCATTCAAAAAAAGGTTTAATGAACATTAAACCTAAACAACAACAACAACTAAACTGCGAACACAACATTCTAAGTTCACTGAACACCTGATGAATGACAACCACAACGTAAGCAGCTGTAGTGATAACCTGGGTATTTTACATAAATGCACCAAAGGCTCCTTAATGAATGTCCTTGAAAGCTATGAAATCTACAAAGCAACAAAAAGGTTTCCCCACGACATCCTGAATGAAAAGCTAAATTTTGGTCGTAACATAATATTTGATAGGATTGAGGACATTGATAACAAAGGCGCTCATAATCAGCTGTCCAACCCCCTCCAAGGTCAATGTCACCAGACCAGTGGCAGTCGGTAGTTGAGTCGTGTCCGTCGTGCGTGTAATGGCCGGCCGCGCGTCTTTCTGTATCTTAATGTATTTGTGCGTGTTAAATGTTATATTTGTGTACTTTGACGACGACATTATGTTCAAGTAATTTTATGTTTGACAAGGCTTGAAAATGAAACGTCAGTTTCGAAACTAGTCGCTGCTAAAAAGACTAACCTAGGATTGACGACGTAAAGGTACGTAACCTATTTTATATTTTCTTTTTTCAATATCTTGTAGCCTACTCTACCTCATCATTTATTTATTTATTCATTTCGACGACAATCGCCATTTCACAAAATAAAACATTAGACAAGATTTACATGCAACAAGATAATACAATAGAAAACATTAATAAATGAAAATTTGTGGTGGTGGTGAACAGTTTGAGTAAAAATACAACAGTTACAACATTGTGAAAAAAAGTAACAATAACATCATTCTTTGAATTAAGCCTATTGCCTAGTGTATATTTTATAGAACAGTTTGTAATTTAACTCCTTACTTATGCAAATCCTTTCTTGAAATTTTCTTAATTGTTTTTATAGATTTCAGTACATCATCGTTATTATGTGGTAAAAAAGCTAACAAAGGTATGTTTTTATTGTTAACAATATAACTTTTTATAATATTAACATTTTTATAATCTGTTCTAAAGTGACATAGCAAAAATTGTTTGATACATATAGTAGAACAAGACCCTTTATAGCAAGGATATCTACTATTCAAAATCCCACCAATCTATTACCCTATGGGTACCCTTTTATATGAAAAACTCTTTTTAAGAAGCAGTAGGCCTACTTGGAGAATCTTGCTATCAAGGTCTTACAATTGGAGTATTTGTCACATAGCTCAAAATGCCTCAACAATGCTTCGTAGTGTAACTTGAATACTTAGTGACTAGTTTTGATTTCGTTGTCCCTTTTCCACACGTAGGTTATTGTTTTATGAAACAATAATTATGAATATTATAACTGTTTGTCATTGCTGTTTTGTTTTCATTTCAGCAACTTTCAAATGGGAGGACGCCTTGGATCTCGAATCACAGCTTAAAGAAGATGAAATATTACTTCGTGATTCTTTCAAATCATACTGCCAAGATAAACTCATGCCTAGAATCCTTCTAGCGAATCGGAATGAAGGTGAGACACTGTATTAAACTGTAAAATATAAAATTTTGTAGGAATTAGTCAACTATTTCTAACTGTACGTTTTCATATTGGGATAAAGCTTACAACTAACTGTTTTGAGCTTTAGCAGTCCTGAAAGTTCATTGTATAAGTAATATTTCAATTTGAGGTTTAATGTAGTAGAATGGCATTCTGGGAAATTTCTTCTTTTAAATTTAAGGAAGCGGTCTATTTCCTATTGTAACTTTTAAGACACATTACCTACACATAGGAAAAATGGACTGAACTATGAGGGCTGTCCACAAAAAGGTTTCAAAACCAGTTAAAATTTGAGACCAAGTTTTGTTAAAAAATATCCCATCACTATTATATCTCCATCCACTACTTCTAGCCCTCTCCCAACCTACAGAACAATTAATTAGTCTAGCTGAAAACCATGTGAGAGAAAAATTGTCAAGCAAAATACAAATTGCCTTCTGTGATTAGGTTTCTGTGTGAAGTTGATAAAGACTTATTGAAATCCGTTGTCAGTTGATAAATGCAGAATAGTGTTTGTAATGCAGAAGTGACTAAGGAAGTAAAAAGCCATAATCATTTACACAACCAAGTCAGCAGTGGGTGGTCTTCAGTCTCCATCAAAACGGTGATCAAAGTTGAGAAAACTTAGCTTACTGACTGGTATGTTTAAGAATAGAGAAGTCCTCCATTTGTTTACAAATCTTTCGTTCATTCACACCGTGATATTTTTTTCACAATTTTGATAACTTTGGTCACCTACTCAATGAGACTAATGAAAGACAATAGTTGGTCGGTGGTATAATGAATAGACACATGTGAAATTCTGCAAAGCGCTTCAGAACTCCATCAAACCCTTATGTATATTTCCTATGGCCAAACTAAACCTTTACTCCATTAATGTTCCCCCAACTGGCTATGGACTTGACAAATCTTAGAACATGATCCATATCATGAACACGGGAGCATTGGTTTTGCTTCACACATAGTTTTCGCAATGGGAGTTCGTTGGTGAGACCTAAATTTACAGCCAACCCTTATAACTTAGCTGTTATATGCTATCTTTGCAAAGTTATAAAAGGCAAATAAGCATGACACTTTCTGTGCTAACGAGTGGCTGTTACATCACTCAAAACTCGATTGTTTGTGTCAAAGACTATAATTGAAAATTAGATAAATCATGTTAGGCCTAACCTGTTTGAATTGTGTAATAATGCATTTAAAATTTTGTATCTTTTTTTCAAATGCATCATAATACCTTAGCTTTAATAGCTTAGCAATACCTTTTATATACTTTCACCTGTGTTTTCAAACCGTCTTAAACTTGAGTTAGGACTCACATTTCACAATGGTAAAATCACAACACACTCAACAAATTCCATAAGTTTTGAAAGTAACAGAAAATTACCCCCTGTACAATAGAAAGTGACCACTCTTCCTCTAACAATAATGTGTTGTTTTCCAGTATTTGACAGAAACATCTTACGAGAACTCGGAGAGGTTGGAGTCCTCGGTTGTCAGTTACAAGGCTACGGCTGCGCGGGCGTGTCTTACACTGCGTATGGACTAGTTGCGCGTGAGTTGGAGCGTGTCGACAGTGCCTATAGGTCCGTCATGAGCGTCCAGTCTTCGCTCGTAATGCTGCCTATCCATAAGTTTGGTTCTGAAGCTCAGAAAGAGAAGTACTTACCTAAACTTGGTGAGAAGATATTTACTCTTAACTTTGCTATTAAAATTTTATCTTCCAAACAGTCCCGAGGTGAAATTCTCTATCGTTAATGTCAGTTAAATTGGGATACGAGAATGTTTTAGTTAAATTTTAAGTTTCTGTTTTTTTAAATGTAATAAAAGATATTTATTTTTTAATCCATGAACTTCGAATTAAGATATTCAATAAAAACCCCTCAATCTTGAGTTTTCGTTGTTTAGGCTTGCCAGAACATTCTATATGGGAAATAAATTATGTCTATAAATGAAATCACAAAGTATACACCATCTGAATTTCCCTAAACCTTTCAATTTGCCATGGTGTTGCATTTACAATTAAACATAAAAATATACATACAAAGCTATTTTACAGCTAGGTGAATTTTGATGACATTAATTAATCTCCAAATAAAACTAGGTACCCAGTTTTAAGCAATAAACTCATTAATATTAAAGTATTACAGCAATGAAACATTGATATCAATATGCTATTACTCTACAGCTTCAGGGGAGCTTGCTGGTTGCTTTGGGCTGACCGAACCTAACTTTGGCAGTGATATTTCCAACATGGAGACAAAAGCGCAGTATCTTCCTGACAAAAAAGCCTACATTCTCCGAGGAAGCAAGACGTGGTGAGTTTGAATTAATTTACTAGAGATCCCCCTAGAGTCCCTTTTTGAAAAAAATCCACTTGGTTTGTTGGTGGACGCTTTTGGCCTGTGTTCTGATACTGTATCGGCAAAGTTGGAAAGTGTTAGGTGATGTAGAGAGAGGAAGAGGGAAAGTTGAAAATCATAAGAGATAAAAAGCTGTTAAATCAAAAATAACCTATTAGGCCAATTATAAAGTTTAAATGTTTAAACATCATAAATATGAACTGAAGATACTTGCCCTAAAATTTGATGGGAAAGAGTTGTTTTTCTATTAGCTTAGCGAATTCGCTATAGGGAAGTAGCTATTACCGTAGGTGGCACAGTAAGAACTAGGCCCTGGACCGATTTACCTTTTTTCATGTCCCCAGAGGCCAAAAACACTATTCCTTCAAGATGTAAATATATATGAACAAATAGTGTTTTTGGCCTCTGGGGACTTTAGGCCTATTTAACCAAATGTAGGACTTCATGATCGCTAGAGCTGGCAAAAACCTTAATTATATAAAAGCAGGAGGCTGAATTTAAAACTCGTAATTATTTAGCCTGATCGGAGATTGTAACTTTCAGGATCACCAACTCCCCGATAGCTGACGTTTGCTTGGTGTGGGCCAAGTGTGAAGACAACAGAGTACGAGGGTTCCTTGTAGACCGAGGTACTCCGGGGCTGGAGACCCCTCCGATACAAGGCAAGTTCGCTCTACGAGCCTCTATGACGGGAATGATCTTATTGGACTCTGTCATCGTACCTGAGGAAAACATGTTGCCTGGCGTGGAAGGAATGACAGTGAGTATTGTGGATATTGACAGTGATATTGTAGGACGTAGACTCGAATATGGAACTGTTATACGCATTACTTCATGCTAGTCCTAGAGGGTTACGGCATTGTCACTTAGATAAATCCATTGGTGATTGGATCGGGGAGAGAGCTGGTCTAGTGATAGAGTCTCAAAAGGTCCTGGGTTCAAATCCCACCAAATCACCAATGGATTTAATATAAATAATAATGTCGCAACCCTTAGGTCTAACCTGAAGTAATGTGAAAAACAATCCCAGGCTTTTGCCTAGCGTCCTAGGAGGAAACAAATTGATGATTGGCGGAATTTTAACCTGAGAACAGGCTGAAGTCCCACCACCTTCACCTAGACCAGCTCGCTCCCAAGTGTTGACGGCATCTTTCACTATTAACACGTTTGCTATCGCAATAGTACAAAACTTTTCATTCATACCCCTTTCAGACCCAGCAAGCTCATTTGTGTAGGAAAATTTTTAATTCCTGACAACCTAACCAACACAATTGTGTAGGTTAGATGTTTATTTGTTTTTTTTTTTAAGTTTCTGGATCTTTCTGTTGCTCAGACCTGTACGCATCGATTGTACATTTTATAGAGATCAGGTGGGAATTTTTGTTTTGCCTTCATGTCTTATGGTAACACTGATTGTTTTGTTGCAATGTCACGGTAAGATAGGAGAAAGAGGCAATTGTTAAGGTTAATGACTGTTTTATTTATGTTTTTAAACGTATCTAAAAAAAAAAATGTATTTTATTGTATTATGAAGGTTTTGTCTTTAAAACAAACCTAATCAATAATTTTAGTATTTGAAATCTAGGCTAAAAACCAACATTTATTCAAAATTTGCTCAGGACTTAAAGCGGTCGAGATGACTAAGATTCCCGGGTCTGAAAGGGATAAAGACCAGTGACGCACATATGCGACGGCCGGTTTCTACCCATAGACAGTCACAATAAAATAGACTGACGACGCATATTTTTCGTCGGTGTTCCAATGTTATCAAAATGCTTATATCTTTGTAACAGTCTATTTGAAAGCACTGAATTCTCTGCTGTGGTCTACAGGGATGTCTGTCGCACAACTGCGTCGCTTGGTCCATGGATATGATGATTGGTGACGAAATATGATAGTTGGAAAAACTTAATATTGTAGTTTGCTTGTTTATAAAAACATTTTGATCAAACTTGGCAAATTTATTGATTTTATACTAAGCCATTAATATTTTACAAAAAAATACACTTTATTAGTTTTCTTGTAGCAGCAAACCAAGGCACTCATTAAACCTAATGTTATTTAAATAGATTTAATTGAAAATCAATTCAGACAAATGGAAATTTGCTTAGTCGGCAGGTTTGCTGTGGCGGGGGTATTTATTTTACAGTTTTACTCCAACTATCCAAATCAATTTGAACCATACCACAATTGTATGGTTGAATTTTTACCAAAATTTTGGGTATTTTTTGCACACCTGCAAAGATTAGCAATTAAAAAATTCACGCTTTTGCCACAATTGTGGAGGACATCTTGACCACATGAGACAACACATATTTAATGATAAAGTAAAATATTTTATTTGACTTTAATTTCAAGCTGTTTGTCCAGGGCCCGTTCACGTGTTTGACATCCGCACGGCAAGGCATCGCGTGGGGAGCGCTGGGGGCCGCGGAGTTCTGCCTGGCCACTGCTCGTCAGTACACGTTGGATCGTGTTCAGTTTGAACGACCTCTCGCAGCCACGCAGCTCATACAGAAGAAGCTTGCAGATATGTTGACTGAGATAACTCTCGCTCTGCATGCTTGTCTCAGACTCACACGTCTGTCTGAGCAAGGCCTGTAAGTCTTCAACTGTTAAGGTTAAACCTCAATTGCATTCAAACTACACAAATGTACATTGTTTTACCTAGAAAAACATTTTTCCAATCAAAATAATCAACTAAACTTCTCCACCTCTCTTACTTACACTAATGTCTTCATGTCGGATAGGTCAACTCCTGAGCAGGTGTCCATGATGAAGCGCAACTCCTGTGGGAAGGCACTGGAGATAGCGAGGACTGCCCGGGATTTACTGGGAGGCAATGGGATCTGTGACGAGTATCACATCATACGACACGTCATGAATCTGGAGGCCGTCAACACATATGAGGGTGAGTTAAACTGCAGATAGTTCCAAACACTCAAACAGCAAAGACTTGTCCTAAGCCGGGTATTGTTCACCAGTGTGGCGGCCGGTCCAATATTTCTACCACTCACACGCGTTACTAAGTGTGTGTGGTTGCAAAAATTGCTCAAGTAAACTAAATACCGTATCATTGATGAAGATTACATGACTCCAACAAGTTCACACGGATTATTTATTTAAAATAAAGGAAACCTGTAGGAATAGGAGTAGACAGTTTGCGACAATATGTATATTTTGATATTTTCTTTGCTGTATAAATATTCTTCAGTCAATCTAATGTACTATTTAATTAATTTAACTTCAAAAATGATTTTGAAGTAATTTTTTCCTCGACTTTGTAAATGTACCTAAATTGTACCGTACCCACTTTTCGGTGCACCCCAGGGCACAGACCCCTAATATTTTCCTTTAAGTCCCATGACCCACGAGTAAATTTGATCTTATAAATATTTTGAAGTACAGTAATAAAGCAATTCTTTTGCTAATAAACCAGTTTTTTTTTCTTTTCAGGAACGCATGACATCCACGCTCTAGTGTTGGGACGGGGCATCACAGGAATTCCAGCTTTTGCCTCTGTTCCGTGATTTGTTAGTGCTTTAGGCTACTCAATATTATCTGAGGTAGTATTTAAACGCAGGATTAGTTCTTTCCAAGTTCTACTCACGGTTAAAATGTTCAAATTTGTCTGTGATACTTATGTTTTGTTTAATAATACCCGTTGCCTGATTTTCACTTTTATAAAATTTACTACATTTCCACCTACCTTAGCTGTATTTAAGTAAAACTCAGATAGGAACGGATTTTTTTTTAAAAGCTGCACTACAATTCAACACAGATTTTACAATTCACTTGACACAGGGTTTAACCTGCATGTGAAATAAATTGTTAACCCCATATATTTTTTTATCGTTATATTATGGATATTAGAATTTATTTTTGTCTATACTGTATATAATGTTACCTATGGTGCCACATATGTTGATTATAAAATAAAGTCTATATACAAATTTTAATGTTACTTCAGTTCTGTATACGTACCTGAAATCCTGAAAAGTTCTGTCAAATAGTAAAGTATTGAAAATAACTTGATTTTCTCTTGCAAGTTCCGCTTCTAAACCACACCAAAATTGTAACAAATATTTACAATTGGTAACCATACAGACACCAACCGGTCTTTCTACAGTCCGCTACATCTGCAAGCGTTACGCAGAATTGTTGCGCAGAATATCTGCTGTCTTTGACAACACTATTGGTCATCTTTCTTTGTATATCTGCTTTGCAACCATCAAGCACTCACCAACTTGCAACTATTGATGTTTTAAAGTTGCTCACCAGATATTTCACCATTGAGTAAAAAACATATTTTTGAGTATTTCCATGCTGATCAATACCTTGTAAAGGCTGGTAAATCCTAGCTGCCAAATACCCTGTGTTTATGACACAGCACTGCCGATCACTAGTTTTATCAAGCAGCCTATGTTTTGTAAACGCTGGTAGTCATAGCTGCCAAATACCCTGTGTTTATGACGCTAACTCAACACAAAATAGTCAAGTACAGGCTAACCTCAAAAACGCTTTTTTGCTGAAAATTGGTTTTGGCAAGGGTTTTGTAATGGATAGGTTTAACAGCAGACTTACCTTACTGACGGAAATAGAAACACTGAATTTTCATAAAATCCGAAATTTTGTTGTTTCTGTTTCTGCATTTTCATATATTTTTTTACCAAGATATGCCTTTTGTTCAACCTTCCCATTACAAAATTCTTAAACACATTCGTCAAGGGTTACATACCTTGACCTACTTGTCAGGTTGAGCCTGATGACCGAGCGAGTCGACAAAATTAATTTTCTACTGTTTAAATTTTTTTTTAAACAAATCATTCGACTGTCCCTCTACAACATTGTCGTGACTATACTTGTTTACTGTCTTCGTAAAATGTTGACATCATTCATGTGCTTGCATGCAGGATTAATAACACATATTACTTTGATTTGATTATGTAAATAAAATCCATTACTTCTGCATTTGAATGATTAACACTAGCTACAAGGACAGTTGTAAGGTGCATAACCACCTATAAACAATGAATACTGAAATTCCAATAATAATCATTTTATTTCATATAATGGTAAAGTAAATATTAAAACACTGAGAGGATGAAAACAAATTCAGTTAAATATATAAATATGAAAACTACTATAAAAGGTATAAGTCCAGAAACAAAAGAAAATATAAATTATATTACACCCTTCACATGGTAACATCAAAACTGTTTGGATACAAAAACTAGATAACTATATAACATTGTGCTTTGGTGCCTCAAAATAATTTGAAATCATTAATTGCTCAATAATAAATAGATGTAATCTAAGTTTTATCTCAACAACTACACATCCAAATGGGGCGAATTTCAACAAAACATGTTTTCAGGATGTATAAAAAACATTGCTACACTATTAACCCCTTGAGTGCCGTCATGCCTATTTCTTATGGATAAATTGTCGAGCTAATTTCAAAGGAAAATGCAGTAGTTTATATAAAATACAATTTTAGAGGTTTCTGTGTATTTTTTTAATTTTGTGCATGAATAAATTCTCTATGAAATGGTTTAAGATATCACAAAATTTCACAATAAATTAGGACCAAAAAATATTTTTTTAAAACAAAAATTATTATTTAAATTTATTGTTACTATGAATATAAGTTATGCTAAACAATTTTATTATTTTATTCAACATAACAGTCGGATCAAAATTGATGTATAGATAATCAAATTTAGTTCCAAACAAGTTTGAAAAAATTCAATAAAAATAATATATAACAATCCCAAATATGTGGTTGCTAAGCAATGCCAAACTGGAATTCTGTAATATAAATAACTATTATGTTTTACTTTGTTGTCAGTGAAGATTGTTATCATTACTAATAAATAACCTTTGCCAATGTATAAAAGAAAAAAATAGTGAAAAACTTCTCTAGCCGTATTCGCACACATAACTTCAACTTGAAAACCAAAAAAAAAACGTCAAACAGATGATACCAGATGTCATCTATGACGAAAATGGATAAAATGGTGTCTGCTAACAGACCAAAGGCAACGAAAATGCTACAAAACTGATATCCGGTAGCTTTTGAATCAAAACAACGTGTTTTTAAAGCCAGTATGTTGTTGGGTGTTTAAATGGGTACTTAAATGTAGGCATCAATATCCCATATTAACTTTTTAGCGGGTTATACCAGGAAAACTAAACTCCGCATACCTTCATAAGAGACAAAACTGCACTTTTTGGTCGGTATAACAATTTTGCCCGGGACCCCGAAATGGGGTTTTTTTGAGGTAGCTCAACAATTTTAAATGTAAAGCCCCATCGAGTGACACCTCATTTTAAAGGCCTTTATTAAAGAAGAATATCAGAGAAAACTAAAGGTCTCTATCTCAACCCAGTACGACATGGCGGTCATTTGAAAATTCATCGTACAGTTTAACCTCATTAAAAGTTTCTCTCAGGCTGATGAAAATTTAAAATGATTGCCATGTCGTACTGGGTTGAGATAGAGACCTCTAGTTTTCGCTGATATTCTTCTTTAATAAAGGCCTTTAAAATGAGGTGTCACTCGATGGGGCTTTACATTTAAAATTTTGGAGCTACCCCAAAATACCCCATTTTGGGGTCCCAGGAAAAATTGCGATACCGTCCAAAAAGTGCAGTTTTATTTTTTATGAAGGTATGTGGAGTTTAGTTTTCCTGGTGTCGCCCATTAAAAAGTTAACCAGGGGTATCCACACATTTGCCCAACCCTGTATAAAATACTGAGAGTCGCCGTCAGCGACGCTTGACAATTAATATATTATTTTATTATCACATTGCGTCGCTATGAGCGATGCTACGGCACTAAAAGGGTTAAGGATAGTACCTGTAAAGTAGTACCTGTAAAGTAAACCCACAATTAGAATAGTTTGTTCAATGACTAAAAAGTATAAGCTAAATCTACAAAAACATAAGCATTGTTTTGGAATAGTTTATTAAACACCATAACATAACAAGTACAAACAAAGTAAAGCACCCTCACAAGGGAAATCAGTGCCAATATTATAAGTGTTTCACAACTTTTTTGGAGTACAAAGAAGTGAATAAAATAGAAAAAGTTGAGAAAGTGATACGAATAACATACTGCTAGGTTAGGAGTTCGAACAGAGCAAGGAAATTTAACAAATTTAATATAATAATAATAAGGTAATAAATAATGCTAGGCACTGACATTGTTCCATTCAAAGTATTATCATAGTAACAATTATGTAAGATTCCACGGTGAAAAACATATTTTAATGTTTTAAAAGGTAATTTTATTTCACAATTCAAAGCTTAAACAATTTTACTATGAAGTGTTATGTTTGAACAAAGTAATTCGAGTAAAAATAACGAACAAATTAAACATACAAATTGATCGATATTCGTAATGTCTAAATCTTAAAATAACTTACATAAATAAGTAATTTTATAATAAATTCCTCTACATTGCATCTGCAGGCTACAGGACCACCATGTTTTATAAATAGCAAATTCAGCACTATCACTTGGCATTCAAGTTGTTTGCAGCCCTCAAGAATCACAATAAAACACGATTAACTACAATTCAAACCCTGACACGATAGGAAAATAATATATATGTTCATTTATTTATTTGCCGCTAACTTCTCATTTGTACAGGTATCAGAGAGCAAATCTATTACAATAAGTACTCGATTAGAAAATTCGCTATAACAGTTAAATATTTAAACTCGACAACATCTATTTGATACAGAAACCTTTATATTACATAGCTGCCCCTAAAAATAAATACAATATTTAACGAGAGCGAATTAACATTAAATACAATATTAGATGGAATTTGTACAAAAATTAATCGGTACAGAAGCTAATAATACATTTGAAGGGAAATCCCGATGCAACACTATACTACATCACTTGTAACATTTACACAGATTTATATAATACATTACAAGAACAAGAACCGATGGTCCGCACACCGTCTGCCTGGATAACTAAAAGCGAGGTGTGTTCCTTGAGTCCAAGACCCTTCTTATCTTATCTACACTACTCTATACATAACAGTGAAACAATTTATAAATTATACTCAAAAACAGTTCGACACTACATTCTATGTGGTGTTTTCGATTGATATTTTGTACCATAAGTATTTCCTAGGGACAAAGCAGCACAGGGATGGTAAATGATAAATTAACATGAAGCAAAAATACTGGGTTTCGCCCCTATGTTACGCATTTGAGGAGTCTTTCGTAAACGGCTCGTTGAGTCTTCTCAGTCTAGATCCACTTCGGTCAGCAGACTGATAGCTAGAAAAAAATTATTTTAGAGTGACTGCACAAATAGTTTGTATTGTTATTATTTTCATGTTAAAAAAAAAAAAACAGTAAAACCGTAACAAACCAAATGGTTGGAATTTAAAAGGCATTTTAGTTCAAATAAATAAACAACAGAAGCTAAAAAGCTAGATTAATTACTGTGATCTTCAAATATACAACTGTGTAGACAAAATATTTTTCTTAAAATAATCGACAATTGTTTTTTAACTTGATCTCACACTATAAAATCTGTATTTTCAAACGCACCATTACTTTGTTGGCTAATTGTCCAACTATCCACGCCACGGCAGATAATTCAAATTTCCTGTATAATTTTCCAATTGATTTGAATTTTTAACTATGACTTCAGTTAACCCCAGTTTTGATTAACGAGGTGCAGTTAAAAGGGGTTTACTATATTTGTTCATTAGTTTAAAACCAATTAACAAGTTAACAGTACATTGTTGGTTGTTAACAATGGAACTCTTGTAGTTTACTCAAAATAAACACCAAAAATAAATATTTGACATGTTTGAACTACTAACACAAACGTAACCTTTCACCAACAAGAAATTGTCGTATTGTTTCTATATGCAGAGACAGAAATAAATATACTTGAGAGTAATGCATAATTTCCATTAATATTTACAACTAATTTAAGGTACATAACCTTTGTATATTATTGGATTGGTTAATTGTAAGTGGATGTATTGGTTCACTAACCTGCTATCACCAAGACCAACCTAGTTTTATAACTTTCATCCATGAAACGGCAATGTATGTCATATTTAAGAGGCTAAATTATAACTATCCAAGTAATCTTAGAGTCCTCCAATAAAGATCGTTTTTGACACCTATGATGATATTTTCTTAAAATTACTCACTCTTAGGAGGTCGTCCTAAGTACATAAGAACACTTAACACATACAGTCAACGAACATAAGCAAAACATGATTAAATGCATGGCCATAAACATTTTTAACTACGGTACGACAGTGGGTACAGGGTGCAGGTTAGCAAGTTGTACGGCCATGTATTTTACCGTGTTTTGTCTATGTTCGTTTGTGACGTGTGTTAAGTGTTTTTTAAGACATAAGAGTATGTATTATGAGTGAGTGTAATATATAAGGCTATATTACATTGCCAGAAGATTATTGAGTTCGTGTGTGTGGTTGGCTGCACTGCTGAGTGACGTCACCGACTAGGAACGATGGCACGAAGCGGAGTGGAACGGCAGTCGGAGTTGTCATGCAATTGAGTAAGTCGTCCCAAGTATCGGGTTCCCTTTTAACTTATTTAATTAGTAATACAGTTATTACATTTGGCGACGAGGATGGGATATCGGAGTTTAATCCGTACGAAGAAGATATTAGTTCGTATTTGTTACGTTTGAAACACTTTTTCAAGGCCAACGAGGTCAAGGACGGGAAGCAGGTCTCCATCTTGATTACTGTAATAGGCCCTAAAATATTAGCCGTCCTCACCGATCTTATTTCTCCTAAGAAGATTGATGAAGAATCTTACGATAATTTGAGCAAAATCTTGGAAGATCATTATTCTCCTAAACGCCTTGTGGTCGCTGAGCGTTATACTTTTTATAGTCGATGCCAGAAACAATCTGAAAGTATTGCAGAGTTCGTGGTGGCAGTGAAGCATTTGGCTTCGACGTGTGATTTTGGAACATTCTTATCGGATGCACTGAGAGACAAGTTAGTTTCGGGAATTAAAAATGAAGCAATTCGTCAAAAATTACTTTCCGAAGAAATGGATTTGAAGAAAACGTTGGCTCTTGCACTCAGGCTTGAACAGGCCGAGAAACAAACAGGTATATTCTCGAATACAAGTGTTCAGGAAATTTCCAGGTTTCAGGTCAAGAAGAATGCACGTGTTTCCAACCGAGGTTCAAATTTTCACAGTGCGGGATCTAAATCAAATTCAAGTGATGTGAAGGGAGATATGTCTCAGATAAATAAGTGTTTTCGTTGTGGCAATCCAGAGCATAGGGCTAATAATTGCCCGTATAGTAATTACAAGTGCCATGGGTGTAAAAAGTTGGGTCATATCAGTAAGGTTTGCAGGTTCAAATTAGAAAATCCAGTGAAAAATTCCATAAAAAGTGGTAAATTTAAAATCCATCAGATGGAAGAGGAAAATAGGCCTAGGCCTAGTGATGGTCCAGATGAAGTGGAGTTTGAAAGTTTGTCTTTGTACAGTATGAATTCTGGTGATCATGTTTCTGCCTTTAAGGTAAGCCTAGAAATAGAGAATGTATCCGTATTAATGGAAATTGATACTGGCTCGGCACTAACTGTGTGTCCTCAAGAATTGTTTAACAAATATTTCCCTCATGTACAATTGAGTACTGTAGATATCAAGTTGCTTACATATTCAGGCAATGAAGTCAATGTTATTGGACAAGCTTTAGTCAAAGTAACCTACATGGACCAGACTTATCAGTTACCTATGATAGTCGTTAAGATTGATCGTACGAATCAGCCTATGCTGCTAGGCCGTAGTTGGCTACAACATATTGCTTTTGACTGGAAATCTATTTTTACTTGTAATTTTAATAGCCTATCAGGCAGTGTTAAATCTAAGGGTGGTGAACCTAACCTAACCCTAGGTAAGGCCGATGAGCCTAAAGTCGTTTCTGGTTTGAAACAAAAGTATGCCTCTGTGTTCAAAGGAGGTCCTGGTGAAATTAAGGATGTTGAGGCACGTATTGTGCTAAAAGAGGATGCTGTGCCAAAATTTTGTAAATATCGCCCTGTTCCTTACGCGTTGCGTAAATCAGTAGAAGATGAGATTGATAGGATGATTGCTGAAGGTATTGCTTATCCCGTTACCAGCTCTCAGTGGGCTACTCCTATTGTGGTGATTCAGAAGAAAAGTGGGGTGCGACTCTGCGGGGACTTTAAAGTAACCCTTAATCAAGTGATCCAGTCGGAACACTATCCCTTGCCTCAACCGGAGGACATTTTTGCTACTCTAGCAGGTTGTAGCTGGTTTTCAGTTTTGGACTTGGAGGCAGCGTATCTCCAACTTCCTGTGGCGGAGGAGTCCCAACCACTCTTGACTCTAACTACGCACAAAGGCTTAGTGCGTTTGCGACGTCTGCCGTATGGTTTGTCTTCGGCTCCGGCTCTCTTTCAAGCGGCCATGGACAAAATTATTGGTGGCCTACCTGGGTCAGTGGCATATTTGGATGACATACTGGTGGGTGGATCTTCGCAAGAGGAAGCGTTGTCACGCTTGGAGAGTGTTCTTCAACGTCTTCAAAGTTATGGAGTCAAGGTAAATGATTCTAAATGTAAATTCTTACAGCCGTCAGTACAGTACCTAGGCTACTGTTTGTCGTCCAAAGGGATCAGCCCGCAGGAGGGTATTTTGGAGGCGATTCGGAACGCACCCGAGCCAACTTCAAAGGAAGAGTTAAGAGCCTATGTAGGCCTTATAAATTATTATGGGAAGTTTATTTGCAATCTTTCAGACAAACTTAGCTGTTTTTACGATCTACTTCGTAAGGATGCACCGTGGGTATGGTCATCACAATGTTCTTCTGTTTTTCAAGAAAGTAAGACATGGGTATTGTCTTCAGATGTCTTAGTTCATTACGATGTAAATAGACCATTAGTTTTGACTTGTGACGCAAGTCCACGAGGTGTTGGTGCCGTGCTTTCGCACCTTATTGATGGAGTAGAGAGGCCTATTGCCTTCGCATCGAAATCCTTGAGTGCTAGTGAAAGAAATTATTCACAGTTGCATAGAGAAGCTTTGGCTCTTGTTTTTGGAGTAAAAAAATTCCATAAATATATTTACGGTAGGAAAAATGTTGTGTTACAGACTGACCATGCTCCTTTAGTGACAATCTTTGGAAATAAGCGGGGAGTTCCCTGTGTCGCCGCTGCGCGTCTTCAACGATGGGCCCTGATCCTCTCCGCCTACAGTTTTGAAGTAAAGTACCGCCGTGGCTTGGACTTGCCACATGCGGACGCTCTTTCGAGATTACCGTTACCTGATGACGACCAATTGGAGCTGGATTCCAACTACATCTCTCATGTTTCTTCCCTGGTAGAGGCCTTTGACTGTTTCAAATTGGTGAGTGATCTCAATCCTATTACTGCTAAGGATATCGCTCGACTTACTGATACTGATCCTGTTTTGACAAAGGTCAGAGATTTCATTTGGCATGGATGGCGTGATAGTCAAGATTCTGAGCTGGTTGCTTATTTTCGAAGAAGGGATGAGTTGTCCGTAGAGAACCAGTGTGTTTTATGGGGTAGTCGAGTAGTGGTGCCAGAGAAACTGAGGAGTGCCGTTATCCAATTGCTGCATGATCAGCATCCCGGAATAAATAGGATGAAAATGTTAGCCCGAAGCTTTGTTTGGTGGCCGGGGATTGATAAAACCATTGAAGAGACTGTTCTCTCATGTCATGTGTGTCAGTGTACAAGGAATGCTGTGGCTAAGGTGCCATTATGTCAGTGGCCTAGAGCTTCAAGTAGGTGCGGAAGACCCACTAACAAGACAACAAATGCTCATAGTTGTTGATAGTTTTAGCAAATGGCTAGAAGTGTTTATCATGAAATCTACTACATCGTTTAAAACCATTGAAAAACTGCGTACGCTGTTTGCGTCTTTTGGCCTACCGGAAGAATTGGTCAGTGATAATGGTCCCAATTTTGCTAGTGGGGAATTCAGAGAATTTCTGAGCAACAACGGTATTAAGTTTACGCTCTCACCTCCTTACCATCCTGCCTCGAATGGGGCTGCAGAAAGATTTGTACAGGAAGTCAAGAAGAACCTTAAAAGACAGGTTATGGCTAGTGGTTCTGAGACCATTTCTTTACAACATAAATTGGATAATTTCCTCTTTGCATTTCGCAACACACCCAGTACTGTCACTGGTGTTACCCCTGCGGAATTGTTCCTTCAATGGAAACCGAGAACTAAGTTGACAATGCTTAAACCCTGTTTATTGTCAGCCATTGATAAGAAGAGGGAGGCGCAGAAGGAAGCAGCCGATAACCATCGGGGAAGTTTCAGATACTTTGTGGAGGGAGAAAAGGTGCTTGTGAAGTCAGTACGGCAGGAGATCATTTCTTGGATTCCTGGGAGAATTTTGGAGCGGAAAAGTCCGTCTACTTATGTGGTGAGCGTCCTGGGAGGTAAAATACGTTTCTGCCACGCTGATCATTTGAGATCTAGTAAGTTGACTGAGGAAGAGGAAGTTACAGTCAATAGGCCGGTAGTGCAGTCTCCGATCAAATCCCCTGAGAACAAGTCTGCTGTGGGAATACAAACTCCGCCAGAGCGATCACCTCGTGTCATGGAAACTCGGAATACATCACCAAGACAACAACGGAGTGTAGGCCTACCAAAATCTCCAGCTACGCACACTACAGACGAGCATCCCGAAGTGCAGCCCAGCCAGCAGTGCAGCCCGCCATCACTTCGGAGATCTCAAAGGACTGTGCAAAAGCCGAAGCGGCTCGACCTTTAAGTTAAAAGGCCGAGTTAGAGAGAGAAGATTTTATGTTTATTTTATTTGAAGAAGAAAAGTTTATTTAGTATTACTGAAGTATTTTGTGAAGCTTATAAACAAACAAAAAAAATTGTAAAAGAAGAAAAAAAAAAATGTTGATTTGGCTTAGCCTAGAAGAAAAAGGTTAGGCCGTTAGAGAAGAGTTTTATTTTAAGTTTGGGCGAGTGTAATATATAAGGCTATATTACATTGCCAGAAGATTATTGAGTTTGTGTGTGTGGTTGGCTGCACTGCTGAGTGACGTCACCGACTAGGAACGATGGCACGAAGCGGAGTGGAACGGCAGTCGGAGTTGTCATGCAATTGAGTAAGTCGTCCCAAGTATCGGGTTCCCTTTTAACTTATTTAATTAGTAATACAGTTATTACAGTGAGAATATTTTTGACTTCAAAATGACACCATAGGTGGAAACCAGAGCTATTTGGACAGTAAGGTAACTTAGCCACTAGTATACTGTATATATTGTTTGTCGAGTAATCTGGAAGGCAATACAAAAATTACTATGTATTGTTGTATTGATTCACTAACCTGCTGTCACCAGAATCACCCAATGTTAAGCTGCGCGCAGTCAAGACTTCGTCGGACCTTATAGATGAGTCACTACAATCACACAAACATGCACTACGGCATTAGTGAAGGTTGTTAGTGAAGCAACATTATCACTAACAAAACTAGAAGGAGAGGTAGGGGGAATTGATAAGTAACTGACTGCCATCGGTTAACCAGTTATACAGGGTGTCCCGGAACTCTCTACCAATATTTTAGGGCATTGATCCTGGGTAAGAAACGTACCTAAATATCATATTTAAATTGTTCGGAAGTCCTTAGTTACTCACACAGCCGCCATTTTGTTTCTTTAAGTTATACATTTTTTTCTAAAGAATGGTAACATACGAAATGGAAACTTTGCACAAACATTTATGACAACTAGACAAAGCTACAAAAAAATTATGAAGATTTTTCAAATTCATAAAACAAAATGGCGGCTATTTAAAATTTTCTTTCTTAAATAACTCAAAAACCATTGATTTTACAAAAATTTTAAATGGCCGCCATTTTGTTTTATGAATTTGAAAAATCTTCATAATTTTTTTGTAGCTTTGTCTAGTTGTCATAAATGTTTGTGCAAAGTTTCCATTTCGTATGTTACCATTCTTTAGAAAAAAATGTATAACTTAAAAAAACAAAATGGCGGCTGTGTGAGTAACTAAGGACTTCTGGACAGTTTAAATATGATATTTAGTTATGTTTCTTACCCAGGAGCAATGCCCTAAAATATTGGTAGAGAGTTCCGGGACACCCTGTACATGTGTCGATTTAACTGCCCCGTATTTTACAAAGTGATGTTTCTGTTTAAAATTTTTTCATATTAGTATGCATATAATTGGTTTTTACGGGTTGCAAAAATTTTTTTTGTCATCAGCAAAAAACGGTTGTTTTTAATAAATGTGTTGCGGGTCTAAAGTAGCATTTTTACTCCCTAGGTAGTAAACCCTTTTTAGTCCCTAGGGAGTAAAAGTCAGCTGCTGTAAACAGTTGTTGACGGTATAATGTACAGTAGCACAATCACAATAGACAAAATTATTGAATTGTTTACTAAAAAAACTGATATTTACAATAGCAGAATTGAAATCTAACTGAAAGTAGTTTTGAGAGGTTATCTTTCCATGAAAGGTTTTTTATTTTTTAGCTTAGTTTGTTAATTAATGATACAATTTTAAGAAAAACATAGTTCACCTCGGCTTTGCTCGATCATGACACTTGAGCTCGTGTTGAAAAGAGTCACTTTACGCCCTAGGTATGAAATGTACTATTTTAGTTAGTTGTAAATTTTATTTTTCTCTCCTTTAACATTAAAAAATATATTTTTTAATGATAATGTTTTAACTCCTAAAACATTATTTTTTGTATTACTGAACAAGTGCAGGGAATTAATATAAATATAGTACATAACTTAAATTATTATGAGACACAGCACAAAGGTGACAAGTATTATTTTCAGGAAGAAAAACTAAATATCAATAAAGAATGATAATTAAAAAAGATCTTTTGTTTCAAAAACCACTATGCACTTGTTTACACTTTTCTTCTTCTAACCTACAAATGCACAGAATATAACAAAGACTAAAAATTATCTGATTAAAAGACGGAACATTTGCCAGGAATTGTTAAGGAAATGACAGGATATCAGGCTTACCTATTATAGCCTACATAAAAAAGACTAAACATTTATTTTTCTCTTAAAAAAATATCAAATTGGCGAGGATATGATGGGCTCAGGAGTTAGATTAGGGTATTTATAAAAATTAGAAGTTATGACAGTTTAAACTCAATTTACGTTATGAATTAAGAAAAACACAAAACTACAGGAAAGGAAACCCATCTAAGGAAAATAATTGTTAAAAGCAGAGACTGAACAAAGGTTAACAAGTGAAACACTATCAATAACTTTTGATCGAAATTTAAATTTTGGTAAACTTTTAATTTTTAATAAGAGTTTTAATTCCAATTTACTCATTTTTTGTTCATTTTGTAACATTCTCATGATGAATTTAGTTTTAAAATACAATATATTTATAAAATACATATAATTCAACAATACAATTTTTTCAAGTTAACTAAAACAAACACATATTATTGTGGTCTTAAAAAATAGTTTGAATTTAATTTATTGTATTTGAGTACACAAAACAACAAAAATGAATGTTATAAATTTATTGAAAGCTGATTAAATTGCACTACATAAAATTAGGGTGTCTACCAAAACCTGGAAGCTAAACCAAATTATATAACAAAAGTAAAACTGACTTCGCCACTCTCAAAGACTTCAAAATATTTCAATATTTCACTCACATGTGTTTAAAATGAGATTGTTATTAATAAAAACCAAATATGGCTGAGTGGCAGTGTCTTGGACTTACAAGCCAAACGTCGCTGGTTCAAGACCAGTCCCCTGATCTATATTTTTACTGTGGTGTCCACTGCCTCACCAAGAAGAATTTAACCATCACGATACTTAGCTGACTTTATATGTACACAGACCAGTAAGATAAACATTTATTTCTAAGATGAATTTTTAAGTTTTGTTTGGATTATAAAAAATTGGAGACCAAAGTTTGAAAATGAAGATAATCTACCAGATAGCAAGATCTACCAGTAGATGATGTTATTTTACAAACTTCATGAGGTATCAGAACTTATAGAAATTTGTTTAATCCAGGTTTTGGCGACATATTGTGAGTTACTGAGTCACCAACTGTAAGCAGTTGTATTGTTACGTTGGGGTTGTTGTTACCTGTCAGAGGATGCCGCAGAGTTGTCGTCCGCATCCTCCATATCTCCCTCGATGGCGCACTGCAGGTCTTCAATTCTCTGCAGAGCCAGACGCAGGTCTGACCTTGCGGCTGCTGCGTCTGACTCCGCTGTATCAACACTCTTCTCCAGCTCTCTCATCTTTGCCTGCGCCTCTTGCTCTTTGCTTGTCAACAGGACATTCTCATCTCTCAGCTCCCTGAGTTGACGATTGCAGGTTTTGATTTTTTCTTGAGCCGAATGCTCTCTTGCTTTCATTGCTTCTACTTCGCTTTGAAGCCTCTCATTGTTTTCTTTTAGTCTTGTTATTTGCACCTGAAATCACGTTAATTTAGCAAATTTTTCTTAAACAAAAGGAATTTTGTAATGTGTTGTGGCCTATTATTGTGTATCTTTGTAAGTCCATGGTCTGTACTTTTTTAGGTAAGCTAACCCTACTTGATTTTTTTAAAAGGAATTCAGCTTAAGTGATTATACCTCCAATAGTTATTATTATTTGTTGGGTATCAAACTCTTATGTGGGTGGCAAACTAAAATAATTTATACTTGGGGAATCGATCAAATATAGATGTAAATTAATTAGTTACACAGGACAAACGAGGAAGTCGCCAGCGCATTCAAACAGAACTTATCCCCACCACACTCAAATGTAGATTATCATAAGGATAAATATGACATCCTGTAAATTTTCCAAAAACAAAATTGTGGTAGACGCGTTCTGCGATTGCAATAGTAAAAGCTTGGCATGACTCGGTTTACTCTCTTTAAAATACCCTGAATTTCAGTTAAAGTCCAACTATACAAATTTTTGATTATCAGAATGGGGTCTAGTCCCAATTTATTCGGATGGTTGGAGTTCTACTTTACTTGTAACTGTAAGCACAAAATAAAAATGTTACTAGCAATTTTAAGACTATCTTTTACTTATACTTAAGAACCTTTGCCGTAATCACACTCACTTGTAATCGAGATCGCGTCGTCTGCTCCAGTTCCAATTTGCTCTCCAGTTCTTTGGTTTTCAGCTGTAGTCGTTTGACAGCCAGGGAGGAGTTGGGGTCGTTCATGGTCTCCATAGATTCAACTCTTGTAGACAGCTCCGCCAGCTGCTCACGCAGAGAAGATCGCTCAGTCTCTAGCTCAGCGATGCGGCTCGCTTGCTCCTGCAGTGACATCTGCTCTTGCGACAACTGCTGTACTGTCGCTCGATACTTCTTCAGCACCTACAAAATTCATTGTTGGTTAGTTGTGGTTCTAAGACTTTCATGAAGGAAAAACTTCATAGAGATGGTTGGTCAATAACTTGAAAAACTGTAATTTTTTATATGGGTATATGGACTGGAACTTGCACAATCGCCTCCCTAGACAAAAGTAGGCTAAATAATTGAGGAATATGAAATTAAATTATAAGTAGAACAATTTAAATTTGTGAAAACTAAAAGAAAACTTTGAATTGATTCTCCCATACTCTTTTAACAACTTTCTGGGATAAAATGTCAATTTACGTTTGAACTTGTGGACAAAAAAAGATAGGTTAAGATTTGATTAATTATAGTTTTAGGTTATAAAGAGTAATGTGTTTAAAGTAGCACAGTTTTGAAAACTTTGTGTGAGAAGTAAAAATATAATTTCATTTAATGGCGATCAGTAAAAAAATGTTTTTTGGTTCTTGTTCACTCATACTAAATTACCCTAAAAGTTGAACACACTTTTGAATTCTATTACTATAGAAGTGCTGAGGGGATATACTTACATCAGCGAGTTCCTCTTCATTCTCGTCCAGCTGTGACTGAAGCTGGGAGCGTTCCCTCAGCAGAGAGGATGCTCGATCCTCAGCCTCCGTGCGAGCCTTGGTGGCGTCCTCGAGTGCAGACGCTGCCTCGGAGCGCTCAGATTCAGCAGCTTGCTTGGCTTTGACTGCCAAAGACCTTGCACACTCTGCATCCTCCAACTACACATATCAACATAACTGATTAATGAGAATATGATGAATTCTTTATTCTTTTACAACTCATACTGTGGGAATGCTCAATTACATATGCTAAACATATGCTTCAGTAAGGGGTGGTATCAAGAAGTCAACTGTATAGTTAAACTATAACTAAAAAAATATGATACGGTGCAAAAATAGTTAACTACGAGGATTGCCAGTGAATTAAGGTCTCCATTGAGCTCCAGTTGCTTACTTCATCTTCTTCTATTGTTCCAATCCCATGGGTAGATTGGTCTTGTCATAGCATTCTAAAAAGTTTTAGAAGAAAAATTGACACTCCTGAAATGTTTGGATCACGTTCCGTAATAAGATTTCTGTAGGAAGGAAATAATAACTTGTGATTACTGCTGAAAGTTGGCAGATGCAAAGAAAAGTGTTTTGAATGATAACATGTGCATAAGTGGCTTAGAAAGTTTCCAGAGAGGTGTGCACATTTGCACATTGGGCCAGCAATAGGTAATATGTTCTGTTTCCATCGAGGTAACGATCGAATTTCAAGAAACGTTGCTTGCTGATTGGTGTGTTTAAGACTTCCAACGCTGACCATAGTCCTTGATAACTTATAGAGACATCCTCTTTTTATTTCAAAAATCCCTCTTGTTCAGTGAAACCATGGTCAAAGTTTCAAACTTGGCTGATGAAAGACAGCAGTTGCTCTATAACATAGGAAATATTGAGCAAATTTCTTAATATGTGATCGAACAATGTTAATTAACGACTGAGACCACAGAAATCAATTTGTAGAATGCAATTATACATGGCGAAAGCATAACTTTTCTTTCACAAGGTTTTGAGACTTAACTGATACATAGAGGTGGACCAGATAGAATAGTAGTGTAGTGGATGAAGTAAAGAACACAATGTTACTAGTTCACTTAGCTGCGACGGGAGTCCGATGGGGACCCAGACTCACCTGGTTGCGTAACTGTCGCATAACAGCTTTGTTCGGAGCGTCTGACCGGGATTGTTCGATGGTGGTTTGAGCATCCCGGAGCAGAGCCTTGGTCCGCTTGAGGTCCCTCCGCAGTTTCTGCAGCTGTTCCTGTTCGCTGCTACGGTTGCTGTGTATCTTCTCTTCGTACTCTGCCAGTTTGCGTTCCATCTCGTGACGCTCCCGTAACAATAGAGTTCTCTGCTCATGCTCATTTTCCAGTTGACATTCTAAAGCTAAAATCACATGATTTTTCTTTATTAAAATGTGTTATTAAGAGATTTTAAAACTGAGCTTACAAAGCTTTTTTTAGTTCTCCAACATTTTAAAATAGATTAAAATCAAGTACCACTAGGATCTCTGAACATTTGAGTTTTTATCAATCTAGCAAATGACAATTTTTAAGCTACAAAAAATTAACAACCAAAAAAGCAACAAAAAATTTCATCAACAAACATACTACTGTAAACAATATTACGGATTGTAAGTACGATTGCAGAAATTCCTATACAAGGTTTGGTACCTAATGTAAGATTTTAAACCCATAAAAAGTTTATTATTCACCACATATTTTAATAGTTGATTCTTACTTCAAAATATTTTATATATTTTAATTAATTACTACAAATAGAAACCACTATTAATATAAATTTCTCTGTTACAACATGAAATTGCCTGAGTAGTACCTTTGACTTTCTTGTGAGCGTTACACCGCACCTCCTCCAGTTCTTCATCTCGCTGAGCTAATTCCTTCTTGTTCTCTTTACGTATCTGTTCCAGTGTCATCTCCAATCTCAGCTTAGCCTGCTCCAAAAGTTGGACTTGACCTGCTAGATCATCTAGCTCCTCCTCCTATCATAACAAACACACCACCGACTTAGCCTTACTGAAACTGCTGCTACATCAATTGAATGAAACTTTACACTCTTTAATATTCAATTGACAAAGAATTCAAAAGACAAAAGTACTTACGAAAGTACCTGAAATTTGTACAAGCTCTTAAGACAAAATCCTAAAATGGTAATGATTTTGAAATTCAAGAGTTATTTGTTATCTTGAGACACTCTGTATCACGGTTTACAAAACAAAGCATCCTATGTGAAGGCAATGTATGAATAAATTGCTTTTCTTACCAAAGGGCTCTTGCTATTGAGGGTCTTTTCACTGAAATACTTTGTTGAAAACAGTATGACAAACTTATTTTTCAGTTGTGACATTAAAGTATGATAAACACACCTGTTCTTTAACTTTGTTCTGTAATTGGTGTTTGGCCTTCTTCAGCAAACCTACGTCCTCCTCTGTGCTTCCACTGAATGTTAGTTCACTGAGTTCAGCGGTCAAACTGTTCACTTTCTGCTCTTTCAGCTCCAATTCAAGTTTTACCCCCTAAAACAGGTATTAGAATAATTAACAATGAAATCTTTAGTTTTAAAAGTCACAGGAATACGATAAAGAAGAAGAAATTGATACACACTTAAAACTTACCAGAATAAATTTTACCCTAGTTAATACTCTACATGTTAAGCAATCAATGACTAACTTACGCTTAAGTTTTGCTCCATCGTGTATTTGTCTGCTAGAGCCATCTCCTTCTCCCTCAACGCTCGCTCCTTATTGGTCTTTTCCTGTCGCAGTTCATCTGTAAGCAGCTGGATTTCTGTGTCGAATCTGAGGAGTACAAATGATTAATCTTTATACCACAAAAATAAAATGTTATGACGACTTAACAGTTTTTATTGAGTGTCCTCAGGAGTAAGTAAGACCTCATGAACTCAAAGCTTTCTATACCCTCCATTTATCCTAAGAGCCCAATGGAACCACTATGGTAGCCTTATAGAGAAGAATCATCGGGGAGAAAAAATTGTGATTGATTTTAACTGTTATTACATGTGAATATAGTACTGTCCCATATTTCTACATTATTGTTACTGGTTGACTTTTGCAGCTGGTGCCGTGTTTGCCAGAGCGTAATACTATATGAGAGCCTTAACGATGATCCATTGGCTAATGTTGTTGCAAAACAATAGAAGGTTAGTTAAAGCAAAGCCAAGGGCAACGCAAAGAATGAACTCTGAGTTAGACAATGAACGATTGACTGTTTTACGAGCAACATCCCTTGATCGAAAAATTAATTCATTAAATCACACTTTCTTGAAGCGACATTGAATGATTTTGAAAAGTTTTCCTGGTGCTAGGAATTGTTAAGCAGCTATCAACGATTTACTTACTTTCTCTGTTTCTTCTCCAACATGTCGTTCCTAGAGTTCTGCTTCTCCAGGAGCAATCTCAAGTCGTTCATCTCAGAGGCCAGTTTCTGGGTTTTCCGCTTCCACTGTCCAACGACCTGCCTCTGCTCCTCAACCTCTTCATAAGCATCTGAGAGCTGAAGAACACATCACAGAACATAAGTTATATTATAGTGTATTGTAAATTGTCTATCAGGATTATTGATTAGTAAGGCATGACTCTAAGGCACTACTACAAAATAATGTAATTTTTGAATAACGATAACCATTCCGTTTGAACAACCCAAAATTCAATTTAACTAAACAAGAACACACATAAAAAAAATAATAGAATGTTTTATATAAATCAAGGGAGAATAGTAATATTTTCATAGAACAACAATATGTTTTTTAGGTTTTTCTAATACAGGTTAAAAGTTTAGAGAGTAGAATATATTATTGGAGTAGTTTGTGAAGCTGAACATTTTCGATGGAAAATTATCAAATAGAAGAAAGAATGGTAGCTCTTAATTGACCCTGAATAAATCAATTGCTGCTGGTATTAACTGATTGACATGGGCAAAAATAGAGGTTGGTTTATCCAGCCATAATTTAAAAACAGTATGACCAACCAGTCTGACCAAATTTCTAAGAATCTAGTAATTTCCGTTTCCATCCTTATCACAGTAATAAAATATAAATATCCAAGCAGGTATAGTTTTGTTATGAACTTGACTTTGTCAAATAAATTTTAGTGTGTATAATTGAATCGAGTAAATAATTTTATTGCCATAATAGGTGTTCGTGTAGTGGGTTTTAATCAAGTATTCATATTTTCAAGAGTAAAAGGACAGTACTGTAATATAGAAGAAACAGATATCTCTATAGAGTATAGTAAATCAGTTTAGTTATATCACCAACTTGATCAGTTTGCATACTTTAATTGTTACTTGAGTTCAATAAATGAAAAAAGCAAAACTAAACATTATTTGCAACTATATTTTGCATTCATTAAACACAAATACTTGTTGGTGAGGCCAATTACCACCTAGGGTATCCATGGCCATGGGAGTAAGAGTAAGTAAAATACAAATAATACATTAATTTCTACAGTATTTTGCATGACTAGGTTTCATACACGTTTTACCTGACCATATAGGTTATCTGACCTCAGCGTGTTCCCGTGAGAGTCTTTAAGAGACAGTAACCTTTGATATTATCTATTAAAGGGAATTGCAATAAAATATCCGCACCTTTTTTTCAAACTGTTTCTTGAGTGCCACAAGCTGTTCTAGATCGTCCTGATGCTGTTGTTGTAGTCTGCGTCGGGTGAACGCCAGCTCTCGCGCAGCTCGCTCATAACGCTGTTTATACGCAGACTCGTCATCACCTTCCCCCTCTAACGCTCCGTTCAACTCGGAGCTGCGACTGTACATGAGCTCCATCTCCAGTCTCTCGCTGTTCTCCATCAACTGTTGCTTCTGTTTCTGTTAAATGAAAGAGAAAAAGATATCAATATAGGTAACACTTTACACAAATTGAGTTTGAAAGTTTATCCAATAAATTTTTCCTTGAGTACAGCTGTGGTCCCATTTTTCACGACAAAGAAATACAGAAAGATATGGAGCTACTGCAATAGTGTGAATCTGGAAAATTAAACGATTTTCATTTTTGAAAGTTCTGTAAGCTTTGCAATTAACTGGTTTTCCCAATGGTAATATATTTTACACAATTATTTGGCTAGTAAAAAAGGTACAGCTTGTGCTTAAGAGTGAAATAGAATGATAAACTGTTTTGATAATCGTTTAGCTACAGTGACCTGCTACTCTACGGTTATCAAAGATGTGTTCAATCGTACGCTTCGGGTGAAGACATTTTGTTGCTGTGTAACCACAAACTGTGGTTGTATGTTTGTAATGATTTTAACCTTATAAAAACCTTATCAAGATGAATTTATTGTAGAACAGTTAGGTTTCAAAATTTTAGATTGTGCCTAAATTAAATCATATTTGCCAAAGCAAACTAAAATAGGAAAGAAATGTGATGCAAAGTTGCTTGCAATGTTTAATTATATGGTCTAGTATCATCATAACTCATGATAAGAATCACTAGGTACAGTATACGTTAATTACACAGACTTTTGAGTACTACAGCACATTAAAGCTGGATCTAAGTCAAAGTCAAAGTCAAAGTCATCTTTATTGTCACAAAACGTTTTTTTTTTTTATGCTCTGGCACAGCCAGACAAAACAGGTGACATTGTCAAACTATACTAAAATAAACTAGCTTATATTGGTAAAAATAAATACATAGTAGGTAACAAAACAAACAATTCACATTGATTTATCTTCAAGAAATTGACCAATACTATAATTATTCTTTTCCAATAAAAATTCAAAAATTTTTTCTTTAAAAGATACTAATCCTATTATAGATTTGTAGTACCCAGGCAAATTGTTAAAAAATCTTTTACCCATATAAGAAGGTGTCCTTTCCACAAGGTTTAATCTGTGTATAGGATATTGAAAATCTGTATGAAATCTAGTGTTATAATTGTGCCGATTATTTTCACTGTGGAGTTTTTCAAAATTTGATTTCACATACAATAAACATTTAAGAATATACAAATTAGGGACGGTTAGAATCTTTAGTTCTTTAAAAAGTTGCTTGCAAGAATGTTTTACGGGTTTAAAAGTCATAATTCTAAGTATTCTTTTTTGAAGTTTAAAAAGTTGATACGAATCAGATGTGACGCCCCAAAGCTCTATTCCATACTGTAAAATTGACGAAAATAAAGCGTGATAAATCATTAGTCTAGTGTTTAAATCAACAACATTTCTTAAGACCAACATTTGAAAACATACTGAATTTAACTTTTTAGAGGTGTTATGAATGTGATTCTTCCAATTCAATAAACTATCTACATCAATTCCTAAAAATTTAGCTGTGTTGCTAAAATTTATTTTTTCATTATCAAAATAAACAAAGCCTTCAAGATCGTCCCTACACTGTGCAGTTTGAAATTTTACTATTTGTGTTTTAATGTGGTTCATTTTTAAACCGTTTACTTTAAACCATTTTGACAGATCTTGAAGAGCTTGATTCAAGGCTAAACTTAGTTCATGACTGTCTTTTGATTTAATGATGGCTGTCGTATCGTCAGCATATAACAACAAACTAGGTTTAACATTCTTAGGTAGACCATTTATGTACATCAAAAACAATAACGGTCCTAATATAGAGCCCTGAGGCACCCCCATAACAATCTTTTCCCATTCAGAAGCATACTTAATGTTTTCTTTAATAATAACTGTTCTTTGAAAGCGATCGTTTAAATATGATTTCAACCACAAAATAACTGATTCTGAGAATCTATAGGAGGATAATTTATCAAGAAGAATTTGATGGTGTACACTATCAAAGGCTTTGGATAGATCACAGAACACGCCAATAGTGCTCTGTGACCCATCCAAGCTCTGTGTTATTGAATTTACAAAATGAGCCACAGTGGAAGTGGTACTTCGATTTTTCCTAAAACCAAACTGTTCATCAGCTAATAAGATCTATTCTAATTCTAAATTTTAAGCACTTGTCACTAAACATATCTTGGTGACCTTTGCAATAATTGTAATGTTTTTATACCTGGATATCTCCTAGTTCTTTCTCCAGCCTCATTTTCTCCGCACTCTCCATCTTCAGTCTCTGATTGGCTAGAGCTGCAGACGAACGTTCCTCCGCAAGGTCCATCGTCAACTCGCTCAACTGAAACGTAATTTGTATGTTCAGTGGAATCTCGATAACAAAAAATATGATAGTAAAATGTTCTCTATTACCGTATAGGTCATTATATATTCAAAAGTAAAGTGTCCCTAAAATAGACCGGGGTACACCGACCTTTACACACTGCTAAGGTGAGAAATGTCTACTTCCACTTAAAAAAATTACAGTTCTCTGTTTCTTGTCCAAGAGATATGATGTAAGTCTTCTGAAATTTTACAAGTATTATCAATATCAATATCAATCATTGAGATGGGGGCGCCACCTAGGTGCGTATTTTAACCCAAATATGAGTGAAGGATGAGTGTAGAATGGTGTGAGATGATCTGTGTAGCTTTGTAACTGACTAAGATCAGCAGTTTCATTAGTCAGGATCATTTATTTAAAGCCCAATGATCAGGAACAGCTGGGTCCAGTTTCGAACCATCAGAAAGCTACTGACTTTTCTCAGGATCGAACAAGCGACCTTTTGTTTACTAGGCGAGCACTATAACCACTCAGCTACCCAGCCAGGATTACATTTTGTCTCAGGATGTTTTTGTTTATTGACAGCATCTCAGGGGGGTGGGATTTGAACCCGGGACCTCAGGGACCGAAGTCCCGCGCTCTACCCACTACACCAGTCGCTCCCCTGTAATACCAACTTTTAACTGTAATGTTAAAATGTACATTATTAAATTTTGTTTAAAACTACTTTGTGTTTGTTTTCAACAACCTTTTTTGTAAGAAGTCCAACCATCCAGGTTTTTTTACAAGCAGAATTGTATATAAGATAAATTTCCCTGAAGAAAATACAACTTTTGGGTTTTTATGGTTTTAAAATTATAACAACCTCCTATGTGTTTGAAGTTTTGTAAAGCACATTTGTGGCAATAATTATAATTATATCACAAAGAGCTTTGCTGTTCTTTTTGTACCAAACATTCAGATAAATAAAAATTTCACGGGATATTAGTGGGCTAAAAATATAGACCTACAGATATTTAAATCAAGCGAGATGCTTTTGGATCTTATCTCGTATAGACATCCCAACACTCTTTCTACTTTTAGCACAGGACAAAAGGCTTAGGCCTATAAAAAGAATTAGAGGCAATGGAAAGACTTTTAGTGATAACCTTTTAGGATTTAAAAGCAATAATTTACTGAGTGCAGCCTATTATAATTATCATTATCTATAATCTCTGTTCCGAATACAGTATTTCATTTGATCAAGTACAGATAAAGATGTTTGCTTTGTTTATTCATTTAATTCAATACTTTTGTGATTCAAAACTCAACTGAAAATAATACAATATTTCTAAGAAGGAAATAAAACAGAAAAATTGCATTGTATTACTGCTATTCCTCTAATATGAAACTATAGCTGGTACAATATTTACTGAAAATAGAAATAGAATGTGGTATATCTATTTGAGTCAGCGTCAATAGCAAAGTAATAAACTATGATTGCTTCCTTTTCCATCTTGAAGTCTATAAATAAGTTGATGGTGTGCATTCTACTGCAGCGGCTGTAGCCATCACAAATTTATTTTTTACAAATGTGTTATTAATAGTGAAATTATCAAAATTTAATTTATTTTGACAAATTATTATTTAATAGATTTTCATCAATTAATTTGTAGAAGAATCTTTGTATTGGATTTAAAACACCCAAAGCAATTGATGTTTGATTTTTATTGTCATAAGTGCATATGATGTACTTATCCGCAAAGTAGACTTTTAAAATTTGTTCATGAATCATAAAAGATGAAGCACTCAAGGAAAAGTGGTTAAGTAGATTTATCGATTGACAAAGGTTTTTGAAAAACATTAGTCTTTGTGTTACGATGATACTCAAACATAAGTGGTTGGTTATGAAATACAAAAGAATTATGGTATAATTTGTTTAGGATTTTTTAAATTTAGAGTTTTTCTACTGTAACTGTGTTTTTCAAGGCATTTCTTTATGTAAAAACGTCAAGCGCTTTTCGCCATAGACTACAGTATTGCGGTGATCTAAGGACAGAATATTGTTACAGTATTAGTTAGATGAGGGAGCCAGTAGTGATGACAGATATGAGATGGATAGTTTGGGCAACTGGTCTTGAACCAGCGACATCTCACTTATCAGCCCAAGACACTTCCTTTCAAAGTAATGTTAATTTCCAAGGATCTTAAACACAAGGGGAAAATAAGTCTTTTAAAATGTACAATAGATAGATAGGATTACAAAGAATGGCAGCAGTTACCTCGTCCATCTCAGACACCACATCACACGAGTTGCTACACACAGATTTGTCCCGACCCCAGTATTGGAACCCTCTAATCATGATGTTGGACACACTACTGCTGCGTTTCACAGCGCGTAGGTCTACCGAGGGCTCTCGATGTCCCAGCCGCTTCCATTCGTCCATCACGTGGTCGGTCCGCTGCAGAAACTCACTGATCCGCGCAGACAGCTGGGCCGAGCTCGTCTCTAAGTCTTTGCGCCCAGGCACTGCGGCACGTTGTTGCCTCCTCATGCCCATCACGAAGCTACTTCCGCCCGACACCGGTTTGTTCCGTCTGAGATAATCGGGGTTGAAGGAGTCGCACCTCTGTAGCTCCGCGTTGCCCGGAGGGTAAGACTCTGTGATGGAGTCCACTTCGCTCGTCGTAGAGCAGCAGGAAGGTGAGCGAGACGCCACGGAGAGTCGTCGCAACATGATGGGTTTGTACTTCCATATTGTCCGGCCGACCGAGTCTGCGCGTCGCTCATCTGTGACAGACGTGGACCGGTGATCCTTCGACGTGGAGGGGACGTTGTTGGTAAACAGTTTGTGGAATCGCGAGGAGTCCGAGGAGAACATGTCCGCGCGAGGCCGGCCGGACACTGGCCAACAAGTGATCTCGGCTCACATTCTGGCACTTGGCCAGTCACTCGCCGACACTCTACATCTTGTTTGTTACAACTGTTTCCTTGGATAAACAATTCACGTTAGAAAATGTCTTATTCGAATACTCTCAGATGGAAATAAAGCAGTAAAGCATTTTTAATGATTTAAAAAACAATTATTTTATGTAGGCTTCAAGGACATTGAACTCGTTATATCCTAATGGCTGTGCATTATTCTTGGCTGGCGAGCTGACAGCTTCCGTCTCATTAAAGTTGGGTTCATAGAACAGAAATGTGCTGGTGATTTTAGGATATTCAGATTTGTAAGTGGTAAAACTGCATTTTTGCCTAGTTTGTGTATTGTTTGATAAAATTAAGGGTGAAGAAATTTAAATTAAGAATTAAAATTTGAAATAATAGAATTAAACTGATAAAAACATTACAAAGTTATAATTTGCTTATCCTCAATTAATAGAGACACAATATATTGAAAACCCCAAAAGTCTATATTTAAATACAAATTTTTAACAGCCGGTAAAAAAATAACATCTAAACTATTGAAGTCAGTTTAAGTTAAGTAAACAAGAAAAACTGTAATTTTTTTAAAAATATACTATTGGTATCTAAATAAAAATGTTAAGTCGAATTATTTTTTAAACTCATTTTAAGACAATGTCTGGACAGTTGTTAATATACAATAGCTATTTCATAAAAAACTAACATAAGAGTTTCGAGATCAAAATATAAATTTATAAGAGTAGATCGTAAAACAAAAATCTTAAATAAATATTTCTTTCTGTAAAAGAAAGGTAAAAGAACAGTTGAAAATCATTTGTTTTTATAGATGGAAAATTGTATTAAATTTGAGCACAGTTTGTGTATGGTTTACAGTGGCTGCGGGAATAAAAGTGTTGAACGACGAACAAGTTGAAGTATTAGAGCTAGCCGAAGCTGGCATCCGGCCAACAGACACCGGAAAAGGAGTCTATTGTTATACAAATACACTTGCATCGTGGAATGCAGGTACAGTAAATATATAGCAATAAAAACAGAAAATTTACCTTATTGACAAATACACTTGAGACACTACCAGCATTTAGGAATGTGGCAGCATTGACATACTTTTGATATTAATACAATAAACAGTCTGTAGATAAAAAAAAGTTAACCATTTGAAAATGTTACCGTACCAATAAAAAGTTATTACAATAATACATGTATGTCAACAGAAATTAACAGTTGCTTGATGGAAATCCGTTGAGATTTTATACATTGTTTTTTCTAGTTTGATATATTCGTTGTTTAGTCAGCTTGTTTATCAATGTAATTGTATTAGGGGAGCGAGCTGGTCTAGAGGTAGAGAACAAAGCTTCGGTCCCCAAAGTCCCGGTTCAAATCCCGCCAATCACCAATGGATTTTATCTATGTGATAATGCCGCGGCCCTCAAGGACTAGCTTGAAGTAATGTGTAAAATGGGTCCGGGCATGAATCTAATATCCTGGAATGTGAAATTGGAACATAAATATTATGGATAATTCAAAAATATTTTTAAGACTGGATAAAGGTCTTGCAGTAGAATTTAAAAAGGTTAAAGATTTTATTGACAATTTTCACAAGAATGTAAAAAAGTGCCACATTTATAATTATTTTAAATCTAAAAAATACTAAATATTTAGTTTTTTCTAGTTCAAAATGTAGGAAAATTTGTTATGGTTGAATATTTCTCAATAGATTTTTAAAATTCTGCATATTTACTTTGCTAGCTATTACTTATAATCCAGAGTTACTAATTACTCTGTATTTTTAACCTTTATGTTGTAACATGTATTTAAAATATCAAATGTATCAAACCAATACAGAATCAAATAACACTTATATCATACCCTGCCTTCAATAAAAGATGTTTAAGGTTTATTGGAAAATACAGGAATAGTAGGAATCCCAAAGTAAGGCAATAAGTTTTGTTCTTACACTAATTGGAATTGATTAAATACTTTGTCATTTAACAGTGATTTAAACCCCCAGAAGGATCCTGAGGCCACTTTTTGTGTCTAGAAAGAAATATCCTGGCGTGCAATCAAAATAAACACAAGAGCTGCCCAGGTCAGGTTACGACTGTTCTATAACATC